AAATATCCCTTCTTGCTTGTATCGTAGTTCAATTATTTCGCGGAAATTGCTTAAGGAAGCGGGTTGGGACGTGTTTCTGCGACAATGCGGGCTGGTTTCCTTTGAATTTCGCTTAAGAAGGTGTCTTTTCCTCCTTTCTTTTACAAGTGCAGGCCTTGACTTAGTGCTTTAAGACGAAACTACGTGCTATAGCTATAATACTTAGTCAATGACGAGTGTCCAAACAGGTGCCAGTCTAGTTTATGAGCTCACTTTAAAAGACTTTGCTCCATAACGCGGTACTAATTGCTATCTACCTTGTGAGTATTGCGTCCAATCAAGCTAATTTCTGGCGAGGATTAAACGCAACATATCGCCCCCACTTTGATAGCCAAGTAAATTCACCTTACCTATAGTTGTAATAACCGTGGTAGCAAAATACACCGAACCGGCAAAGCTCCACTGATAAAGATCCGCGTCGATATTCGCCTTATTGTCCAGGTATTTAAGCCACATTTTCACATCCTCCTCACTAATGTTGTACTTCTTTACAAGCGTCTTGTGGATCTTTTTCATACTTTTCTGCATTTCCTGATCGTAGTCAAATTCAAGAGCACTAAAAATAGCCGCCCCGACAAGCAGATAAGACAGGGAACAAATCGTTAGCAAGATCGTGCGTAAATTCTGGGTCTTCATCTCGGCCGTCTGCTCATATTTACCATCCACCGATCACTCCAATGAATGAATTTCGCTTGGCGCGTATTTTTTTTCTCTGTAGACGGATGGACGGTGGTTTGCGCCCGCAAAGCCCTGCTCAGTGCTTCTCGAACTATGTTCCGATTGGTTGTCCTTAAGAACTAATTTGAAGCAATTACAAATTTGAGGCGTATTGTGCTGTTTTCAAACGAATCTAGGCTAGCTGCCGACCAGATGCTAGCTATGATGTCAAATACCCTTCAGGCCACGCCTACATTAAAGGTGACTTCCAAACGAGATCTTTTGTCAAGAAATGATTAAGCCACAAAAACAATAATCAGAAACTTTGCCAATAGAGCGAGGAATATTTTCAACAAATTGCCATCCGTTCGCCGCTATAGGAGCTTCGAAGGACTGTTTTTAAAGCAATCCTCAATAGATTTGAATAGGATAATTGAATGTTGCATTTGTGTTGAACACACACGTTGCCATGGTACCTAACATATTTCAGCGGTTAAAATAAAGCCACAGTTTTAATCAGAAAACGAATCAAGCTCTGCACTTATATCTTAGCTATTTCCACAAACATGTTTTGTCCTTGGTGTTCAATCAAATCGAACTAATGTGTCATTGACGAAAAAATCTGAAAAAGGACGCTTTAAACTCATGAAAACAAATTACTACTTTGCATATAATAAATTCACTCGTTAACTATGTCACCTTTGAGTTGACATTAATATTACAAGCAGTATTTGAAGTGGTTTTATTTGAAATTTCGATCATAGCTTATTCTAAACACAAAATCACGTAAGACGTGACAATGTGGTTGAAGCAATTTCAAGTTTTAGCACCGCGAGTAAAGTAAGGGATTTACCTGCTGTGAACAGTGCTCAATGTTTTGTTTTTCTTCATCGCCACATTTCACCCCCTATAAATCTCATAAACTTAAATGTTTTCATTTTTTCTTGCCTGTACATTATCATTTTCGTTTAATCAACACCTAGTTTATAGCAAGTATAACTTGAATATGCAACGAATCAAAATTCCTTCTGTTGTTTAAATATGACAAGGATTTGACAACTCGAAGAGCTGCCAATTTACATTGCCACTGAATTTTGTGCCAACAGGCAAAAAGTCAAAATATCCTGATAATTACAAGGGGCTCTGTACATGCCTCTGTTTGGTTAGAACACTGACGCTGAAGTGTGCTAAAAAAATTAGATGGTGCAAATTAAAAAGGGTCGTTTTCATTAAAATCTAAAATTAAAACTTTCGCTTTTGTTTTTTTGTCAGGGCCCAAATTTGCGCCACTGAACACGAAATGGCACGAAAAGAATACGATATTTACACGAACCTACACGAATGGATACGAATTTAAGTCGAATGTTTACGAATTGCGCTTGAGTTAATATGACTGGAAACGAATTCGTTACGAACAAACACGGCAGGATACATATTCAGCTCGAACCCATTTTAACCACACATGAAATAAACACAAGAGGAAACTGACGAAGAAAACACGAAACCGTACGAACAAGACACGAAATTGACACGACACGCGACTGGATATAAATTAAACTGAAACCCCCTTTCCGAGTGTTTACGAATTATATGCGAGCTACTACGACTGAAAACGAGTTTGAAACGAATATGGAAACAAAGCGCGACACGAATTCAAAATAAACTCCCTGACCACACATGAATTAAACACACGCGGAATACGAACTGTACTCGAAAACATTCTCGAAAACACAGGTGAATAATACGAAATAAACACGAATGCACACGACTGGATACGACTTTGCCACGAACTTTTCAGACCCCACATAAATGATACACAAGCGGGATACGAACTGAACATGAAAACACCGCACGAGTGGATACGAACTTGACACGAGATTTCCGGACCTCACATCAAATGAAACAAAAGCAGGATACGACTTTGAACACGAAACCGCATCAAAAGGATACGAAAGAAACACAAACACCGCACAACTGGATACGAATTTGACACTAACTTTTCACACCCCACATAAATAAAACGCAAGCGGTTACGAACTGAACACGAATCCGCTTGAAAAGTATACAGAATAAACACGACCACTGCACGACTGGATACGAATTTGACACGAACTTTCCAGACCCCACAAAAATGAAACACAAGCGCAAAACGAACTGAATACGAAACCACATGAAAAAAATACGAAATAAACACGAAAACCGCACGACTGGATACGAAATTGACACGAAGTCTTCAGACCCACATAAATAAAACACATGAGGGATACGAACTTAACAGGAAAGCATATGAAAGGGATACGAAATAAACGCGAACACTGCACGACCGGGTACGAATTTGAAACGAGAACATAAAGCGGGATACGAATTCAGTACGAGCCCTCCATAATGCGCGTGAATTGAACAAGAGGATGCACATATATATGCCAGGTTAACACGAAAACACGCATGGACGACTGAATAGGAAATCAAAACGAGCACTCACGAATACAACACGACCTGACGTATTGTGTATTTTCATTTTACTACTACTATTACATTCCGTTTTACCTTTCATATTCTAGCAATGTTTTTAGTAACAGACCCTGGTGGTCTCTGATAGCAGAAGTAAAACGACGTCATAGTGCAAATGGTCCTCCTATACTGATAACGATGATGATGATGATCATCATCATCGTCATCATCATCACCTTTATCTATTCGATAAAGTACACATCCAAAGTTAAAAACGCCATAAATTGTCAGATTAAAAAACCAGCATGTCCGAATGCAGACAAACGAAAACAAAAAGACTGTTCGAAATTTTGCACTCAGTAGTCAATGAGAAAAAAAAATGTTAGTGCCCTTTAATATTCACTACGCTTTATCAACCAGTTACAACTTTTGTTTGTGGATAAAATTCTAAAGTATGCGGACTATTAAATGCAAGCTATAGGCCACTTGCCGATAGCCTTCCATCACCACCACTACGTAATAGCAAAATCCTTTCCGTTTTCTTTCATATTTACAATGCGACTACTGGAACAGGGGCACTTGGAAGAAGATTAGCCAATCACAACGTTTTTTGAAAACAAAAGATTCTCAAGTTTTTTTGCAAAAAGGACCAATAACATTCATAAATTTGGCACATTGGTCAGTAGTTGATGTATGACCCCATGAAATGTCCTGAGACACCAGTGCCATGTCGTGCCTCTAGGCACAGAAGTAAGTGACCCCATGTGGAAGCAAGTGTAGTAAGTGTAGTACGTGTAGTACGTGTAGTAAGTGTAGTGAGTGCAGGTAAGTTCAAACGGATTTAAAGTTTTCAACGCTTGCATAGTTGAACCTTGAATTTTATTGGTCAGTTTACAAAAAAGTTGAAAATCTTTTGTTTTCAAAAAACGTTGTGATTGGATAATCTTCTTTCCAGTGCCCCGCTTCGAGTAGTCGCACTGTAAATTTGGTCTTCTTAGAGGTTAAATAACAACAGCCTTAATTTGCACAAGAAAACAAAAAGTTATTGATTCTGGTAGGAGAAGTAAATTGCCGGACTTGATCGTGAAAAAAAATGGCCTAATAGGGTGCTTGATATTATTGAGTCTGTGAGCTAAATTACAAAAGCCTAATACGCGTGGCTATACAAATGAAAGCTATTGAACCCTAATTTCCTGTGGCACTGTTCACTATTATTCCGCACAAGGTGGTTCTGACTGTTGTGACGATTTCTAATAAGGCGTCCCTCACTTAAGGCGGGTAATATTTTGCTGACACATAAACAGATGTTTTCGACCCTCACCTCTAAGGATCAAATTATAACGAAGAAAAACCCCCAAATTTTGAGTCTGCGGACGATATCCTCACGCGCAACTATTGAAATGAAAACCAGTGAGCAGCATTTTGCTGCGGTACGGTTTTCCGTGCTGTAAACTGTGATTATGATGGAGTTATCTCTCTAAAAATCAAACAATATGTATTTATATAACAAACACCAACTGGCCTTAATAAAAACAGCCGCAAAATAAAATATTTTCAATTGTCATATTTCTAGAATATTTACTCCACAAAGCACTGATCGTTTATTATTGAAGCGTAGCGTCCACGATATTTCAAACCACATGCAATTAAGGACAAATTTTAATTAATCCTTTTGGTTATTCTCCATAATTAAAATTTAGTGGAGCAATTTATCAAAAAGGTGACGCCTAAGCTTTTAAGAAATAAACTTCTACGACAGCATTAATTACAAACACCACCTGAATTTGCCAAAACCATCAAACACTTTTAACGCAAAATAAGATAATTGCAATAAAAGTTCAGTTTGACAACGCGACTTGAGGAAACTGAAAACTTTTAACCCTAAGTTGAACATTCTTAATGGTAAATCGACGTCAGTTATAGGGTGATAAGATCACTTTTCTATTATCCAGGTTATTTGCAATTCTGAAATTCTTTTATCTCACGCATACTTTTGTATTGCTGGGAGTAATCGCCGATTAATCAAAAGTGCGTTCGACATGTGCATTAGCATCTGCTGTGGAAAATATTATATTTTTAGCGCAAATACCATAGAAACTTTGGCGAAATTGAAAAGGTCGCTGCCGCTAGAAGCACACAGCACATGTACGTATTCTAAATACGTTAGACGGATTGTCAATAACATCGAGACAAAATGAAACGGTACATGTCAACTAAAACATGAAAGGAAACGCACAAAAGATCGCCAGAGCTGGCCCTTGTAAAAAAAAGGTCGCTTTGAGATGTTCTGCGTCGCACGCAATAGAAGCATTGAAAACCTTTATACGTTAAGAGTGACCAACATTCAATTTAGTCAAACTCTGTTCAATCAAACACAACGGTCATGAGAAAAAAAGAAAATGTTGAGCAAGTGGAAAAGGTCTGGTTTGTTCCACAAATTTTCCTTATTCAATAGTAACAGCCACAAGCAACAAGGGAAATATCAAACCTAACCCAGGAACAATAGAGCTTCGGGGCAGGAAGCTCGAATGTCATTAGAGGTTTCGAAGAACTCCGTGACGCAGTTTTATTGCTACACTTTTTGGTTGAATAGTATATCTCGCGCCACTTTTTACACCAACCAAGTTACTCAATATAGACCGTCGCACGATTACATGCGTTTATCGCTTGGCGTTCCCATTTCTTAAATGGGTTTTCTAAGTCGTTGGTGTCGCTTAGAGATGGTAAAAAGAAAATACAAACAAAAGAAAAAAACACATGGGTTTTGGTATAAAGACACTTCAGTAAACTTCGCCATAAGAGGTAATTACTATTGAACAGTTAAATGTTTCTTCTTTCCAAAATGTTTATTACTCCTAGTCACTGTATAAAGAAACCGATCTTGTAAATTTTTGTCATATACAGATCTTCTTCTGGTTAACTGACTATTTATCCTCGTGTACTTAATATAAAAGGCCACGTAAACATTCCACTTTACAGAAATTCATAGGGGAAAAACCGAACACCAAAAAAAAGTTACAAAAATCAATAGCCCGCTTCCGTTATCATAAATAAACAGCTACACTTTTCAGTGCTGAAGCGACAGAAACCAAAAGCTCTCGTCAAAGTTGCGCATGAATGTGGTCAAGGTTGGTTCGCGTGAGACAATGAGGACGCGCGCGTTTTATCTTTTACAAAAGCCTTACCCTGCCCTACACAGTCTCCACACTGAGAAGACGTCTTGCATGTGATCTACAAACACTACCTATAACGTATAACTTATCTGTCTGCATTTGTTTCTACTCTTTTTCAATGGGTTTTAAAGACTTAGCCACAATTGGCAGAATGTCCTTTGTTCGAAGTCTCCAGTTTGGAATAGCCTTGGACACTGCGCACCAGTTCTCTCCGTGATGTGGCTCGGCCAGACCGCACCGCTGCATAACACTCTCTTGTTGGGCCTGGGAAAAAAGGAAACGGAAAAAAATAAATAAATATACAGTTTGCCCTCATCGCAGCTCTCAGCAGTTTTGACCTGAAAAAACGGCCTGTGCGGAGACGTCTCCAAAACGTAAAAGCTGTCTGAACGCAAGAGTGTGTACCTATCCTTATAGGACGGATACACGGTACAACGGGTATCGCGAACACAAAAAGCAAAACAATTTTCAAAATTTAAAACCTGTTGTAACAGATTTTAGGAATCGGTTGAGGCAGATTTTTATCGTGGTACTTTCCAGTTAGATAAAAATGTCGGCGCGATAAATTATAACACGTAAATAGTCCTTTTTGTTAGGCCGACAGATCTCGCCGACAAATCGTATCGAGTAAACCGATGTGCTAAAGAAGATGTCTGATTTGAAGATAGAAAGCGTCCATTCAAAATTGATGATGCAATAAATTTCTCTCACCGATTTCAATCAAAACTACCTGAACTTAAAGTGTTTTGTGGCAGATAACAACAATCAAAATAAAACAAAAGCTATGCAAGTTGTCGACCTCCTGCATGGAAAGTACAAATTAAAAACAAAATTCTCACATATAGTGTCTATAATCGCAGAGTTTGATACACAGAATTTCCAGAGCGATAACAAAGTTATTTGGTTAACAAAGGCTTGCGACAAACGACAAAATATTTTTCTACGTCTGAGCCGCAACTTTGGATTTAATACAAAAAGAACTTCTCATTTGATGTTTTATTGGATATCTACGTAAAATAGAAATAACCAAGAAGTATATGACCTTAAAAAAACTAGCTCTATTATATGGATAGTACCTACACGTTTTTAAACTAATTCACATTACGATCTCTTAACAGACGAAATTAATATGGGAACATAAAGCTTTGGGGTAACAGTTGTTAAAAATTATCGGCAAAAAAACAAAGGAAATCAAGACGGAGAATAAGGATTGGGAATCAGATTAACTATGCCATGGAATTTGGCGAATTCCTCTTATTTTATCAGTTAAATCAAGCACTTGAAAGGGTGGTTCATCCAGTACTAAACTCCAAACAGCATGAAATCGTTGTATGGAACTTGGTCACGTAGCTTTTTTTATTTCTTTCTTAAGCCTTCCTCTGGCTGTATAATACTTCCAACAAATATCTTATTCTGAAGTCGATTCTGATTTATTGCTCTGTAATTGTTATTATCCTTCATTGAAATAGCTTTGATTTAGTTTGTAGAAACCGTTTATGATATAAGCTCAAAGTTTACCGTAAACAGGGGGCGTAAATACTACTGTCAATGATATTCGCGCGGACTTCTTGTGAGCAAATCAAACTAATATTTTGTTTGTTAAGTTTGACCACATTCCTGATCTCGCAGGTGTTTCGTGTGGGCGAGACGAGTAGGCGCCACACGTGGGTACAGGATGTAGCTCACGTGTAGCCATACTCACAATGTTTTCTTTGGCACATATACCACAGTAGCATCCTACGCAAACACCTTTAACAAATCTTTGGGTAATAACGTCTTCATATGAGACAAAGAACGCGGCAGCTGTACTGACATGCAATTAGTTCTCGAACACGACTTTCAGGAAATAACATATTTATTGCAGTGATTCACTGCAGCTGTAATTAGCAGAGTAATACACCCAATACATAAACAAGTTATAAAACCTACGAACGAAGTTCCACCTTGTACTCAGCTCATGTTTTTACACTAATTGCATTTCATTTCAAGGAATGGAAGACCGTTGTCAAGTTTTTGATTGACAGCCCGTAATTCAAAAACACTCGCTAAAGGCAGTGTTTTCAAAACTGAGTCGTCCCAAGTTTTCAATATTGCTACTTTTAAACATGCTGCTGAAGGGGAAATACGCCAAGTTAGGTCGACAATAAACAGGTTATCGTTGACTAACCTCAGTTCCATGTTGTAGTTCAAATCTGTAAAACGAGGCCCAAGCATCCCCGAGATCTGGGTCGAGTTTAACAGCCCTAAGGAAACACTCTTGATTGATAAGTGTGCCCAAGTGTGGAATACAGCAGAAACCCGCCAGCAAGAACCTGGTGTTTTAGAACCTGTTACGCTAAAATTTATCAGTTAGACCCCCTCTATACACGACCCTGTTTCGCTCAAGATTTGTAATAGGTTCTTATTTTCTAAAATCTATTTAAAAAATTCTGTACAATCAATCAAATAAGATAAGTCAACATTAAGGTTCCTCTTTGGAGATAAAAGTGCCTTATCGCTCCAACTGCAATGTGCAGCAAGCAGTTTTTATATAAGGAATAAGCTGGATATCACTAAATGCTCTTAGCTACAATATATAATTTTTCTTTAGAAAATAAGAACCTAAATAACCTAAATTTGTGCTAATTACCATTTATGTAAGAACCAGTTCAGTCTAACTTGGGAAATTGCAGGGTCTTAGTCGCGAGCTTTTACTGTAATAACCAACAAGGCAACCCCACATTTGGGGATGAAAATTAACCATAAGCATCTTTGAAAAATACCGTAAAATTCCGAAAATAAGCCCCTCCAAATAAAAGCCCCCCAAACTCGTAACGCAAAAAGCCCTCCGTTAAACCACCCCTCCAAATATAAGCCCCCTGGGGGCTTGTACTTTGAAATTGCCCTCAAATACAAAGTAAAAAAAACGGTAAATTTTCTTGAACTATAGGGCTAGCCCAATCGATTTTGAAACGCAAATTTCCCTCCGTAAATAAGCCCCTCCGAATATAAGCCCCTCAAAAAGGGCCTTTGAAAAATATAAGCCCCGGGGCATACTTTCGGAATTTTACGGTACTCGTTTGGAAGGCGACCTTTCTGAGGATGTCACGAATTGCAACCGAAGGTTGATTTTTAGTGCTCTTATCCCACTAAATAATCAGTATAAGAAAGCATTTACTTGTTGTGTTAAGCAGAAAGCATTCTAGCAAACGAAACACAAACTTCGAGTTGCTGTTCATAACATCCTAAGCTCGGGCTTTCTTTTTGCTTAAAGACACAGTACCTGTTGAACCACTCTCTCGCTTTGTTTATTTTTCGTTCACTCCAAAATAACCTAAAAACAATAAAATCAACGTTAGCACAAAGCAGTAAATGTGTCAAAATCAGCAGCCCAGCGCTTCTCTCCGCTAACTATTTCTTAAGGGCCTGATTACATTGAGATGGGGGACTCCAGATACGTGAGGTAACATGTGGCGGGTCACCCCATCTATCAAGTAAACGTGATCAAATTAAAATGACAGATTATATGGACAGACGGGTTACCCCACGTAAGCGGGTTACCTTACCAACCTGGGGTCCCCCACTTCCATGTAAACAGGCCCTTTGTCTAAAAAATAATCACCTTTATCTCACGCCTTTGCATATTTGGGGTAACACGACTTAATCACGTTCGAAAAGTCCAGTAGAAATACCGTTAAAGAGCTATTAAGTCCATGACAGGCTTTGCGTCAAGTCTCATTACCAGAGTCAGGGGAAGGGAGGCGGGAGAAATTTTTAGACCCTAAAACACCGGTTTCTTTGTGCAGATGTATGACGTTTTTTAGCACTTTTGATCAGCAGTTGCAGAGAGGCGAACCTTGCTCTTCCAGGCTTTTCGTGGCGAACGGTTTTGGGATTGACAGAGTGTGCACCGTGTCGCACTTCGTTTGTGTTGGAGACTTTTTAAACATAAACCTACTGGGCGGCCTGCAGAGGAGATCGCATAAGCAGAGAAAAGGAGAGACGAATTACAAAATCTAACGTCCCAATCTAGGGTGGGGAGGAGTGGGAGAAGAGGGCTTATCCCCTTTCCCCGCCTCCCCCCCCCCCCCAAAAAAAAAAAACACAAAACAAAACGACTTCCAATCTGTAAGCAACTGAACAGGAACGTCAGTTGACGACGGCGCGCGCAAATCAAACAACTGGCTTGACCGGTGGCTGAGCGGCAAATTGGGCACTGGAGGTCGAGTTTAGTGCTTTCCGCGCGCTTTCCCGTCGTCAAATGACGTTCCCGCTCTGTTGCTAAATCAGCCGAATTGTTAGAGGGGGTACTTAATAGAGCTATTATGGAACAGGACTGCACATAAAGTGCGACCGCCTAATTACGTGGTTTGAAAACCCGTTCATTAAGTCTACCCGCGTCATCTCGCAGGCTGAAGCATCTGCCTTTAGATCAATTATCCCGGACAATTCCAATCGATGTTACTTCTAACCTGGCAACCGCTAAAAGTACATGCGGATCATGCTCGCATCTTTTAAGTGCATCCACACTCTTTGTTTTTCTCTGAGGTCTGCTCTCCATGAAAATGGCTTCCGCCCAAAGAATTCCAGACGCAGGACAATCTTGCATAGCTGAAATAAGGAAACAAGGATTGCTCAACTTCTTTGAATAACTTTCATGAAAAGAAAATCTTGTTTATAAGTTAACAGTCTACCTACAGCAACTCTCCTCTTCTACCCTCCCCTCAGGGTGTACTATTGTAGAATTGGGTAGCCTGCGAACGACAGACGTTTCTCCTCGCTCCTGGCCGCCGAGGGACGTTTCGCGAGGAGGAACGTCTGCGATTCAGCGACAGAAATTCCATACTGATGACGTAAATCAAAATTTACATAATAAATCCGGTAGTCATGGGTTCCAATGCAAATTTGTTCAATTTTACGTCTCTCCTGGTCGACTTTGGAAAAGTGTTGTGTTCATCTGCGAATGAGCTCCAGCAAAACGCAAATGCTTATTCCAGAGAAGACTATATTCAACACATAACTATTTTGTTAGAGATTCATCGCGTTCACATTTGACCTTTGTCGCGTTTTGTCTTTTGACTGTCATTCGTAAACAATAGCTAGAACAATGAAATTACTCCGTCGACCAATTAGCGCTTCTGACCGGATTCCGGACAGATTTTGCGTCATCAGTATGGAATTTCTGTAGCTGAGTCGCAGATGTTCCTCCTTGCGAAACGTCCCTCAGAGGCCATGAGCGAGGAAAAACGTCTGCCGTTCGCAGGCTAAGAAATGGGCAGAGCAAGGGTAGACAAGGGCATGCACATAAAGCACTTAGTCCCCTAACTGTTTAGTGACGTCTTGCTTTCATGGTAACAGACCATCATACAGACCTTTGTTTACTTATCATTAACTTCAAATTATAATACATAGGAGGTTTACCTCGGTTTAAGAACCACTGAAGTTTTTCTTTGTTTTGATATCTATTATTTTCCTAGGTCCTATATCTTTGTTTTCTTTGTTTTATGTCGCTCAAGAGTGTTACAGCTTGTTACATCGAGGATGAGCCAAATTCGGACTGATCTCAGATTGAATAGCACTGAACCGCACGTGTTGCCCTAGCCCTCTAAAACACGATTGAGAATCTTCTTTTTTTTTTCCTTTTTCTACAATATCAATACTTAAAAGAGTCGTGAAGACACAAGAACTCCTGACATGTCACCCAGTGGATTCTTGAGTAGAGTTAGGGCCCGTTTACATGGAGGTGGGGGACCCCAGGTAGGTGAGGTAGCCCGCCTGTCCACATTATCTCTCATTTTAATGTGATCACGTTTACATGATAGGTGAGGTGACCCGCTGCATGTTACCTCACCTATCTGGGGTCCCCCACCTCCATGTAAACAGGCCATTAAACTTGTATATGCCTCTGAATACAATCATCTCTAAACGCTTCCCACCACTGGGGACATTTGAAGAATGGAAAGGTGTCTTCACAGGCTCAACTTGCGTGTGAAAGACCCAATCAGGGGCACCCAACGTGAATTTAAGGAAAACATCTGTTCGGAAGACGATTTGAGATCTAGAGTTTTCGGAACATTTGTTGCAAAATTTCTTGCTTGCCTGCCTCTCGTAGGATTTTCGAACATCCAAAAAATGGTATAATTGCCCATTTTTAAAGGATTTTACCCTAAAAAAGTCAGCTAGAATTTTCGGGAGCCTTTTTTCTGGCTGAAATTTTCGAAAAGGTAAGTTTTGATCCCTATAATTTTCAGATCACTAGACTTTCTGCTAGGAAATCCGAACAAATGAAAAATTTTTAGGGGATAAATATATGCCTATATCTACCGTTTAAATCCTAAAATACGTTTAACAATGCTATGTTTAAGTGGTTTTGAACTATATTCTCGCTGGTTGCCCCTGTCAACTTGCGTGTGAAACACCCAATAAGTCAAAAAGAGGGTGACAGGAGAGTTTTACTTCAAAATCAAGTGGTTGGCTTACGAAACAGCACGGTTACCTTTTGCCATCAAAGTGCGAGCAAATTCTTTACGCCCTCCTCTGGTTTCTATCCGAACTGCTTCAAGCCTAGGTCAAACAGAAACCAAAAATTAATGGGCAAAGCGATGGAAAAAATAAGTGATATAAAGCCAGGTAGAAGTGACAGGCATGCCAAAATATGAACATGTGCGAAAAACTGGAAATTTTAATTGTTAAGAAACGGTCCAGGTAAGAACGATAGCAACAACGGCAACGAACATGTTGGAATGCAAAAACCGTGCTAACTTTTCTATTGTCTGTACTTACTTCTGATTGGCTTAAACAGCAAAAGTTAACAAAACGTCATAAAGCAGTACATATATTCATCCTTACTTTCCAACCATCTTCCATATAACAAAATCTGGTCTCAGTTTGAATAAAAAGAAATCCTATGTGGGGAACATGTAAAATTGTAAACTTTCCTTGGCTGTCGTTTTCAGCTCTTGTGATTGGTCAAAACCTTTTAACACAAAAAAACACCCTTTCAAAGTGGAGTGTAAATGCCTTTTATTACGTAAACGGCCTTCATGTAAGTTTATTCATTCTCTGTGTAAAAATGAGAACATTCCTATGTGGGGAAAGCACCGTTGCCGCATAACAAAAGAAATTGCTATCCACCTTACTCGGATCATTACTTAAAACAAACCATAGTTATTAGAGGAGACTGGTTATGAAAAGCGGCAAACATCAATGATAAAAACAACAGTGCTGCAGTTTATGTTCAAAGCACCGTGAAAGTGCACAATCCTTTGTTTTCTGTTGGCAAATTGTTACGGAATAAATTAATGCAACGTTTTTATTGGTCAATACAATCAAAATGATAGGAATTCTTTTGAACGTTGTGCACTTTCAGGTCCACAAAAACATATAACAAAGGAGTCTGACGGGTTTCATAACCATTCCACTCAATTAACTATGAACAAACCAAACGAAACAGTGCTGAAAAAGTGAGTTATATGAGGATTATAGTTTTATTCAATTAAATTTACCAAAGAGAATAAATAAATGTTGGCTGTTGTGGTTTTGAAGTTGTCTTGGCCTTTAACCTATGAAATTTCGAAAAATTTTCAGACATAAGCAAGTTGCAAGGTCTTGCAATGTCTCGAAGGAGTGTTTCTGAGAACATGGGAACTGGTTTTTCCAGTTTAGAGTTTCTTCAGGAGCCAGACTCCTGTTAGATCAACTGAAATAGTGACATTATAGAAATTCCTTCAATCGTTTTGACGGTAAATAATTAATCCGCATTTTTGACGCTTGACGGTTGAATTTCAGGCCGTTTGACAGCTCTCGACGGTTAACCCTATTAAGACCCTCAGATAACTAAATTAAAATAGAAAAAAGTGGCCGGGACACCGCCACATCCGTAGCCAATTATGGCAAGTCCAAAAGGGCGTTTGTAACGTACGATAATTGGAGAGGGCGTTTGCCAGGCGCAACTCCACATCTTAAGCGTTTTCAACATTATGATAAACTTTAATCTTACCATAATTCCGGGGATTTGGAAATTTTCTGGCGGGCTTGTTCAAAAACAGATCTTGCTTTAGTAGTTAGGCCTGAAAAACGGAGAAATGAAATAACTTGACATGCTTAAACTACAAGAAAGTGAAATCCACTATTAGGACCAGGAACGACCACGTATCGGAGAATAAGCTAAAGATTTGAATGAACGTTCGCACATCTTGGTTTTCATACCTGTTTTTTCTTCAAGCCTGCCTAATAAAAGCCAAATTGGAATGGAACGGGGACATTTTTTCGTCTGCAACAAAGAAAAGAGGCACGTGTCCGCAGTCAAGTAAAATAGTTTCATTCATGTAGAAAATGAAAATACAAAGACAGCACAATTTGTTTAATATAAATGCTTTTATTTTAATTTGCCCAAAAGTACTATACTGGAAGGCACTTAAGTACTAGGTGTTTGTGGTTGAGGAGGTGTTTGTCAAGAATCCAAACACCCTCAGATCTCCTTCGGAAATCTTCGGAACGTCTGGCAGAATAGGAGATGTTCGTGCGACCTCCAGACATCGTTTGGAGAATTTTCGAAAATTTTCGGCTGCGGGTGGGTATCAAATCATGTCAAATGTTTAATCCAATACCTCGCATGGACCGGTTTCCGATTTCATAATCTCAGATATAAAGATAGCTAAACAGTCGGGCATAGATTCTTTAGATCAAAATTATGTCCTCCCTTACGTATCTGAATAAAGATCGAATTTCTCATACACTCACCCCTTGCTTATAGGCTTCTCTTGCGTTATCCACGTTATTTAACTCTTCTTGTATCTGACCTTTCATCATCCATAACTTCAATATATAATTAAAAAATAAATAAATAAATAAATAAATAAAACTAAGCTTTACAGCAGACAAAGTTATCAATGCAACGGATTTGTTCTGATTCGAGTGTAGTTCTTCAAAGTTGTTAGTCACTCTTACCTTCGCAAAATCGGGATATTTTTGAACAGCTTCGTCCAACAACCGTTCCGCCTGGGAAACAGAACAGCAAGATAAAAATTAAAATTGGAAGGAATAGAGAGAAGAATAGTGACGTCACATCACCATGGTAGCAAAATTTCTGGACCACAACGATAGGCAGCTTAAGCAACGATGACAGCGACGACAACTAGAACGGCCAAAAGGTAGTAGGTTTATAAAACCAGAACAACAACTTTACACGTACCACTCTTTTTTGCACTTTTCGAAGCTGTCGTTGCACGACTGCGACATGAAACTTCCTAATTTCACGCGCCCACTTTCAGGAGTACGTGAACACAACACGAGAAATTTTCTTTTTCCTTTGCTCAACTTAGATACGGTCTTTTCGGGTATAACCCTAGAACATTTCGCCAACACTTGACAAATTAAATGAAATTGAATAAGATCGATGAAGTTTGAAACAGTGCGAATTTACTTTTTAGTGACGTTTTCGGTTTGTTGTCATCTAGAAATCTTGCTACCATAGCAACGTGAAGTAACGACTTGGCCTGAGCACAAGCATACTACACTTTGCGAAGCGCTCGAAAAAGATAACGGCTGCCAAACGCGGGAAAAGGCAAACAGGTGTCAACCGCGGGAAATAGATAGCGGGTGACAAGCGCTGCGCAGGAAAAAGGTAACGGGTGCCAAGCGCGGAAAAAAGGTAACGGTTGCCAAGCGCGGGAATTGGAGTTTACAGGTGCAAATAACGGGAAATAGAAACAGGATGCCAAGCGCGGTAGATAGATTATGGGTAAATAATGGGTACCAAGCACGAGAAAGAGATGACGGGTTCACAAGGCGGGAAAAAGATAAAGGTTACCAAGCGCGGGAAATACATACCTCTGAAAGATTTCCCAAGACCCACTCTAACTTGATGGATTTCATCATCACCTGAGGGTTAAAAAAAAAACCTTTAAAAGTGAAAGAATTTGTTTAACTTAAAAAGAAAATTGAAGTTGAACGAATGTCTATATCGGATAAAGAAACGAGTAAAAGTTACGCATGCACACGATCTTAGCGCTTCGTCAAGTGTTCTGTCTAAGCCCTAAGAACGTCTGCGTGTAGAACAAAACGCGTCTGCGCTATAGAACAAAAGGTACGTTAGAAACACAAAAAACTGAAAGCAATCATAACACGCCTCGTACAACACGGGCTTCTACCTACCCTCGGTGTGCATGCGTTGTGTCTTGCTCGCTGTAGAAGTTTTCTGTTAAAAAACAAGACACATTTTATTTCAATTGGGCTGGGAGCGTCAATAGTCTATTACACCTAGAAAGGTTAACCAACGAAAAACAATGAAGACTAAACCAACACGAACAAGTTAAAGAACAAGCAACTTAACTGGTGTCACCAACAGACAATTCGGCAACACTAACCTTTTCAAGTTGCTGTCTATAATCATTGGAAGTAGACAACAACTTAAAAAGGTTAGTGTTGCCGAATTATCTGTTGGTGACACCAGTGTTGCTCCTGCTAGTGCTGCACGAAATCTTGGAGTTCTGTTTCATCCACATCTGAAGTTTGATGCTCAAATTACAAAAACGTGTTGTACAGGTTACTACTATCGCCATAATATAAGAAAGATCAGGAAAAACCATAGGGAGCCCACAAAATCTGTTTGTGTAGCCGATTGTTATTTTATAGTAAATGTACTGGATTTACCGTTTGCTTCACCTTTTGCGATATATCGCTAACTATGTATATAAATCAATGATAAATAAACGTTGAATTACCTTACCTGTGGTATATAGTCGTCGTTTTACCTCAAAAGCGGTCTTTTGAGCGATTTTGAAGGAGTTTGATTTCGCCGTTGACTGTTCCTTATAATAATAATATAATAATAATATAAGGAACAGTCAACGGCGAAATCAAACTCAAAAATCGCTCAAAAAACCGCTTTTGAGGTAAAACGACGACTATATACCACAGGTAAGGTAATTCAACGTTTATTTATCATTGATTTATATCCATAGTTAGCGATATATCGCTATAGGTGAAGCAAACGGTAAATCCAGTACATTTACTACAAAATAACAATCGGCTACGCAAACAGATTGTGTGGGCTCCCTGTGGAAAAACTTAACGTTGGATTCAACCAGATGTTTGGTTAATGCACTGGTAATGGGGCGTGTAGATTACTGTAACAGTTCACTCTACGGTCTTCCGAGAAATAATACCAATAAGCTGCAGCGTCTTCAGAATATGGCTGCCAGGTTAATAACAAATACTCCGCGGTTTTGTCAGATAACACCTGTACTGTGTCAGTTACACTGGTTACCAATAAGTGTCCGGATTAAATTTAATGTGATACTTACAATATTTAAAGCAATACATGGACTGGTTCCATATTATGTACAAAATTTAATAGAAGTTAAGAACAACCTTAGGTCAAATGGTGAACTGTCACTGGCTCCACCGACGTTCAAGTCTAAAAAGACCTTAGGCGTCAGGGCCTTCCAAGTGGCTGAATCGACTCTATGGAACAAACTTCCAAGTGCATTTAGGATGGAAACATGAAGCATTTCAAAGCTGACGACAAACGTTACTTTTCAAAGAAGCCTATGATTTATAGATTTACAATTATTATTATTATGACTTATCAATTAACGATTTAAGATAATTTTAATTACTAAGTTACGATACATTTAATAATCAAATCTTATAATTGCCTTTTAATTGTATATATACTAGAGAGATTTATACTAAATTTTTAGTTTTTTTAGGAAATTTTATGTATAATTTTATATAATTTTTGTTGTTGTTGTTAGAGCGCATAAGATCACATTTAAATGTCATTTGCGCCTTACAAATAAATTATTATTATTATTATTGTTATTGAATAATAGTAAACAGGGTTAGAATTTTCACTCACCTTGCTCTCTGATCTTCGTTATTTTCGCTTTCTAATTTGACGGCAGCCAGCCAAATTTCCTCACTGTTTGGATTGGCTTGAAACGCAAGAGACAGGATTTGCCGAGCATGATTTATCTCCCCCTACAACGAACAATCAAACTGAGATGATGACAAGGAACATTTTAAAGATGAAACAAGAAAAAAAACTTCTACTCTAAGAGTGCTAATAAACAAAATTCAAGAAAAATAAACTGCCAAATTTTATTTTGTTTAAAACTGAAAACAAATAACACCAGACAAAAATACTTCCAAAGAGATTTTACTTGAAAGGGCACACTTTAAGATTTCATCCACGCCTCAAAAGGTAGAACCACCTTGTACAGCATAATAAACAGTACCACAGGAAAGTACTGCTCAGTAGCTTTCATTTGAAAGGCCACACCTTAGGATTTCATTTAAGACTCAAAAGTTAGAACTACCTTGTACAGCATAATAACAGTACCACACGAAAGTACTGCTTAGTAGCTTTCATTTGAATGGTCACACTTTAGGATTTCATCAGTTCACAGACCCAAACGTTAGAACCACCTTGCACAGCATAATAAACAGTACCACAGGAAAGTACTACACAGTAGTTTTCATTTGAATGGTCACACTTAAGGATTTCACCCACAGACTCAAAAGTTAGAACCACCTTGTACAGCGTAAGTACTGCTTACTAGCTTTCATTTGAATGGTCATACTAGTCTTTAGGATTTCATCCGCAGTCTCAAAAGTTAGAACCCTCGTGCAGCATGCTAGTCGCAAGAAAGTACAGCTCATCCAGCAGCTTCCATCTGAACGATCACACTACAGATTTCGTTCAGGGACACAAAAAGTTAAACTAATAACATCACATTATAAAGTACAGACTGCACTATGACTTACGGCCATCCATTTTGATTTTGCTCCCATGAGCCACAGGACTTCAGCTTTGGGGCAGTGCTTAACTGCATTCTGTAACAGGGCTTCTAGAGATTCTCTGTTTAAGGACAAACCAGGACTTAGGTTAACAGCAAAACCTACTTAGTTAAGTTGGCAAAATTAGTCTTGGTATAGGCAAGTATTAAGGAAAAATAGACATAAAAAGTCTTGCTCTGGAAGGTGCAAATTTAAATGCGCCAACTGGAAAACAAATTCATTCAAAATATAACCTGAGTATTAAGACTTTGTTTCTCTCGCTTCATCCCTAATTTCGCATTTAGAAATATCTCCAATTGACTTGTTCAGCATACAAAGCCCCTCTTTGACTGAACTGCCCAACTCTAGCAGTCCGTAACGATTCTTTGCATGGGCGAGCAGGAGAGCAGACGGAGAATTGGGGCGTGGAGTGGGGGGGAAGCGAGTTCCTTATCTGCCCGTCCACTCCCTACAGTCTCGCAGTGACAGCGTGTTTGTACATACAAAATCGAAGCAGACTACAAGCAGTTTATTCCTCACCAGTGAGTGATAATTTATTAGCCCACAGGAAAGTCAGCAACATTGGATGTAGTGAACTTACCTTGTCCCATGGTTCTTTTCGAAGTGCGCAGCTCGTAACCAGACGCTTTTCTTGCTGGGAAATACGGACAGGGCATGCGCGTAAATAGCTCGTGCACATTCATATGCACTGTTAGCAATACACTGCAGATTAAGATGGAGAAAGCTTGATTAAAATCTTCAAATCAAACGCAACGCCCCCATATCTACAAACAACTTGTCCAAATTTATCTGGATGTATTTCCTTAAAGAATCAGTTGAGGGAATTCAATAAGAGATTTAACAAGCATTTTTCCCTTGTTGACTATTTTTGAAATTATCGTAACCTTTTTTCTTAACGATGCATTGTTGTTGTTAGGACAAAAGTTATGTTGCTTACTCTTGGAGTAAAATACCGTGAGATATCCCACGAGTGACACTATACACTCAGACCCTTTAGGCGAGTGTGTATACAAGCATTTCCATTATTTAACAAACTTGCGCGGAAGTACCCTGGGTGCCAGAGCTTCGCCGCTCGTGTCTTCGCTCGGCCGAAGACGAGTCGGCCTGCGACCGACGAAGCTCCTCGTCGCACACGAGAAAAAACCTCTGGTTCCCAGGGTAGCGCGGAGGAGGTCTTAAATAAGCAAATAATAAATGTCTGGTTGACGATTAGCCCGTGACGAGAAAGGAGAAAAGCATACAAGTCTGAGAACTCGGCGGGTTTACCTGCAACATACAGGGCTGGTCTAAGATGTAATTCTCAGGAAATTAATGACCTATTGATGACCACACGAGCCTGTCCAAGGCTAATTAGCCAAGGTGATTCGACACGCAAAGTCATTATCGCACATCCGAATCGCGTGAGATGCTGGACCATTCGAAATCTGTATTGATTGAATCGTGCGTTGTCATGGGAACACTTACACTCTCGGCATCATCCATCCACGTGTGCTTTCTGTCCTCTTCCTCTACCCCGATGCCAATCACAATATCACTGAAAAAAGAAAAAATATATATGTCATCTGTCCAGTCAAGAGCTCACCAGCTTGTTTCTTGGACTGTCTTGAAATTTCACTAGCACGAAGTTTTCCTTTTAATTCCTAGATTGGTCACAGTCCCCTATTTTTTCGCAAGATCGTCAGGATCGAGCGCTTACCGGTACGGGCGGCCATCTTAGTTTCATATGAACCGAGGGGGCAGGTGTCGGGGTTTATAGCCGTCGGTGGAGGGAGGCGAGAACTCCCCCCGCTCCCAAGTAGATTTCAGTGATACTCATCCAAATTGGCCGCCATGAAGCAAAGCGCTCGATCGCGACGATCTTACGGAAAAATGGGGGACTGTGAACAGTACATTTATCAGTTCCAAAAACCAATCAATATAACTTACATTATGGCCCTACAAGTCTGTACACTGTCAGCTTTCTCGCTTTCCTCGGCATCCTTTATCCATTGATCTCTATTAATTTCCACACCATTTGCTTTTAAAGACGTAACAGCTAAGGAGGAAAGTCAGAAGGCGATGTTAGTCTATTGCTCATACCAGGGGAGAGGGGTGGGGGGGGGGTCAATTCAGCGCAGTCTTGTACGAGGAGCCAATCCCTTGGGATTGGGAGCCATTTGGGAGCTTAAAATAAGCAACAACGACGGCGACGGCTACGAAAACGTCACTTACAAAGTGAACTCGCGCTGCCTCAAACGTTATCGCGCTTATTCCATCTCGTTTAATTCATCAAATGTTGGCAAATGTTTTAGAGTTGAATTCTAAAGGACTGCATCAAAGTTCAGGAAAAGAAAAAGGAAGTTGTTGTCTTGTGTTCCCGTCCCCGACAAAACGTGAAATTAGGCACTTTCACGTTGTAGTCGTGCAACGACGGCTAAGAAATGTACAAAAAAGCGTGATGCACGTGCAAAGGTGCTTTTTTTGCTAATATCAGCCGATCCATTGCTTTACGTTTTGGCCGTTCTCATTGCCGTCGCCGTTATCGTTGCTTAAGCTCCCTATTTTTGATAGAAAACCTACCGCGCTCGTAACCTTCTGTTAACAAATGGTACCCATCTCACATACTTCGTTCAGAATACTGCATCTCTTTCAAGTGTAGTAAATGCACCGTCTCTCTACCAAGTAAGTTGTTGTCTTGTGTTCCCGTCCCCGACAAAACGTGAAATTAGGCACTTTCACGTTGTAGTCGTGCAACGACGGCTAAGAAATGTACAAAAAAGCGTGATGCACGTGCAAAGGTGGGTTTTTGCTAATATCAGCCGATCCATTGCTTTAAGTTTTGGCCGTTCTCATTGCCGTCGTCGTTATCGTTGCTTAAGCTCTCTACTTTTGATAGAAAACCTACCGCGCTCGTAACCTTCTGTTAACAAATGATACCGATCTCACATACTTCGTTCAGAATACTGCATCTCTTTCAAGTGTAGTAAATGCACCGTCACTCTACCACGGCAGGTTTAGCTCAGTCGGTAGAGCGCTTGACTGCAGAGCGGGAGGTCGCGGGTTCGATTCCCGGGGCCGGACCAATACTCAGGGTCTTAAAATAACTGAAATGAAGGTACTTCCTTTGTCCTTCAAACGGCTAGACCTTCGCGTGGCTCGGATGACCACGTAAAATGGCGGCCCCGTCTCCACTAGGAGACGTAAAATTAGTGTCCACAATTAGTACTTTCGTGCTAAATACATTGACACTCAAATAAAGTGCATATTTTTTTCTTTTTAAAAGTATTGAACCAGAAAGGTTTCTTGTCTCTTTTACAGCCATAAAAACCGTCTACGGGCCCTTTTAAGTCCTTTTCACATACCGATATGACAGCCCCCTCCCTCTCATATCCGTTAACAAGTGAAACCCCTACCCTTTCATATACCTGAAACCTGAAAAGGTACCCCTTTCCCGCATAGGTCATTATAGGGAGTAGCCCTTCCCCCACCCATCCCTACCGTCCACAGCTCCTTCAATAAAACGAGCGTTTTAAGATTCCGCAAGGCGCTTAAAAGTACTTGTACCTCTGTCAATGATCTTTTCCACCATAGGAAAGTTGTCATTAGCTTCTTCAAGTTTTGCTGCTGTTATCCAAATTTGTCTATCGGTTGGAATATTTTCACGAGCTTTGTTCAAAACCTACAGTTAAATCAAACATTTAAACGTCAAAACAACAACAACAACAATCACAGCACAAGTAACTAAAATTTATCAATTTTTTAAAGAGTTTCATCAGGTTGGAAAACTGAAAGGCAAATTGCTTTTAAACTGACGATCAATTGTGCTTAGAGTATTTAACTGACTGGGAAAGCGCATAAAAACACTCGCTATCTTCTCATATCAAAAAGATTGCAAAAGGCAACTTTGAAAGACCTTTAGTTCACTGAAACCAAACGAGGGGCGTAAACCCGCCTTTCCATCCTCCACAAAACTTGACCTTTTTTTGTAGAAAATGGACATTTCTCCAACGTTTGTAAGTTCTTCTTTACAGTGTTTTGTTACACACGCAGTGCTCCGTAACATCATGAAAAATACCGCCTAATAATACAACAGTAAGTGTATGAATGTCTCTTTAGTTCTTACCTTCCTTGCATTTTCATAGGTTTCCAGGCGGGCAAGGGCAAGCCAAAGCTATGAAATAACAAACAAAAAAACTGGAAAGTGAAAGGAGGCAAAAAACTGTGTTTGTAAAAAGAGTCCCACAATTAAAAAATTACCTCCACGCTGGTTGGACAGCATTCTACCGCCCTGCTCAACATGATCTGTGCATCTTCTGGTCCTTCAAGTTCTACAGCAGCTTTCCAGATCCTTACTGAGTTTGGAATGTGTTCTAAAGCTAAAGGGATTAACACAAACGAGAAAAAAATTCACATAACTAGTTTTGAACTTTTCCAATCCCTTGACTTCTCACGTGCTCACAGACTAGAAGCAGTCCTTTTCTTACCTCATGGATAGTAGAGTGAACGATACATGCGAGCGCGCGTGACAATCCCAACCGGCGGGGAACGTGGGCGCGTGTTCGCTCGATTTGACCTCTCAAGTGCTCACACACTAGGAGCAGTCCTTTTTTTACCTCATGGATAGTAGAGTGAACGATACATGCGAGCGCGCGTGACAATCCCAACCGGCGGGGAACGTGGGCGCGTGTTCGCTCGATTTGACCTCTCAAGTGCTCACACACTAGGAGCAGTCCTTTTCTTACCTCATGGATAGTAGAGTGAACGATACATGTGAACGCGCGTGACAATCCCAACCGGCGGGGAACGTGGGCGCGTGTTCGCTCGATTTGACTTCTCAAGTGCTCACACACTAGGAGCAGTCCTTTGCTTACCTCATGGATAGTAGAGTGAACGATACATGAGAGCGCGCGTGACAATCCCAACCGGCGGGGAACGTGGGCGCGTGTTCGCTCGATTTGACTTCTCAAGTGCTCACACACTAGGAGCAGTCCTTTTCTTACCTCATGGATAGTAGAGTGAACGATACATGCGAGCGCGTGTGACAATCCCAACCGGCGAGGAACGTGCGCGCGTGTTCGTTCGCTGACGCTCTACTACCCATAAGGAAAATAGGGGGCCTCTCCTAGGGCGCTTTCCATTTACGAAAAAAACCCGGAAATTTCGGTGGTAGCAAAAGTGGAATTTCCGATTGGTAAAAAGTTGTTCCATTTGGTCGTAAACCCCGGTACGTGGCGGTGCCCAACCGTGGACCTGGAACTGGTACAAACTACGAGAAACGTAAATGGAACACGACATTCCGTTCGGAAATTCCAACCGGGTAAACGGGCCCACCTTTTTAGATTTTCCACTTTTTCTGGGAATTTTCCAGTGGGACGAACCGACGAAACGTGTTCCATTTACCGCCGAACCGGAAATTCAGGAAATTTTGACTAAATGGAAAGCGCCCCTAGTCTTTTAAGTGTCCGCCTCCCTCCTTACCCCACACCCCTTGCTAAAAAAGGACCCCGTGCGTTGATCAGAGATGACCAGTAATTGCTATTTACCATGAGGTCTGCCAGTTAGTGCAAGCTCATGAATACAGGACAGTAACCGGTCATCTCGCCACCACCGAAGTCACTATCAAAAATGTCGACTCGCCGCCAACCAACTCGCCACCAAGTACTAACTCTGTAATAATCGACGCGTCTACTAACCTAGGATTACTTACCTAGGATTTTTACGATTTTAAATAGTCAAAAGTTGCTAAACCCCCAGCGCCTAGCTAAACCAAGACCAAAATGATGGGTTTGCATAAATGGGTTTGCCATTGATAGGTGGCGATTTCGTTGGTGGCGAGATGACCGTAAACCTACAGCACTATCCATTTGGGGGTTGGTTATGTTGGGGTTTTACTCACTACGGATGTTCCGCTTTACCTTTCCTGTAGACTCGCTTCTTTGCTTTGACTTCATCCTCCAATGCTGCAGCTTTTATCCACAGTCGAACTGATAGAGGCAGTTGACCCACGGCTTGAGCACACACTGATTTGGCAGATTCCGGGGGCTGCAAAGTCAATAAATAAAGCATATCATTATATAGTCCATTAATAAGGAAGGTAGTAAACACGTCCAATTTCACAGTGCGGCAGGGGAGTACGGGAGCCTGCGAGCAAGCTCTCCATTTGGGCGAAAAGATGGACAGTCATGCACAAGTTGCAGACCCTCTCATTCTCATCGTTGCTTTACCACTTCACAGCACTTCCCTTAATTGCCCCTTCCCACAAAAAGCGCCAGATATGCAGGCTATTTGTAGACGAGAATCAGGACGGTCCACAAAGACGTTAAGTTGTTCAGTATTTTAACGGAAGATGCAAAGGCCGGGCTTGCTTATCAGAACGTGTGGCACCTCAGACACAGGGCCTGTCTCAAATAGCTCTCTCAAATACAGAGTTTGAATCAACAAAACTGTTGATGAAGATATTGTTTGAGTAGTCACTGCAGGATATCAAGCATCCCTTTGAAACAGTGCATATCAATTTACCAACAACTGAAACTGTCACTGCCAAAAACAGTATTTTGCAATAGGTACTGTAGACTATGAGTAGTCCCCCATTTTTCCTCAGGGAGCGTGTGGGGTGATTTTCACGCACGCTCGCGTTTCTCTCGCTGTGCTATCCCTGAGGAAAAATGGGGGACTACTCGTAGTCTATAGGTACTGTGGACACACAGGGTAAGCGTATTACTGTAGATTTCTTTTTTAATTTAGTAGTAATTACCTGTAATCGGATAGCTTCAAGCCAGACATCTTCATTTTTTGGACAGACCTCAGTTCCTTTCACGATTGTGTTGCGTGCTGCTTGCATGCGGCCTGTCACTTCCTCTAGACGAGCAGCGGCTATCCAACCTACAAGTAGGATAGGAGATTACCCAACAAAGCTTTGTTGCCAATAATATTTAATCATCATTGGCATCGTCATCATCATTGTCATTATTAGTAATCAGATTATTACTATTATTATTTTACTATTACATTGTTATTATCATTATAATCATAACTATAACAAAATTCTCAAATCTGATTGGCTATCAACTGCCCTGATTTCAGCCTTAATTGGACAGTTTGATAGGACAGTACGCGTCATGCCTAAGTAATTGGACAGTACGCGCCATCAAGCGCGCGCTTAAATGGCTTTTTTTTCAATGCTAGCAAAACAAAATTTCGAATTTCTTGCGTTTTGATTTAAAAAATAGCCTATTATATCACAAATTTTGTTAAAGTTATGATTAATTGGTAACAGAACTTCGTGTCGTCCAATTCGGTCTGTAATCATACTCGTGATTAAACAAATCGGACTCCCGCTACGCGGTCGTCCGATTTTGTTATCGCTCGTATGATTGCAGACCGAATTGGACTCCACTCAGTCCAGTTACCATTACTTATTATTTCTTTTTGTGTTAACAGTTTCCACAGAAACTGCAACACTATGCAGTCCCGTCTCTAGTCTGTGCGTAAGTAAGAAAAGCGTTAATTCTAAAGGCCAGGTGCAAAATACTGTATGACTCAGTTGGTAAAAACAAGGAGAGCCTATTACGCTCTAGTTGTTGCTTGTCAATTTTTTTTTTAGTCAAAAGTAATTGCAAACAAGGGGTAACTGCGGTCATCGGCACGCTACATAACATGAAAATAACATTCACTTTCTCTTCAAGGCTAGTCATAGGTATGCTACATGATGCGTCAGATAAACAAGTGTCACCTTAATGCAAGAACTCATTAAATTTCTTCAACAGAACAGGTTGCGTTTCAAGCTTATATGACACAGCAAGCCAATAAAATCACAAGTGCAAAACAGATATAACAAAAACTGTAAACATGTTCTCTCTATAGAGAGCTATTTTTTTTATCTTGCCATTCTTGGAGAACAGAAGTTCAGTTGTACAGGCATAAGTATTTTTTCAGATTCATATCTTGTTCAAACATATTTGACCAAACAGCATACTATTCATACAAATTACAACAACAACAACAACAAAAAATCAAATGATTATGGAGCATAAGTATATTCTCTTGCTGATACAAAAATTTGTAACTTCCCATAACCAATTTGCCGCGGAAGCGCACGTAACTGCCGGGGTGTATTTACGTCCCTTGTACCGCTTGTGATGTCATGTTTAGGCGGTCAAGGATAATTTTGCCATTTTCCTTGTACAGGGAGAACAGATCTTTCAAACCATACCAGAATGAGCGCCATTCAGTCAAGAAGGCCCGAGAAAAAGGCAAAATAAAATCATGTAACGCTGACCCCAAAATTCCCAGGGGCGAAAGGGTTAATAGCAATAATACTACACTGTAACTTTTAAAAAAGCTTTGAAAACAAGTGTCGTTACTTACCAGGGCCATGTTGTGGGTTTGTAGTAATAACAGACTTCAACAAAAGTCGTGCTTTCTTTATATCCCTACACAGAGCATATACACAATGTGACGTACAATAATTTGAAACAAAGTTGAAAAAAATTATACCAAGACCTTCACAGGTAGAAGGGAATCGATAACAAGTTATCACTGAGGGGCCAAGGAAAGGAGCTTTCTCTTGCCCCATTTTCATGTCTCCTCTTGCGTGCTTCTTGCACGTCTTCTTTTCACAATATCCCCCAAATAGAGAGCTTGCTCACAGGCTGCTCCAAAAGGTACCTTCCAGTTAAAATATCTTGTCTACTGGGTGCAGATTTTGCTTGTTTGTGGGGTGGGGCGAAGAGGATATCCCCTATTCACTGATAAAATAATACTGCTGACCGTTCTTACCCAATATCTCCACCAGCGGAGGGTGTTAAACTCTGAAGATCTGTAAGATATCCCTTAGGATCCACAACAGTCTGACCACTAACTGAATCAGATGCCTATAAATCAAAGACATAAATTGCGGACAGAATTAAAATGCAACAACTAAATTAGGTCCAGTAGGTGACTCCAAATAGTTTTATAGTAAATCTGACGAGTAGAATAATTATTGCAATTATTGTGGAGAAACATTTCAATCATGCTTCAAGCATTGACAGATTAACTATTTAGTTGACAAAAATAAGAAAACTCAACATCTATCAAAATTTATGAATAGAAAGAAAAATGATTAATTATTTAAAAGTGTGAAATAACTATGCCGCTAAAAAGTAAGTAAAAATTATCTCAAAATAAGGACAGTAAGAGGGATCAGAAAAATAAAAAAAAATCCCTTAGCACAAACTGACTTACACTGAACAAAAAGACTGGGTTTTAGTTTCTTCATAAAAACATTAATTTCAAAAAATAAGACAGTCCACATTTTTGTGTCCTTTTTTTACATAATGCTATAACTCTCGCTGACATCTTTTGGTATCAATCCATGCCAACAACGAAAATCACTAACAGATAAAGATCAAGGAGTTTTCATTTTCATCAAAGTGCTAACGGGCAGAAAAAAAACCTCTTTACAGCAGTCATCAATGCACTACTGAATACAAAAACCGGTCACATTGTACATTGCTCAGGAAAGTCCAGTTTTTATTCAATATTAAAACTACGCTGGTAAGGATTAAGCATTGAAGTTGATGCACTAATAATTAGTAAGTTAATTTTTCATTTTATTACTTATTAATAAATGAAATATTCACTTAAGTTGAGTTTGTAGCTTTCCTCTTGACATAATGTTCTTTAGTTTTTTATTGTTTTTCTTCCCTAACTTTTTTCTTTCTAAATTATTGATTAATAATAACATGAAGTGTAATGCGTACATAGTTTGCAGTTGCATGATAAAATATATTTTCTTTCTGAAAATATGTATATTTGTGTAAGAAACTTATTATTTTGTGTACAGTCTAACTTGCCACGATAAGCTTTTGGCTACTGGCAAGCCATCCTACTCATCTAATGCAAAAACAACTAAAAAAGTTTGAATAAAAGTCAGGGTGTTCTTTAGTGAGTGATTCGCATCTCCTGTATGTGAGATAAAGCTGTTGGATTTGATCTTTCTCTCGAATGAGTTACAGTAGTCTTAAAAGCAACTTGTACTTATAATATTACCTGATCCAGCTTGACTCCAACAAGAGACTTCCTTGCCTCTCCAATTTTGATCAAATCAAGATCTGCAGACGGTGTAGAAAGCCCTGTCATCATTCCACTTGGTGTCATACCACCAGGAAATGGCGTTTGAAATCCACCAAATTTCTAGAGAGAAAACAGGGAGATCACACAACCATCACAACCGCGACAATGAGAATGTCAACAAAGATTCTTCACCCTTTTTTTGTACAATTCTTTAACATAAACAAGACAACCACAATGGAAAACTTCCTTAATGAATGTGATATTTTATGGAGGACATGAACAGACATGAAGACAAATTTTGTTTTTTGTTTTAGAACTCAGATGCAGGCCTTGAGAATTAAGGGAAAAATTAATTTGCCTACATTTGACAAAATGAGTGAGGCCAAATAAAGAGAATCAAGTTTGAAAGAATGCAAAAATTAATTAATTTTGTCCGTGACACTTTCCCTGCCCTCGTTATCCTGGTTGAGTTCGTCAAAGACTTTCACTGAGCTACCCTTAGAGGATTAAACAATAAATATTACCAATGGCGACTATAAGATCCGATGATGCAATGACCACAAAAACAATGCTTAAACATTGTGTTGTTGTTATTCCTTAGGCAAACCCTTCTGGAGTTGAATTCCTAAGGAAAATATCCAAGTTCAGAAAGAGAAATAAAATTTTGCTGTGCTTGCCTGCATTCTCCATAAAATGTAAAATTAGGCATTACTTCACGTTCTCTGTCATGCAAAAATGCAGAGAATTTATATACAAAAAAGGGTGATATAGATGCAAAACTGTTGTTTTGCCTACTAAACCTATTTTTTTAGTTGTCCTTGTTGCTGTCACGTTGCCAGATCTTAAAGTCCCTAATAACCATATGGAACTGTAACATAAATACAAAATGTTGTACCTGCTGCCTTGCATCAAGAGATGTCATCTTTTCTCCAGTCATGAGTGCACTATGGAGGACACTGTCAGGTACTGGGGTGAACCTAATAATTTAACACAATAAAATACAGTCATTGTCAAGAATAGATGGTTACGAATAATTCCTGCTAAAAGGCCATCATATTAATTTAGAGCAATGAGAACTGCTTCCTTTGCACCAGCTGTTCTGCTCTTAGCCTGCCAACGGCAAACGTTTCCCCTCGCTCATCGCCGCTGAGGGATGTTTCGTGAAGAGCAACGTCTGTGACTCAGCGACAGAAATTCCATACTGATGACGTAAATCAATGTTTAAATAATAAATCCGGCAGTCATGGGGTTCCAAATGCAAATTTGTTCAATTTTATGTTTCTCCTGGTCGATTTTGGTAAAGTGTTGTGTTCATCTGCGAATGAGCTCCACACTTCTCCGTTTTTAGGTACAGTTGAACGAAAAATAGCTTTACGGGCCCGAAAAGTTTCCAGGGCTTTCAAGAAACAGGCCCCTGGTCTCACAAAAAACGTTTTTGGCCCTTTGGGCCCCAGTTTTATGCTCATATTGACCAGGGGAAATCCCCAGCCCTTGAGGTGACAGCCATTAATAAATATTATACGAAAAATTTATTTATTGAGTACACAGACTCACAAGTTAACACTAGCTTACTTCTCTGTCCTGGGATTTCGTTGTTTTTTATTTCTATAATCTCCAACTTCTGGAATGTTGAGCCAATCATCTTCAGATACATCTCCTAACTTGCGCTAACAACAACACAACGATATTTTTGTAAACAATCAGCTGCTCCCTATGATATTTCTTTTGGAATTTATTTATTTTTTTCTATTTTCAAGAGAACACAATACAAAGTATATTACAAAGCTAATTCATATTTAAAAACTAAACAGTTAATAAAAGAATTTTTAAAAGGCATAGTATTAATCTTAGGTTAATATCAAGTTTCTTTCCTAAGATGGTAGCTAGAAGGTTTGACACCAGGCATTATGGATAAGATTTATGGTGTGCTGATGAAGCCTTCCAAATTATTTTGCTTCAAAGACACAATAAATTTTGTGGCATTATTATTTTTTCTTAGCAGCATACAATAAAAAATTCCAGCTGGCAAATGCGACAGCTATACACGTATGGTGCAAATGAATCCACCTGAAAACTGGTTGAAGAAGGGATGAGCACGGGACTCACAAACACGCACACAGCTTATGGATTCTCTGTTCTATATCATGTGTTTGCTCTAAAACAATGCATTGTCTGTTCTGCATTACGTCATAAAAGTTACCTTACACTATTATATGTTGCATTGATTCGAGATTAATTCTGCCTTGGAACTTTTGTGCACAACTTTAAATATTAGGCTGTTGCCTCACAGCCTCACATCTTCTTCGCATCTATAATTGATAAACACTAGGATAATAAATTAATTGGATACCTTGAGATCTGAGAACTGCTGTTGAATTTTAGGTCTTTCCTGTCGATACTGCTCAATTTCCTCCTTAAAACGTTTCTCCCTAATTATCATAAACACAATTAATTAACCCTTAAAGCCCCAATATCCACATACAAATTCTCCAAACTGATCTCTATACATTTCCTTTAAGAATTAGTTAAGAGAATTTGATAAAAGATCAAAGTATTTTCTCTTGGGTGATCATTTTATTAATTCTCATAACCTAATCTTGTGATAATGTATGAATATCGTTAGGAGAAAATTGCTGTTGGACACTATTGGGACTTAAAGGGTTAACACCAAAGTTGAAAATAAAGAGAGTGGATTGGAAATAGTTATACAATTTCCATCACTAAGTTCCTTTCTCTGCATAATTGATAAATTGCTACATACATAAACTGTGATGGTGCAAAATTTCTTTTTCCATAGTTAGCTGGTAGAGTAATGAGGTAGACTGAGAAAAATCATTGAAATTAAACTCAAAGCCACTGAGATGTACACGTTGTACTCTCCTGAAGTAATGTCTTATTTTTTCTGGTTTTTTACAAATTGAAATAAAAGGTTTTTTCTCAAATAAGCAAGGGTGAGATGACTGCTTGTAGGATTTATAAGAGCTGTATCAAATAACCTTCTCTCTTTTCTTCGATCATCCATTCTCCTATCAATTGAATCATATATAGCATCTGCCTCCTCATCATCTTTTTCATAAGGACAACTGGAGAATAAACTTCCACCATATCCTGCAAACTACCATAAATATTTTCTATGATGACAATTCAAGGCTAAGGGAATATTATTATTGTTATCCAATTATCCTCTTAAATATGTAGTGGCTCAAGAAAATGAAAACCACCAGTCCCACAATGAAAAATATGATCAGTACCCTAATGATGATGACAGACCAGCTTTTACTATCGGGGCATCTTGAACAACATCCAGAGCACAGTTCCCACTCATTTTCATACATTAACAGTCCTTAGGACATCCAGTCCCAGCAACTTAAGGGCACTTTTTGGTTTTAAAGGGTCCCCAGACTCTCGTTGTGTGGATTTACACTGTACTTGTAACTGAAAGAGTGGCAGGGGAGAGGACTGGTACAATGACAAAATATTTTTGGAAGGTCCAGTGTCTTTCTTGAAATAACACAGTAAAATTGCCATATGTAGCTCTCCTTTTACATGTAATTAATGCAAAGGAATGTCCAGGATTTCATCTTACATGAGGCCAAAGATTGCAAAGAGGTAGGGGAAGTAACCAGTCTTTGTGGGTCCCTGGGACTCTTGATTCAAAGAAGCATGCTTCCCTTTCAATTTTTGTGGGTTAATATACGCACAAATGTGCATTTAATTAATGGGAACAAAATAATTTGATGTTTGAAATCTTCTGAAAGGTGGCTGTCTGGATACTGTCTATTTTTTACAAGTTATGAAAATTACTTTGAATGCTTTGAAGTTCGAGAACTGATAAAGAGGAATGAAATTCACATTTGCACTATACTGTAAAAAATAACAAACCAAGTATCCATCATTGCCTAAAATCTTAAAACCGTTGAGTACCTCATCATAATTAGTTTCATTTAAATCTTCTTCCTCTTCTTCATCCTGTGATTTCTTCTCAGTGGCAAATCCTGGCTTTCCATGACGCTCATCACTTATATCTGTAGCATCTCTGGCAGGACCAATATCTGACCGAGTAGTGAAACCAGTAGCACTACAAAATGAGGGGGACATAACTTTTAGGGTAGATAAAGAGGTAGGTAAAGAGTTTTAAGGAGAAATATGTGACAGGGTTCTCAATAGAAGGTGGCACCCGGCGATTGATCGCCGCTTACTTTGGAATTTATAGCCGCTTACTTTGTGTTTAAGTCGCTTTTCTTTGCTTTGTTTTGACACCTCTGGCTTTGCTGAAGAGCCTCCTACTTTATCAGTGATCACCTCCTACTTAAAAATCTATTGAGAACCCTGTGTGACCATTCCAATAAAACCTCTGTGGAAGAACATTATTCACATGGTTCTTTATCTGGTTATCTGAATTTTACAAAATGAAATTATATATTTCCTTTACATTTCATCTTAAATGAACTTGCAGTAGAACAACACATACTTGTAAGTAGACAGCTCTACTTACAGCCACCTTCAATCACAAAACCCTAATGTTACTCTCTGCCCACAAAAACCATTCCCATAGGTGACCAATTCCGGTTGAAAAAACCCTTTTTTCTCCTTCCTGAGGGTGTCTGTAAAAAAGATTTGACTGTTACTCATGACTGAGTCAACTGAAATCACGGCTGTGCACTGACAGTGCCTAGTGGCTCCTGGTTTTCTTTACTTTCAGGAGACTACTGTAAGAAATCTTTTGCCTAAAACTTAGCTTGCTATATATGTAGGCTCAGATGCTGGGCACCCTGAATTTCGCACTACTATAAAGTTCTGATTTTTGCTGAAATGTCACTCAGCCACCTTGAGCCAAGTGCAAATTTTTGGTTGGCATTTTTTGCATCAGATTGCATTACATCTCCACACAAGCATTGGCGTCCACGATCGGGAAACAATTTACCATGTTGAATGAAAGGTACAAATTTCCGTAAAAGTTACACCGTGGTTTTATGTTATCCTTAGTTTTCTGCATTTCGAGAATGCGAGTTCAGGTTATGTTTTTGGATCGCTTTGTTAGAAAACATAAAGTAAAAAACACAATCAGTATAGTGACTAGTTTGCTACGTATCGATGAAGAAGAGTGATGTTTTTCGTTGAAATATTTAATGCTCCTTTTACATTTTTTATAGAGCGAAATTTATAGAACAGAGATTCCCTTAATCTCTGTTGAACGTGCAAGAGCAGGGGCAACTTAAACTCAGTGATAGAGACACATAGAGTGGTATAGAGCGGTTTTCACTTGACTGTCGAAAGGGATTGGTTTTGGTTTTGGTTTTGGTTTTACTACGCCCTTTGGTTGGCTAGTGTATTTACTTTGGTTTTGGTTTTACGACAGTCAAGTGAAAACCGCTCTAATAGCTGGTCAAAGGATCATTGATGATGGTCATAACATTACGGTGTCAGCTCAGCTGCTTATTCAATCACGTTAAAACTATTGACCAAGATTTACACATTCAAGTGTCGAGGATTCTTAATTATGTGTTAAAATAATGCTTGCCGCTTGGAATTTAATTCTTTACGGTTCTTTTACATAATACTTCATACTTCATCTGGATTTATGCTTGCAGTCTAAGTCACATGTACATGTACTTCAAAGAACGTAGTTAAAACGATTTTCAATAAAGCCGAATTGATATCACCTAAATTCTAAGGCTTACCCTCTTCCAAGACCTGGAACATAACCTAGAGGGGCAGGTACTCCAATAAAAGACTTCTTTTTCTTGTTTAAAAGCGCCATTTTTCAGTTAAACAGCTGAATGTAATCTGTTCTGCAATTATTTTTTGCAATATGGCGGCTAGCCTCGCTATGATGAAAATTCTAAAAATTACCACTGACCAAAACTACTGTAGATTCGTGGTGGTTGTCATTCCCAGGCTTTCTCCCCCACTAGGAATCCCCCTCAATTATGCATATTTAATAGCAGTCACAAAATAGAATGTAAGAATAGCACTAAAAATTTGGCCTGTTTGCAAGATAATCCTGAGAAAAATAGGTTGTCTCTTGGAAAACAAACCTATCTAAGCTTCCTGAGGGAAAAAAAACTTAGTCCTGAGAGAGAGTTCCCTGAAATTTGAAGACTTTTCAAGACTGTAACAATTAGTTCACACCACGTTATCACTTTTCAGCAAGAAATGACAGTTTATACAACAGGCCTATGAATGTACACATTTTTTTCCTTTTTAGAAAGGACATAATAAACAGTGGCAGATTCAGGGGAGGGGCCTGCCCCCCTTTTTTTTAGACCAAAATGAGGCCCAAAGGCCAGGGCTGAAAAAAATAATTTAACCCAACCCTAACCCTAACCCCCACTTATTTCAGGGTCTGGATAACCGGGTCTCCCCCTTGTCTGAAGGTTTGGATCCAGCACTGTAATACTGACCGTCTAAGTGGGCCCAGGTTGTTCAAAGGTTGGATAGCAATATCCATGGGATAAAACACTTTCAAGTGGATAAGTATTAGGGTAGCCTGTGTGCAAATGCCCCCCTATCAACAGAAAAATTGGGGAGAGAGATGATTTTGTTTGGTCAGAGGGCATCTGTACAAAGGCTAGTATAAGGGAAACCAATGTTGTGTTATTCATTGGGTAGAAATTTATTCACTGGTCAGTATTATCCACCTTTTAAACAAATTTAAGGAGTAGTCAAATCTTTAGCTTCAAAATGGTTGTCTTTGGTAGTTGATCTGCCCGGTCATTATGTCTGATGGCAGGTAGGATTTTATCAAACATGGGAAAGTTTAGTCAAAAAGCTCAGGCCCCAGTTTGTTTAAACAATAAATAGCACTTTCCACTGGAAAATTCCTATCCAGTGGATAAGTATGACGAAAACCCAAAATTGCTTAATCCACTGTATAGAGGTTTAACCGGAGGATAATGCTGTCCATCTTTCATTGGTAAAAATATATTTTTGATAAGTTATGTTGTGAAAGTGATATACTGAGCAAGGAAAGAATTACTGTCAAACTCAGAAAACCATGTAGACATGAAAAATTTCGGGAATGTTGATTGTGTACTGACCAGACACGATAAAATTCAGGACATGCAAGCAAACCTCAAAACCACAAACTAATTACCGTTGCTGTCTGCGGTTTAGTTTTCTCATGCCTTATTGGCTTTTTCCTCCCAAAACAATAACCTTCCACAAATATTTCTGGTGTTCACAGTAACTAAGTTATTTAACCCTAAAGACCTTTACACAAGTTTGTTTACCTCAGTCAATAATAAGGATTATTTCATGGGCTACATATTTATGCACGAGTACATGTAGAAGGTGAATAAATTCTCAAGCAACAAACGTAAGCATCTAAATATTTGTCCCATTTTTTTACGTGATATATCTTTGTTTATCACCTTATTATTGTACTGCTACGTATGGAAAATTCTTGGAATTTCAAAACATATCTTCATACACTAGGTAAATTTTGTTGTATACCTTTTACTATTTATTACAATTTATGGTACATTATCACACTTAAGCAAATATTCTTATAAGAATTGAATAAATCAAATTTGTTTGATTACATTCTCTTAGCACTGACTCTGGAGTTATGCTGCGCAATTAAATCTCGCAATTCTTTATCTGCAGTGTTTGTCTGTGTACTATTTTGAAGTGAAGCCACACATGAGCGCCGTTTCTGTTTTGCTGTTTGTTGTTTTAAAGTTTCCTTGCCCCTTTTGCTTGTATTTGTATGGGCCTTGGATGATACTGGAGGTGCATTTAACCTAGCTGATTCATGGAAATTGCTGACTGCAGCCACACAAGAACGTCGCTTTTGTTTTGCACATGCTGTGGGCTTTGGCATTGTGGTCACAGGTCTCTTGCAGGCTGTTGCTGTTGATGATGATGGTGACTTCAGTGAAGTTGTCAACTTTTTGGAAGGAGCAGGACAAAAGCTGGGTTCTGCAGTTCTAATCTTACGTCCATTTTCATCATACTGGTTTCGGGCAGCAATTATTTTCTTGTTATGTTGTTTTAACAATTCCTCTAGACTCATGTCATTAGCTAATGCTACTTCTTCACCTCTCAAGGCTCTGTCCTTGTCAGTTTCTATTGCTGCGAGAGCCTGATTATGTGTTTCAAGTATTGTGTTCAGGGATCTCTCACTGACCACATTCCTCTCTTGTCTATAAAATTCATCACTGCAATGTTGAGCAAGATTTACGGTTTCCTTTTTCAAACATGACTCTGTTGTGCGCAGTGGCTTGCTGTTGCCATCAAACACCTCCTCCCTTAATAAAGGTTTCTCATCCATATTGCTAAGGGAGGAACTTGGCAATCCCTGGTTAGATCCATATGTTAACGGGTCAGAATTCTTACTGACAGAGGAAGTTTCAGCTAATAATTTCTTGTATCCTTGGTTATCTAACTGGTTAGAACAGTGACCAGGAGAAGAAAAAGTCATTTTATCAGATACACATGGATTTTTCTTTTTATCAGGAACTGAAGGCAGCAGTCTTCTCTTCCTGCCAGCTCTCTGAACATTCCCAGTTACAGCTTTTGACAACATTGAAGTCTTTGGAGAACAAGGTGACATGGATGAACTCTTGAGGCCTCTGATACGGACAGAAGACAGCGGAGATTGAGGTACAGGAACACGCTGTGGTGAAAAATCAGCTAATTCACCTAAGCTACCACTTTTCCCTTCCACTTTGTTTGTTTGTGTTATCTCCGCTGAAAAAAATAAAATAAACTGATTAAGTATTTAAAAACAAAATAACAAAGAGGTGGGAGAATGTGTCCGTCACAACATGTACAGTACGTTTAATTACACAACTCACCATAACTGGTGTGAGATAAGACCCTAATTCAACACCTAATCCAATGTCCTATTCTCCCTTTTGTTCACAACCAATATTTTATTGCACAAATGCTTTAAGGTGATCAATATTACAAGGGACGATTTTCAACAACAATTTTCAGCAGAACACAGCATTGCAATGTTGGAACAATGTTGCAGCTATTCGAAACAATGTTGCAATCATGTTGAAACATTGCATATATTGCACTAAAAATTGTTGTTCCAAATTGTTCCATGTAACATCACCTTTTTAAGCAATATGAAAACTGGATGGGCATCTTGAATACCATCATTTTTAAGTGAAAATGGAGCATTAAAGACACAAAACCTATTGTTATGTCCTTGATCATTCTGAGATTTTAGGGTGAGTTTTTAGCAATTCCGGTAAATTTATTGAATTCTTTGCAACAATATAAGTGTTAGTAAATTTATAGTAGGTTGATTGTGCCAAAGACCAATCATACAGTTGTAACTGTACAGCTACTTATGTTTTCATTATTGGTTGTTCTAGATATCAAGGTGCCACGACTTGTTTCTTGCTAAAGATCAGGCAAACAATTGGTTGATGTATATTCTTTGAAATCCCTACCTTGTTTAGTAATAGGTGAGTTTGTCCATGGTGGTGTAAAACTATGCTGAACCTCACTTGGGGTGAGTCTTCCATCAACTTCACTTTTCCCCCTTGAACCTTTCTTTGATGATGTCTCTTTCTTTTGAGTATGACATGGGCTGTTTCTTGACCCTGTACCACTATCCCTTCTGTGATTCGCATTCTCATGTTGCCCTCGTTTAGTGCGGACTGTCTTAATCCCTAAAGACTTTTTACTGTTGTAGTTTTTCTTGACTGGATTCTTGGTCTGCGGCTTTATGCAAGGTGCTGTTGTGGTGCCTGGGTTGCTGGTAAGTAAGGATTTAGAGGTAGCATCATGGTGGCTTGGATCCCTAGGCTCGTGTAATGGGTGAACTCTTTCAAACCACGAATCATCAAGACTGGAAAAATGAAAAAAAAATTGATTACAGTCAGCTCTCTCAGCTCATTTAGCTTTTGCTATTCTACGTAGTTTTTCGCCTTATCTAGTCAATTTATTCTATTGTAATAAACTTCTTGTCAACTTCAACTAGGCAAATAAAATAGTTGGTTATTGTTCCAGTTGTTCTCTCTTAATGGATGCCTCTATAAGACAGAGACCTCCCAATTACTTGACCAACTATAATAGTATAACTAGCTACTGTTGTTCTTCAGTTATTAGCCTGCATAAAAGGTGCTTCATGAGTCAAGGGGTGGGGGGGATAGGCTTTTCAGTAAACATTATCAACGTGCGTGCAAAGAAAGTAGTGTCTGATACCCCGGGCTTGTGGATTTTGCTATCGGGCAAGTGAATTCTGTTTTTAACTTGCCTGACGGGCAGGTGGTGATTTTTGAGAAATTCGAATAACAAAAGAACTGTGAAATCAATTCTGCTAGTCAAAAAGTTTTTGGGGCTAGTTGAAATGACGTCTGGGTTAGTAAATGCTAGCTTCAGCTTGCCTGAATGGCAAGCTGTAAAAATGATTTTCTTTGCACCTTGGTTATAATTGACTCTTTATGATACCAACACCTCTCTTAGAAATACACCTAGTATCGGATGGAGAGAAGCGACGACCGAAAAAACGTCTGTGTTCGCAGGCTTGTTCCCATCACTTTAAAAATGAAATTAAGGTTTTCCTGAAGAGTTTCCACTTAGATTTTGTCCAGTCATGTGTGTAAATTACCGAAGTCGTGGAAATTATGTGGAGGCTCGAATACTGACGATAATTTTAAGTTTGACTTTCTTTATTTGGGACAATGTGATCATTCCTTTAACTCTGAAATCAAGCAAGGAAATCGATTGCTACAGTTCCAATGGACTTTTTAGCTTAGCTTTTGTGAAAAAAAGCACTGATTAAACTTAGACCGAAAGGTTCAAGATGTCTTTTTAAACAAAATTCAGCATACAAACATATGGTTGAAAAAGGGTAGCTGCAACCTTTCTAAGCTTAAGATTTAGTAGGCTCAGAATGTTTGATTAGATTTTTGCGTTTAAAATTTCTCACCTCAAATTATCGTTGACTTCGCCCTGGAAATTTGTCGTGAAATCAAACCATTTCGGAGCCTCGTACTCGTAATTTGGATCAATTTCCATCAGCAATTAGTAGTGATAAAATACCTACGTCGGATTACACCTTTTTGCCACGAAATCACGATCAAAGTTTACAGCAATATACATGTAATTCGTGAAGGTGTTGTTTTCAAAAATGGCGCTTGAAAAAATAATAAAAACCCAGAATCCTTTGCGGTATACACCGTATTCACAAATGGCGGACACGCGGGAAAAAACTGGTGCCTAGTCATGAAAGCGAGGCGCTGGACGGTAAACAAAAATTGCAAATGAAGACTTTCAGAGAACTTGCAGAGTGTTCAGCACGGATTCCACCTAAAATAACTTTGCACGGACTTCTTTTTAAATACAATTACTTGGGATGTCTTCTGCTTTTAATGTTTACTATTGATTTACTGTTTGCAATCAAAAGGGACGCGTATATCTTCAAGGAAACAGAATGATTTTGTAGGTTTCCGAAGCATCAGAAACTCGACAAGTGGACGATGACTGGAGAAAAGCGGCAAACATGTTGGCCCAAACTTCACATTGAAACCGAGTTCGAAAGCCAGCTCACTGCAATTCGGTAAAACAGAAATATAAACAATGCAAATCTTGGTGGCAAGAAAAAAAGAAATAAGTGATGGATATATGGCCTACTTGTTAACGCAAGAGACGTGTGCCATTGAACAAAACAGTTCAAATCGAGATGGAAAAAAGGAAGACAGGAAAGAAGCGGTGACTGAGGTTTCGAGGAAATTATGTTTGGTGTTTATTTGCCAGGACGTTATTCTCTGGTCTTTATCGATGAAGGACATCAATTAGAACTATCTTTTTGGTATAAATGCAGGAGCGATCGAGTGGAGTACGCTCAAAATTTCAACTTGTTACTCGGCAGACTCGGTAAGCCGGCCACATTTCATTTCAGCGAGTAATTTTCCTATTTCTTATATTTGGCTGTTAAGAGTTTTAAATTCATGTTCCATAATATTTTAAAAGTGAAGAATACATAAATAAATAAAATGATGGTCTTCTTAAACGGATCCAGACTCGCATTTAATGATTCGAAACAGAAGCTTGCCGTGTTCAGTCCTGACACAAACATTGCCTTAAAAGTTTAACCTAGTAAAATGTGAGCTTTATACCACCTTTTTACCAAGAGCTCTCCGAGATAATGCCGTAAAGGAGACCAGGCAAATGGCAAGCCATAAGATTCACACACTAGAGCTTCTAGGTTTGATAAAATTATTTTATTTCGCAATGACGAAGAAATCAAAAGATTTTAAATTTGCACTGAATTTGCTAAGCTCTGCCAACGTATCTCTAACAATTCACTCCAAAGCGACGGAATTAATATCATCCAAAGGAAGCTGTAAATACAGACATACATAGATATGTGTAAAATGACACTGACATGAATGAATGAGTCTCGTCAATGAATCTTTCCCCAGCTCTCGACTTGACCTGTTTTGATTAATGGCGGAGGTCTCTTCCGTTGACAAGTGGGCCATATATCCGTCGCTTATTTCTTGCCACCAATATCTGTTCTTCCTTCTGTTTTACAGAATTGCAGTGAGCTGGCTTTCGTGTTCGGTTTCAGAGTGAAGTTTGGGCCAACATGTTTGCCGCTTTTCTCTAGCCATCACCCACTTGTCGAGCTTCTGAGGCTTTGGCAACCTACAAAATCATCCTGTTTCCTTGAAGATATACGCATCCCTTTTGATTGCAAACAGCAAATCAGTACTAAACATTAAAAGCAGAAGACGTCCCACGTCATTGTATTTAAAAAGACGTCCATACAAAGTTATTTTAGGTGGAATCCGTGCTAAACACTCTGGAAGTTCACTGAAAGTCTTCATTTGCAATTTTTGTTTACCCTCCAACGCCTCGCTTTCATGACTAGGCACCAGTTTTTTCCCGCGTGTCCGCCATTTGTGAATACGGTGTATTAGGAGGGGAAAAGGGAAGGAGCGGCGCGAAAAAAAAATGGGGAAAAAAAATAATTTATCTAAATTATTCGAGAACAATTTCGAGAACAAGATTATCGACGGCGCTACACAGACACGAAAATCTCAGCCGAAAAGCAAAATGGCAAAGTAAAAAGCAAAAAGTGAAAAATAAAAAGGAAATCACTAAGTGGCCCCCTGGGCTTCCGTAGGCTTCTGTACTCAGGCTGATATTGTGTATTCACAGAGAAGTTTATCTAAGCATCATTTTCTCAGTTTGGAGTACTTTTCCTGCGAAAATGGATGCACTACTTCGTATTATTCGTGCTCATCTGTGGTATGAGATGTGGAAAAACGAAACGCAGCTGACATCAAAATAACGGCTACCATTTTCTAGTCTCCAGTTTTTGATATTGTTGATTAATTTGTTAGACTCGTTTGAAAGGAAACAATCTTTGGGTAAATTTCGCGGGAAAATCGATTTCAAGAAATAGACTGCAATCTGTGAAAACGCCGTTGTATAGGCATACGGGAGTTACTGTTTCTGGGTTATGAGCTCTTTAGAAATCTGAATTTTCTTTAATATCCAACTGATAGAGGCTATCCGAAATGAGGTCACAAGTCGACTCCAGCAGGGTATCTGTTCAAGACTTACGACATATTTATATGTCAGCAAAAGCGCAAAACCAAGGCAGGCACGGATCCACACTGGTTGCCGCCGTTTTACTGAAATCGCTCAGATTTTTCATATATATTTTTAATTTAATAAAAAAATTTCCAAGCTAAAATCGAGAGATGAAATAGTCCGCTAATTTGCAAGGCCTCATCGGAGGGGAATGAATGGGGAATGCCTGGCCACTATCCTGTCTGAATGACTCAGAAACCCAGAAAGGGGGACTTAAGGGGGTTAAATCCAAGAAATATTCTGGGTGAGCATGAATGAATCACATGCAAAACCAGGAAATGTTTTCGACTTTTTTTACAGCCATTAAGTCCTTAAGTGCCTCCGGGGAAGGGTTGTGGGGGTACTTGGGTTATTTTTGCTGGGTATGTGCCGCTGGGCTCTCAGAGCCCCTACCCCATTATAGTCTATTCTGCGGCAATTGTAGACCCCATCTTCGTCAATTTTGGGCAAACATGTAATTTTCGTGATCCCAACTTAGTCACTTTCTATTTATGTATCTACCTTATATTGAATGAAGAACACTTTCCTTTTCACATATAGTACAAACATTCTGGTACGTTTGCCAACCGTAAGTATGAAGAACTGTCTTACACCAAAAATCAGAAAATGTGCGACCCAATTCTAGTAACTTTTGAAAATGCGACCACATTATAGTCACTCCAGTTATGAAAATACGACCCCATCCAGCGGTACATCCCTATCAGCCTCTTATGAAAAAGTACTCCCCCCCACCCGCGGGTTGGGTGCTCACCATTTACACAATATAATTATAACCACTCGGGTGGAAATCTTGTGTATATTGCAGAAAACAAGACTAAACTATAAAATTTGACGCGGTGGATGACAACCTGCTACAAAGAACATCCAAATCAGCTAAACAGTAGGGTAGAAAAATTGCATCGCATCAAAACACAGGCCATATTTCACTGAAGAAGCACGCCAATCAAAATGGCAGCAACCAGAATTTCCGGTTTTCCTATGCATAAAAATCGCAAGTACTACTTCTGTCAGCTCTTTTTGGTCCTTTTACAGGACCTTATGGGCTCCTGACAGGACCAAAGACTGCTTTAACAATCTTTCATATACTTCAAATATTAAAATGCCCCCCCCCCCCTTTCATATACCTGAAGCCTGAAAAAGATGTCCCTTTTGGACAGAGCACTAGCCTCACAGTATAGGCCAATGGGTGGCGAATGGTACCTCGAAAAACGTGGATCTCGGAAAATTTTGGCAGGATCTCGAAATCTCAGAAGCGTTAATGATAAGTCTCGAAGTCGCGTTTTTGCATGGTTTGTTTTTACTTTTTTTGAGTCTCGAAACTTTTTACCAAAGAGTCTCGGGCTCGGATTTCTAACTAGGATCTCGGCGTCTAGGCGAGTCTCGGATTTTACCATTCGCCACCCCTATTATAGGGAGTACGCCTCCCCCGGAACCAAGGGCGACCGAAAGTGGGTGTTGCGGGGCCATGTACAGCGAGAAAAGTATGAATTTGCTCGTTGCGTCGGCAGGGAATTCTAAGGTGATGCACATACAATACCGTATGACGTCACAATTCAATCAACTTTCTACTTTATTAGTTTATTGTTCAGCAAATGAAGCTCACATGTTTTTTTTCAAACTGCATCAGATTGTAACTACAAAGATTTCCGTAACATAAATTCTAGTATGTTACAGAGGCTTCAGATTATTTTTTGTAGTAATAACAGTAATGAAGTTTCAAGTCTTTTCCTTTCACCATTCGTAGCGCTGGTAAAACAACTAGTGGATCCGTTAGTTTGACACGAGGTATAGAGCCTGAAGACAGGTATCTCGTGTTTTTATCAGCGAGGTCCCACTTGAAAAACTCATATCTTACATTCATGCCATGAACATACTGACACTGAAGGCCATGTTGTAACAGGACAAAAGGAGAGCTCGTGGGAAGATAAATGGCATTAGTGGCGAATCCATCCGAGCGGCAGCAGTAGAAGATTTTAGTGTCCTTCCCGTACTCGCCATCTGGCAGCGTCCCCCAGTAAGCGTTTGCGTTTTTTCTATCTGCGTCATCAAAGAAGATCCACCCCTCATTAAAACCTGTAACATAATGAAAAACAGTAAAGATTAACTAGAACTCTAGCCCATTGATTAACTTTCCTAGCTAAGTTATTTAAAGACCTTGACACAATCAATCAATCAATCAATCAATCAATCAATCAATCTATCCATAGTTAATTGAGTGAAATGGTTATGAAACCCGTCAGACTCCTTTGTTATATGTTTTTGTGGACCTGAAAGTGCACAACGTTCAAAAGAATTCCTATCATTTTGATTGTAGTGACCAATAAAAACGTTGCATTAATTTATTCCGTAACAATTTGCCAACAGAAAACAAAAAATTGTGCACTTTCACGGTACTTCCAACATAAACTGCAGCACTGTTGTTCTTATCATTGATGTTTGCCGCTTTTCATAACCAGTCTCCTCTAATAACTATGATCTATCTATCAATCTATCTATCTCTAGGCGCTACTCATAATTTTTGTCAGTTCAAAATGTATCATACACAATTTGCCAAAAATTCAAACGTCGGGAACTGCCACCACCGTAAAAATTAAGAAGTGTATTTCCACATACTTTTGTAATTTAAATCTAGAGAATATGTTCAGTCTACCATGACTAAAGGCTTGATTACCAATGGTGACATAGATGGTTAAAACTGGCAACGACCGTTTATGAAAGAGAAGTAGGCGCATGCGCTTCGAAAGGGAGAAGAGCCAAATCAGCCCTAGAAGAAGGACCTCTTTAGTCGCTTCCTCGCGCTCCTAAATTTTCGCCTTTCTACGATCCTTTCCTTTCAAACGTCAGGACAGGTTCAGTAGTTCATATTCGGTCACCATGAACTAGAAATAGCCTTAATTAAAAGGTTCTTACCTGAGGGACACTTTCCTTTCTTTAAAATGCAGTATTCTCCTTTGGGCCAAGGAAGACTGAATTTGGACGATCCTTGTTGGGTTTTTATACAAAAATAAGGTCGCACGTTTTCCTTTCCGTAAAAGCCAGCCAGGTCATAAGGATTGGACCATTCATTTACGGGGAAAAATGTCGGTGTGTCGTGATAACGACTTCCCTCGTGCCACACAAATCCAGAACCTTTTTCCTCCTTCGGGCATCCTGATTTTGGCTTAGGGAGGCCATAAGTGCCTCTAGGCCAAAGAAAGGGGATAGACACTTTCGGATCTGAAATTGAACAGAATTCTTTTTAGAATTGGCTTTTAGCTTCTATCGCTTTGAGTACAGTCGACTCTCTCTTAACGGACACCCCTGTAAAACGGACACCTAGAGTTGGTCCCTGCCTTTCCTTTCTCCCTCTATTTGACTGTTTATAAGACGGACATCTCTCTAAGACGCACGGTCACTTTGGGCCATTCCCAATGGTCCGTCTTAGGGAGGGAGTTGACTGTATTTCTAATCAAATTAACATTCTAACCACTATTCTGATTAGTCTAAACGCCGAGTCTAATTCTTTATATATAGTTAGACTTGACCAAATGTGAACGTTGTTTGCTATTATTTTAAGAATGGCATCGTTAAATGGTAGTAATGTGAAAAAGGGCCGGGACCACGGTCACACTAAGACCGCAGTATATGTCATACTTCAAAATCTTCTCGTAAAAATGTCTTTCAACAATTCCAGCATGAATTATTTATATGGTTTAATAACTACTAAGTTGGTTTTGTCAACAGTCCCTAACGAGAAAATGGGGTGTTCATCAAGTTTAAATTTTTTTTTTTGGCCTAAAAACCTCCCGATTTAGTAGACATTGGCTGTGGTCACACGTGGGCTTTTTTTACTATAGTAAAGTCGAGTTTACTACTGTAAACACGTTTTCTAATGTGACCGGCTTTTCTCATTTTACTATGGTAAACACAGATCTAGTCTGTTGCGGTGGCAACGGCGGTAGAATGAAAACAAAGTTTACTAAAACGATATGGTTTATCGCTGGTATATCTAAACTTTGTTTATTCAGTTGACATCTAGTCGCATTATTTGAGATGGGTTCCCTGAGTGTCACGTTGCTGAATACTAATACATGTATTTTTAACGCCGCCAGCCTATTCTTTTCCTTTTTTCGTGCCAAACAGTACAGTAGAGATGTCACAGTGACTCAGACAATTTTCGCTTTCATTCGAGGCAAGTCCACAGTAAAATCTGGATTTCAAGGAATCATACGCCTACATCTAATGTTCGTGTTTCATTTCTGAGTCGAGCATAAATTTAGAAGTAAATCATTCAATTCAAGTGTTTTTTTTATTCCGTGTAGCCACATTTTTTCTATCTATTGTCTGAATATGGATTTTGGTTGGCACGCTTTTTTTAAGAAACCTTCATGTTCTTTTCACTTTAGAGTTCCACCGTTCCTCAATAGTTCGTAATCCCATGCACCAGGCGGTTTTTCAGACGATCACGGCCGCGAAGTAATTCAGCATGGACCGCTTATATTTGGCCGAGAAAATAATGGGATAGAAACAGTATAAGCAGCGGCACAATTTTCAGTGAATGTATGATGTACAGACAGTCACGTAACTGGATAAAAAATAAAACATTCATGGAATGTCGTAAGAATTATCACCTGTCCTCAGGTTCATCATTTGAGTGACAAATTTCTGTTGGGAAACCATCTTAAACGTGTTAAGTCAACTAATGAGTTTTACTGTAGTAAAGTTTTTTACCACGGTTAAAGCCTTTTAACAACGTCAAGTCCCAAGTGTGACCACAGCCATTGTCGATCTGAAACTCACTAATGCGGCGGTTCAGTTATATTAGTAAAATAATAATAATAATAATAATAATAATAATAATAATAAAAACAACAAGCCAAGTATATTATAGGCAATCCGATTAAGCATTTTAATGCTTATCGATGATATTTTAATATCATCGATCTCTTCACAAATCATTTATTTTGAAGAAAGGATATACCTACCTTGGCCTTTTTCAGCCCCTTTAAGTTGAGGATATACTTTAAACAGTTTCTCAATGTTGTTCTTCAGTTGACTTAGCGCCTGAACGTTAAAGTTACAATTCGGGTGTTGCTGTAAATGCTTTTTAAAGAAAGCAACTCTCAAAGCGTTGTATATTGGTTCCAGCTTGATTCGTATAGGAGACGGCATATCTGGACCCCCACTCTTGTAAACCTTTTTGCTGGAACCAAATTTGGTATTTTGGTTCATAGATTCCTTGAATGTTTCAACATTAACAGACAACGAGGCACTGTATCCTCCTAAACCACCACCAACAGACACCGAGTTGCCAAGCTGCAAGTTAATTTTAAAAGCAACAGAGTGTGATATTCGAAGTTTTTATTGACACTTTTGTGAAATACTTTAACCTCCCTCTCCCCTGCCATGAAGTGAAAATACTATAAAAATTTAAGGCGCAAGACTCGCCGCAAGGCGATAATAATAATAATAATAATTGATAACTAAATTAACATTTCTTTCGTTTTAATTAAGTAATCTTTGATCCCGCTTGGATAAATAAAATCCATATGCACGTTGTTAGAAGCATAAGTAGCATATCAAAGTCTTAAATAGATTCTTCAGTGCGCTTAGTTTTGCGGGTGGTTAAACGTTCGACGGCATATTTCTTGCGTGATAATAGCAACACACAATTCTTACGTTTTCCATGGCGTAACTGGTCAGATCAGCCCAAGAACTTTTGTAGCGGGAGGTGCGCTTTTCTCCTAGCTCCACCTCAATCACAACATGCTAAAAAGGCACACAGATTCAAATCAACATTTTATAAAATTGCTGTATAATTATATAATTAAAAGTCTAGAACCTAGCAAACGACGTGTATTTTGCAAGCCATGATTTAACGGCGAACGTAGATATATTAAGCTAGAAACCAATATAATATTAATAATCCTTCGTGAAGGGGGGACGGAGGAAATTGTGCAAGTTTTCCTCTCTGTTTTGTCCGAGGTTGTACCTGGCGTGCACTGAAAAGTTCTGGCGTAGAGGTTTTTTTTTAGTGGTACGTAACCACAAGATTTCGCTTCTTAATTACCCAAGATTTTTCAAGTTAGAGTAACAAACGCGTGTATCACTTGACTAGACTTACAGTTCCCCAGTCGTCAATAAATTGGAGATATTTTTGCTCATCGTATTTCTCTGGTAAGTGACAAACTTCTGCAGCAAATTCTTCAGACACTGGATACTCCTTATGAACTGCCAATGTCCACTGGAACCGAACTCGACCTCGATTGCACACCTTTGTCTCAACATAATACACGTTGTGGTGCTTCGAAGTCTCCCTTTTCATCTGCGCATACCCTAATTGGAAAAGAAAAAAAGAAGAAAAGAAATCAAAATACTTGCAAGAACGTTTTAATATTTCTGCACCCTTTTACTTTAAGACTGGCAGTAAACGTTTAAAACTGTGTTAATGGTAGTCGGTTCCTTTCAGGCACTATAATTATAAGATAATAGGGACGAACTGAAGCTAACTGAAATGGCAAAAACGAAGGTAAGCAAATTAAAGACGCGCGTGACCTTAAAGAGGGAATAATAACGCTGCAGATCGCGTGTACCGTGTTAGTTTTCCCGGAGCCTAACACGAGCTATGGTACTATAAAGACAGATCTTTGAGTTGAAGGTGACTTAAAGTGCTGACACAGAAAAGCAGAAACTTACAAGACAGCTTGTAGTTTGTTTCACGCAAATAACTGATCGGATTCCTAAGCGTCCAACTCAAGTCAGAATTACTTAGACGTTTCAGTTACTACTGTCTTTTATGAGTTTTTGGGCTCCTTGCATTATTTTAGCGGCTTAGCTGTCCGTGAAAAAAGTGAAAGAAGGCCAGAATTGACGGACAACACTAAAATCAAGCACATTGAACGTTGCAGATAAGAGATGGAAAGCATTGCTGAAAGATATATCTATCGGTTTTCGTGTCTACAGTCACAAAAGCAGGAAACAAAATAAAGGGGGGATTGAACCATGAGTAATAAGCGATTCATGCAGGGCCTAGAAATTAAAATAGACAAGGTTCTAAAATTCAAACAGTGGTGTTTGTCATACTTGAGCTTAAAGAGAAAGAAAAGCTCCACAGTCCTCCTGTGTACCCAGCTGAAAAACAAAAAGAGTCAATTATCACATTATAATGTCACATTGTCACATTGATCTGGTAATTTACAGTACCAATATCTTAATGATCAAGTAGCCGGTTTGTTGAAAAGCGGAAACAGAAAGGCTGATTGGTTGAGCTACTACTAGGCTATATGTTATAGCCCACTAGCAGCTGAATCGCGTTTTGCTAGCTAAAGTTGTTTTGTCTCGATATTTTTGACCAACTAGTTTGATTTTACCAAAGCAATTATTCCTCTCGTCCTCATGGCCTCTGAGTCAATAGTTCATTCGTCCTTCGGCCATGGGCTATTGACTCAGAGCCCATTCGGGCTCGAGGAATAATTATTAATTATGTAACCACATCAACGGCGTTGTCGTCTCACGTTATATTCTCACAAAAGCTCAGTTGGTATTTCTCTGGTGTTTTTCAGTTTGTACATAAAATGATTAAACGTGTAAGGTCGCCGAAAATTCGTGAAGAATTCTTACCTTCAGCACCTACTTCTATCTTCAGCTCCTCTTGATAACTTTTAGCGCCAAAAACCGCGTTGGTGCTGTTTTCCTCCACGCATGAATGAAAAGGGGCAAAACTGACTTGATCCGGGACATTATACTTCTTATCGCTCGACAACTTATTTGTCTTCCATGTCAGCTGAAAGATCTTTCTCGTAGAAAGTAATCCAGGATCAATACCTCCAATGCTTGAAGCGCCACCCTCTGGGTTTCCTTTCAGCAGGTTGTAGCCAACGCCCACATAGTAGAGGCCTTTAGGTGGTTTGTAGGCGGCATACGTGAGCACAGGAATGCCAAAAACGAGAAAGAATTCGACGAGATGCATAGCTCTCTTTTAGTAATTTTAATACCACGTTCAAGTAGAGTGCGCGTCTTTGCCTAATGAATTGAAAATAAAGGATAAACAGGCTGAGGAAAACTGATTTTTTCCAAGAAAATGCAGCGTTAAATGCTGAACTTTATTTCATTGTGGATGCTTTCTCCATACGTTGCTTTCTAGATGGACATCTGAGCCATGCGGCCAAACACAAAGTATGACTTTGCAAAAACCAATGGAATTTTGGAGCCCGTAATGGAAAAGAGGACTGAAATATCAACTAACAAATAATTGAATACTTTGACTTTGCCCCTTAAACCTGTCGTTTCGGTTATACCACAAGGAAGTTTTATGGTCTATGGAAGAATGGCGAGTCTCGCAAATATTACTCGGGTCTAGATTAATGGAATTATAGCAAAATGCACAAGCCGCAAACTACTTACAAGAGATGTGAGCGACAACTCCAGGTATCAGCACTAGTTTACAAGAGCGAAATACCCAACTTTTATACCGACTGAACTTAAAAAGAATAGGCCTAACGAACATGAAAGAATTTACAATAACGATTACGTAACTCGACGCCGAGAAATAATGTTTATTAAAAATACACATATTTAAGCTAACAAAAATAGAAAAAAGAAACGAAAACAAGAAGAACTCATCACAAGGCATCTAAACGTGATAACAAACATTTCGACTCATTATGCAACAATAAACTATGAACAAAAAAACTTTGTCAAGCACTACTATTGTCTGATTTGACCTGTCCATGAATTAGAAGACGCTCGAAATGACTATTATTAATAATGATGTCACTTTTCTGAAGAGAAACTAACAGCCATTATTGGTGCAAGAAAAATGATTTATTGAAGGCAAAATGGCGAAGAAAAAATTTATAATAGTTACGAACATTTTAAGATATGGGATAACAAATGAGCAATGCCTTCGGTCATTATTTTTAAGAAAGCATTTACAGGGTGAAATAAGGTGTTTCGGCAATTCGAAAAGTTGCGGAAACTTGATCTGCAGATCGGTTACGACGGGAAACGTGTTAGATGAAGAGGGAGCAATGTTTCGTGTTTCTGTAGCGTTTCCGTTGGCTAAAATGTGCCAGCTTATTTACTATTGTGTTTCTGCAGCATGCAGTTTTGTACAGAAATTTTGTGGGTTTCAATTCCTGGTTTCACTCTCTAATATAAAATACAATATACCCAACAAAGGCGATGAAACTCGTCTTCGCGAATTGTCGCTGTTTTTCTTATATTTGGAAGCTAGCAATCCAAATCGCTTCTACTTTTTTCTCTTTATTTAAGTATACATAACTGATATGGATTCGCGGTTTATCAGTTATATTTATGTACGTATACAAATGTTCGCAGACTGAATCAGAGGCTTTGTCTTATCCAAACATTTTCCTCCGTTTTCAGTGCTAATCGTAGGCTCTTGTTTGAAAGCAAAGATAAACAGAATTAGCGGAAAACTTTACTATGTTTTCATTTAAACGATGCTGCGACATTCTTTTCCTTCTTTTGGATACATTCACAATGATCATGACGAACATCGTGTAAAGAAAGGAATTTTTTTGGTCACTACAACCTCATCGGCCCAGGTTACAAAGAGCTAAAAGCTGCCGAAGTCTATTTCTGTACCATTCCCTGTAAACGGGACTAAACGTAGCAACCGGATAGTCCCGGGGGGAGCACTCCTTTATTTGGCCTAAACGGGTACCCACCGCACAGATGAGCAGCGTATGGTTTTCAATGCAGGGTCTTGAGTCTTTAACAGGGTATACAATTTCACTACCTAGCCAGTCTTGCACAGGAGATCTTTTTTGGACTGGAATTGAGGCCTTTCAAATGTGAAGGCTGGAGAACAGTGGTCTACATTTGTCGTGCCAACGATTTTAGCCTGCGTAGCCCGCGGGATACGCGCGGGGGTTACTTTCGTGGGAGCCGCCACGCGGGATTTTCGCAAGGGGCGAAGCAGCGCGGGAAAATTGACTTGTACCCACTCTTTTCGCGGCGGAGCCGCGAAAAAAAAGACAATACAGCACTCCCACGCAAATATTCCGCCAGCTACGCAGACTACAAAGATTTCTTTTAAAGGGTAAGGATTTTGCTCCCGCCGTTCTGCGAAAGAAACTTAAAAAGGGCTGACAGAAGAAATTACAGGCGGTGACAAAGTCGAGAAAATTCCTGGTTTATTCATCATCACTTTAAAAGACAGTACATTTATAACGACAGTTAACAGACAGTCGTGATTGATAGCCGGAGACTTGTGGATTTTTCGATCAGGCTAGTGAATATGCGTTATTGACCAAAAGTAAGATCAATGGCTAGATATTGGCCAAGTCGAAGTCAATAAAAACGCAAAAAAAGAACGAGACCAATATCCAGCCATCTTGACTTCCCGCTTGGTCAATAAGGGATTTATTACATAGCCAAAAGGGGAACTTTTTCTAGCGGGACCAACGCGGGAAATCCCGAGTGGGCAAGATGAACCCATCTTCCCTGCTTGTCTTTTTTGTAATTGTAAGCAAGTAATTAATTAACTCATGATGTTTATTGAGTAATAAATAATAATAAATTAGTAATTTATCCTGCTCAACAAAATTTCTTTTCAGGCAAGTTAAAATGACTCTCGAGCTAATACGTGCTAGTTACAGCTTGCCCCTGACTTTCTTTACACCTAGCATGCGAAGTAGTGTGCGAAAGAGAGAACGGGTACGTGCGAGGGAGACACGCGAGGGGTGAGAGAGCTCTCTCTCCGCTCGCGTGGCTCCTTCTCGCGCACCCGTTTTTTCTTGTGCCCACTACTTCCAAGCGCCTGCTACGCAGGCTACTTTAAACCCTTTTACCGGGTGCCGCAGAGCAGGGTTCCATGTTAACGATTAAAAATTGTGATGTATTTTTTTTTCAAACGACAAAGGCTCCTTCGCTTTGTCCTGGGACACCTTCCATTCCAAAATGTATCAGTTATCACTTCGCTATTCTATTTCGTCGAATTCTTCGCAGCCGTTTCGGCGCAGGAACTTCCGATGCGGTTTTTAAATAACCTTTGTCCATGTATTCTTGCGTATCTGGGAAACTCAAGTTCCAGAACCCGGGAGGGGTTGAAGGAGGCGGGGAAAACCTGGCTCGGTGACGAGAACAGTGTTTCAAACGCTTCTTTAGTTCCTCTTCTGGAAGATTAAGACCTTGGTAGTACTGAGAAGAAAAGGAAAAAACAATGATGTTTAGCTTAATGTAAGCAAAAATTCTATAGACGGTTTCTTTGAGCTTTGGATGAAGAGCAGTAAGCGAATATAATACCCATCGACACTGCTGAAAAAAGGGCTTTAAAATAAGGTAACTTACCAAGTTTAAAGGTGATACGTAAAAATAAAGCGAAGATGTTGCCAGTCCACAAAGTTGCGAAATTTTACACGAACGGAAACTGCCCCCACCCTACAAAGGTCTGTAAATTTTATCACTTTCAAACTGAGCAACTTTACTGATCTGAACCCTTTAAGCCCCGATATCAACATGCATCTTCTCCACATTGTTCTTCATACATTCTTTATGGTACGGCTAGAGAGAGTTTGTTCTAACATCACAACATTCCATCTTTAATGATCATTTCAGTAATTCTCATCACCTGTCTGTTTGATCAGGTAGTGTTATTGTTGGGAGAAATTGGATGTGGGTCACTACTGGGGCTTAAACGGTTAAGGCGTTTTTTCTTGATGGATTTTCGCTAACTGGTCCCAATCAAAAGGGTCTAGAGACACACAAACGAAAATGTAAATGCATAGGATCACATCTATACCTGAAATGATACTGATATTGCGGCAAATGAACAGATAAAAATCGTTGGCGAAATGAAGGATGAGGCAAGTCCAGTGGCGCAATAATGAGCTTGGGAGAGATGAAATAGGGAAAGATAAACTAAAATGTAAATAAAATTCAATTACAGCTGTATTTACGATACCTCTTGACATTCCCGGCATTTATAGCCGTTTAGCTTGGCTCTCTCGTCCTTTTTTCGTACTACTTCCACGTATTTAAAATTAGCTTTTGTGGCACAGTTCTTGTTTGATGTAAAATTTTCCTTTTGACTGCTTCCCAAGGGTGGGTCCTTTTCTCTTTCTTCGCCACGAAGGTCTACCAAAACATAACAAATCATGCGCAAGTGATCAAATCACTAAGAATTGATTTTTTTTCCTCTGTAATAATAAGTCTAAGGGTGAATTTTCACAGTCGGGCAATAAAACACAATACACTAGGCAAAGTATGAAAGGTCGCACGTGAATTTCCAGAGTGTGTGAATGGAAAGCAACCAATTTCTTACTAGTTTTTCTTTACCTGGTGAATGACAGTCATCTATATTTGCAAACAGATCAGCAGATTGATCCATTGTGCCATTGTTTAGCTCAGTTATGTCTCCACTGTTACTCAGAAGTGTATTGCAAGACTTTTTCCGGGTCACGTGAGATGGGAAATCTTCCAAGAGAATTACTTCAGGTGTTTTTGGAGGTGGCAATACAGGAACTTTAAATACAGTATCACTTGGCTCTTCCTGCTGGGAGTAAGCGAGTGCAAAGACTAAGAAAAGCTGACATATATGTAACAAAAAAGTAGCGTCAGTTAGTGAGAGGAAAAAGTCCTTGAAAGTTTAAAGAATGGCCGCAAGTATCTTCAACTAATGGGGGAAAAAACAACCCACATACCAAATTAACTACTGTTTAATATTTAGAGAGTGCGACACTTGAAAGTTTAAAGAATGTCGAAAGAATAGGTGAAGATGTGGCCCATTTAAGCATCCCCAACTAACTGGAGGCATTTTCCAGATCGCCAATTGGAATTTGGATTTCACTTTTTTTTAATTTCTTTTTTTTGCTCTTCCTGGTTTCTCAGCCGTATTTAAAGAAATGTAATTGGTATTGTATGGGAGCAACTAGAAAAAGAAATGGTTTATTTAGCCACCGTACTTGAATATTAATGTTAATTGAATAAAAAGAGTATAACCCTAAACAAAAAAAGGCTGTAATTAAATATTAGTAAATAAGTTGTGAGGAAAATAAAATTGAATTTTGAGGAGAGGCAAAGACTGGAGAACCTGCTAAAAAACCTTTTGGATGCTGTTGAGGAAGGAGGGCAAGAGAAGATTAAGTGATTGTACATCATCCTTAGACTTACATGTTTGCTTTCCAATGGCCACATGTTGTCATCTGCTTCAGTTGAACTTCTCCTTTTCCTCTTATAACCACTATTATTTTGATCATCTGTGCTTGCTTTGATTTTTGACAGTTTTCCATCAAGGGTTGTTTGTTTTGACATCTTTCCAGGATCATTATTAACATTTCTTTCCCTCTTGAGATCTGTCTTTTTATTTGCCTCTTTGTTCATAAACACTGTGTCACCACTCTCCTTAACTGTATTTTGCCCCATTTTATAATCAGCTCTGGATTCCACTTCTTCATTTCCCATTCCATGAGGAAGAAGTGACACTGAGCAGTCTGCTGTTAGATTCATATCTTGATTTAGTGATTGTGTTCGGCTTGGAATGGTTGGTGACTGCGGCTGAGTGTACGACAAGTCCACCGGAAATTGTGAATCTGATTTGGGCAAATGAGCCAACTGGCTCTTGGCAGCTGTTAGAAGATTAACAGTGTCATTACTGGGTGATTTCCCAGTTACACCATCCAGAATACCAACACTTACTTCTTTGCTATCATCACAATTATTGTAGCCAAACAGAGGTGAATTGGCAGCCCCTAAAGGAGTGCTTGCAGCGGAGGGTGCTCCTATGGAGCAGTGTAATCCGTAATCATCTACTTCAGTATCTGGCACAATAACCTCAGGGTGAATTCTACCTTTATCAGCAACAGGCTTGTTATCATCTTCTTGCAGAGGGGAACATGGGACATCTTCAGTCTCTGGCACCAAAATCTTTTGGTGCACAGACAGTTCATCCGACCCCAGTACCTCCACATCAGGGCCTTGCTCAGGACACTCATTGTGGTATAGTTTTGTACTTTCATTAGGATCATAAAACACATTCTCTTCGTCATTATTTTTCTTCTTATTTGTTTCGTAGTAGACCTGTCCATGACCTTTATAACTGTAACATTTCTTTTCCTCTCTACTTGATGTTGTACTGGAAACTTTGTCATACCGAACTTTCTTCTTACACTTTATTGTGGTAAGGTTTCTATACTTCTTGCTACTTTCGTTATCTTTCACAGAAAAATAATCTTCAGGGATATCTTTCCTGAAATAATGGTCAAACATCTTTGTGTTTTACATCCCTCACTGAACAAAGGGCAGCCATTTTTTATGTGTTTACCATTTCTACCATATTTCCTTGAATGAGTGGCTGGGCACTTAAATTCAAAATTTCAGCTAAAAGGAGAGATACTTTTTGGAAGAACGGCACTTAATTGATACAATATGAGTGTTTAAATAAATTAATCTCATCATCCTGGGGATAATCCTCACCAATGATATGCAGATTATCGTATTCCTCTTGTATCTCTACTATTTAAAAAAAGTGAGGGGGGAGGGGGGAGGGGGCACTTTTTTGATGTTATGGCCAAGGGAATAGGCACCTATTTGGGAGAAGGGTGTTTGTCAGAGCAAGGGCGCTTATACAGTATTTACAGAAATATTGTATTTATATAAAGGGCAACAATAGTGTCCGGAGGGAACAAACCTGCACCTAGCCACTTTGCAGATCAGTGATTTTTAATATTATTTATTATTTATACTAACTATAAAAATTAAAACTAACTAGTAAGGATTTGTTGAGAAGTTGGGAGTTTAACGCTAGCATCAGCTATGGGGAGATGGGGTTAATTTCCTAGAACTGAAGTTATAGTTAGATATATATTAACAAATTATTTCTCTTACATCTGCTCATCAATATCCCTACAAACAAACTCTTCACGAATGTGAGGTGGGAAGTTCCCATGATCTTTCATTGCTGTGAAAAAATAAACAAGTAGAAACATTTTTTTTAAAATTTTTCTTTATGTTACATAAACAGATGACTGTAACAATAAGTCCAGGTAAAGTTTGACAGTAAAAGAGGAGATTTTTTTCAAATTAATAATTCAGTTAAAAGAAAAATCAATGCCCAGTTTGAAATTGGCAGCAAGGAGTTGCACGTACCTTTGAATCTACGCTCACTTGCTAGACGAAAGCGGCTCCACCAGCAGTCCATTTTGGATAAGTCTTCAGTCTTCCTGTAGGGTTAATAACAACACTTAAAACACACAGAGTTGAGAAAAGCAATAATAATAACAATGATAATGATGATGATGATAATGATAATGATAAGAATAATAATTATTATAATAATAATAACAATCAATATATAATAATGATGCTTTCAACTGGGGTCTGAATATTAAAATCCTATTTCAATTGCCTGGGAATCAATTCACAAAGTCATTAATGTCATTAACAAAATCAAATAATTAAAGTGCGCTGAAAAAGTGGCTTCATTTACAAATTCTAAAAAAATATTAACTTAAGAAATAAAAGAAGTAAAATAAATTTAAAAAAGGATAAACAAGGATAAATGATTAGAAGAGGGAATTGCCTTTGCCTTGTCAGTAGCTACAATCTTGGACAAAACTGTTGAGAAAATTGTATACTTGGACAGCATTTTTCTAAACATCTTAGCTAATAACGGTTCTTGATCTATATAATAATAATGAAGCAATGTTGTTGTCCAAATATTCAAAGTTTCTTGCCTGGGAATGTGACACAGTCATTAATGTCATTAATGTATCAAATAATTAAAAACTTGGGGAAGGGTTTTCTTGCCATATTACCAAAAATCGTTTTGGAAAAGTTTTGTTTTAAAAAGGATGGACATGAGGAAAAAATTTTCTCAAGTAGTTTTGTCTGGGATTGTAGACCTTTGTGTGGTTTGGATGATCATGTGAACATCACAGTCTATTCAGCAGCAGAAAATGTAAGAATAATGACCTCATGAGGAAATTCCAATAATTACAGTTAGCCTCTGAAAGATAGTTCTAGTGCCTATCGATAATTCACATGCAAAAATTAATTTAACTTTATTGCATTTCCAACTGGAGGCACAGCTGACTTTGAAAGGAAGCTTTCAGCAACTTCAAATTGAACGAATTAATTTAATACTTACTGATCGATACATTTACAATTCTTATAAAATTAATGATGAAAGCCATGTTTTGGTCACAGGGGTTTAAGATATTTTCTAACAGTTTTGTTATATATGTTACAGGTTAAATTTGATTTCCAAAAAAAAAAAAATTAATCAAGGTTGATTCTTAACTTCCTTTGTCTTCTAGGACTAGGAGACAGAGGGAAACAAGAATCAACCTAGGTTAAATCAAATTTGAGCTGTAACATATACATCTAACGGTGAATAAAAGTTCCTTTGTAAGAACTTGGTGCTCTAACTTACCTTTTTAGTTTTTCATCCTTATATGCAAGTTCTTTCTGCAGGTTTGCAAGGTGCCTTTTAAGACTAAAAACACAAATTAAATCCCCCACATGTGGCAACTAAACATTGTGTACATGAGGCTGGACATGGAAGGTGGGATGGGTAAGCTTAGTGCAGATCATTTTTGGAGGTGAGGAGATGGGAAGAGAAGAGGAAAAGCTAATGCTGGCATCTTGTACAAGTGTGATGCAAACGCACATGCAAATACAAAACAAGCACTAGCAGAACCAGTAATAATGCAAGAAATGGAAAACATTTTACTTTCTTACCCTTGCAGTTCCCCTTGCATTTGCATTCTGTATGCGTGAACCAGGTAGTGCAAAGCAAGTGCAAATACAAGGTAAAAACCATATACTCAGGTTTCATCAGTTCCATACATTGTACCAGCGTGGCTCAAGGGTAAAGACTTGGATTGCACATGCAAATCTTAGTACTTTCCTTCTGTTTACCTTAAATGTGTGAATATCATTTGCATCTGCACTTGCCCTGATTTGCTGAATGCATTAGTGCTAGGGTTGCATGTGAAAACCAGGGGTCTAGGAGATCAGAAGGGATGGAAATGGGAGGGGGATTGGGGAGCAGGCTAAAGCCTAGGCTCAGTCTCCAGCCTTGGGTGTCTCCATGTGCCCGCGAGTACTGTGGGGGCATCAAGACACCCAAGGCTGGAGATTGAGCCTAGCTAAGGCCAGGCCTAAGAGTTTGGTAAGGTCCAGCAGCATCAACGCAGTTAGCTACTATCTTGATATGAGTGAAAGTAACCTTAAAATCTATTTTGTCAAAAAATAATGTTAGCTTTTAGTAAAATCCAACTAGTGGTCTATTATCAATGCTGTGTTCTGATTGGTTGAGCTACTAGTAGGCTATATGTTATAGCCCACTAGTAGCGAAAAGCGCAGGCTTTTTGACGGCAAAAAAGGATCAAAGTCTGGCTTTAACTGGGTAAAATGTTTTTATTCTCGATATTTTAGACCAACTAGTTGGATTTTACTAAAACAATTATTCCTCTCGCCCTCATGGCCTCTGAGTCAATAGCCCATTCGTGCTCGAGGAATAATTATTAAATAGCAATGGAAATGTCACTTGGTGCACAGGGCAACCAATAAAGAAACATAACAGAAAAGCTCATGGCTAAAGGTTTGCTAGACCTCATAAGATTATTATAAGCTTAATAATACCTCGCATTTTCACTTTGAAGCTGACTGGACAATTCCTTTGCCGCACTGTTTGCTTTCTCCAAACACCGGACCTTGTTTTCTGCATCACTACACCTCTCCTCAAGATCTGATACGTGCAACGTAAAAAATGCATGTTGTTCGATTTTTAAATCAACTTAAAAGTTGGGCGTACTTACAGAGTTGACGGAGTTCTAATGTAAACTGTATCAAGTTTACACTCAAGTTCACACGACAATCAAATTTAAGCTTAAACTAAAACTCAATTAAGATATTAAATAAAAAGCTACACACGAGTGTTGTTTTAACCATGCTTACCTCGAAAATCCCGTCCTATACTCTCTTTTAGCTCTTCTAATCGACGATACGTCTCCATTAATAGTAACTAAAGTTGAAGTCTGCTTTCTTTCCATCTGAAATCCAAGTGAAGCAATCTTTGGACTTGCCACATACTGACGAAAGCGAAAGATAAACTTCCCGCCATCTTGAAACACGGTCAGAGGGACTGGGGAGGAAAAACGCCTTGAATTTCTTCGCATATTTATAATTTGTTTGCACTGACTTTGCTCAAAGCAATCGATACACAAAGGGTTGCGGTTTTACCTTGGTTTAACAGAATTGTTCTAAACTTTGGGTATCCTTTAACGCGCAAAAGAGAAAAAGGGGATGACTGAAGAGGAAACTATATGTGATCGCACTTATCGCGCTTATGAAAGACAGAAAACCAAGCCGGATAAACCAGAGACTTGCTCGTTGCCAAGGCATTCTAAACAGGACCACAAGGTACATGAATATTGACTTTATATCATATATTTTGAGCAATAGATTGACGTTTCATGGAATGCAGATTAGTTGTGATGGGGCTTTTAATTTTGTACTCTACCTGCTGTCAAATTTCTTACGTGGGAATAGTACTCAGAGTTCGCCAAAGAGCCTATGATAACAGAAAAATTGGCTATGCTTAATTTTTATCAGAACATTTTAATCCATTTAACTTATTGTAAACTCACAAGCTATAATGCATCTGAGTTTATTGGATAGGTAAGTCTTCCCTCAAAGATTATCGTAAATTTGCGCGTGTAATTCAGCCAACAACACTTGCACCTGTTCTTACTTCATGAAACTAATTTTTATATAAATATAGCCCGGGCTGTCAGCCCCCCCACGTCATCAAATATTGATAATTGATAGGAAAGGAATGATAGATGACGTCATATCGCACAACAAATGACATCATTTGTGCCAAAAATGCTCTTTGATTTTGATCGACGTATATCACACATATAAACAGTTCAATTTATTATGAGGAAATATTCCATGTTAACAGTAGCTCTCAAACTATGCAAAATATTTGAAATTTATGGTCGGAAAGTTGAGTCTACAAGAAATAGCAACTTTGGCGATTATCTGGGAGAAATCTGGAGACTGGGAGATGTTTTCCAAAATCAGGAGGTCCTGGAGTCTCACAGATTATCCGGGAGAGTTGACAGCACTGATAGTCCTTTTCCCTCATCCTGCAATAGTGCCACCAGTCCCCCTTCCGCAGATATGCCTTCTGTGTAAGCTGTGTACAAGGACAATTTTTAAAATGCATGTTTGGGATTTAGCCAATAAAAACTGTTGGGAGTATTGAATTGAGGGAACATTCTGTCAAGATGTTGAGATTGAAAAACAAACAATTCATGTACACTCTAACCTGTATTAAGTGGTCTCCCTGGGAAAATGGCTTACTGACTGCTTAATACAGGTTGACCATTTAATACAGAGGGAAATTTCTATCCTATGACAAATTGACTTCAAAGTGTCTCCACCTGTGCTTATCCCTACCTGTGCTTAAAGAAAAGGAAGAAAAAGACCACTTAATGCCATATGCAGTGTATACATCAGCGTACGGAAAAAAAAAAGTATTATTCAGGCAAAACTGATGTACCGTTCGGGCAAAGACACAGTAAAAAATATTTTATTATTTAATATCTTGATTTATTTGTTTTCATCCCGCATCTCGCCTAATCTTCTAACTGATCTCTGTACTAGTTCATGGGATGGCTGTTATTACTTGGAGTTAGAACATGATGTTCTACCGAGGGACTGGGAGTGATAATCAAGACTGCGCTGGGACTGGAACTGCGTATGAGTTGGCGGCCATGTTGATTTATGTCTGTGACCAACAAGTTTCATTCGGGCAAATTATGTTCAGCCCCCCCAACAAAATTTTTCCTGTACGCCGATGAGTGTATATTATGGTACATCTTGTCAAATTGACTGTTTAATAAAGGTGAAGACAATTAAAAATAACACTTTTGGACCTCGCAAAAGGTGACCATGATCCCTTGTTTTACAGCAATTAAGGGAAATGATTTCTAGGTCTTTAATAAGTGACCACGTACATGTATTAGAGGTTTGCTTAAGTACAGGTTTGGCTGTATTAGTCTCCTAGCAGGGGGTTATGGGGTACTCCAGGAAATTCCTGGTGGGAGTTTGCTACCCGGTTCATTAATTCCTGACCCTATTTCAGACCAAAAAGTGTCATTTTCCACACCTGTTTTCAGATGACCTGGAGGAGTTCACAAAATGTAAGATCCATGTTTACATAGGCAGAAATTATGCCATCTTTACCAGATTAGGTCGCCAACAAAAAGATTTTGAATTCGCATATATTTCTCTTTCTTATTCATTTAGAATTGAAATGACAAATACATTCATACACTCCCATAGTTCCCTACCTGATTCCAGACCAAGTGGGGGCAAATTCTCTAGCTGTTTTCAGACTGAAACAGCACAAAAACCATACCCTAAAGGGTGGCTCATACCTAGTGTATGGCTTATATAATGGAATATACCTGGGATTACTGTAGGCTTCTCTTTAATAATTTGCAATATTTTTTGTTATTTTTCAGCCTTCTGATGCCCATTTTTTGTACAGTCAGTTAGGAAGAGTTGTAATTAAACGGCACACTTACTTAACTCCTGTAACACATGCTACCTACCCCTGGAATCACGCTCACCCTCCAGGGAGAAAATCAGCCTTTAAGATGCCAAAAACTGTTTATCCAAAGAGATGACAAGACAGTGATGGATTCACATGCTGCTTCTCCCATGAAACTACTTCAATGCTAACAATCAGATGCTCAGACCATCACTGGCTGGTCCTTCAAATCAGTGGCAGATCCAGACCTTCAAATAAGAGTGGTAGTGGTGGGGGGGTCATCCAGACCCAGAGATGGGGGGGGTCCAAAAACATTTTTTGGCCCTTTTTTCCTCATTTTGGTCTAAGAATAAGGGGGGGGGAGGAGGGGGGGAACGGGCCTCTCTCCTGGATCTGTCACTGCAAATGGTCCAATGTTTATCCAAATTGCTATGACAAGCTGCTATGTCAAAGTGTTCTTAAACATCTACCCAACTTCCTGACTGAGAATCAGTATTTTTATACCAACAAAGTAAAGATAAAAGGATCTACAAAACCATTGGATCATAAGGCTCATACACAGATGTTCTTTTGGCTCATCACACAGTGGAATGTGTGACAAAGCCCTTTGAATATCTACGTGGGAGGCTATTGGATCATTCGACTTGAGGACATTCTTCGTTGTTGAACTAGTCACTCTCACTGTAATTACATGGCTAATGCGAACTCGGTGCACAAAGAAAAGTTGATAAAAAACCTTGTATGGTATTAGATAATATCTAGTCATAAACTAAACAACTGTTCGAAATAAATTTGCAAAATTGCTTACTTGTACAAATGATAACTGTAAACAGAGCATGTGAGTTGTCATGGCAACTAACCCTAGATTTTCGTGAATCATCTGTCAAAACAACACGGCTCAGATCTATTTTTGGTCCAAGACATAACTCAGTATTTGCTGCAAATTTTCCGGCATGTATTGGGAGCTCTTTCATTTGAAAGCAGAGGGAGGCTGAGAAGAACAGAAATGCAATCAGTAGGGAGGAACAAAAGGGACTCTTGCCCTCATTCTGATGCAATTGCTTGTACCCCTTCCCCCTGGCAATAAAAGTTAAATTAAGTTAGCTCCCAATGAATTCGACTTATTATGACGTTTAGAAACTTAATTAAAACCGATTAAAGGAAACCTGTTTTGATCACCTCTGCCATTGCTCGTTTCGAAGCGCCTTTTCTATTCCGGTCACAAGCCCCCTCAGATATAAGTTCCTCGGATTAAAATCCCTCCTAAAACCCCTTAATGCCGATTTAGAAGGTACGGTGTTTGCTTACGACTGTCGTGCGCGACTCCCGGGGCGCGGCTAGCGTACGTCATGACTTCACGTCAAATCGTGGTGTGTAAATTAGACCCACGACATCCGCACGACACGTGTGGATGTCCTAGGTAAAAACATACCATTTTCGATGTATTAAATTCATACTTGGCTCCGAGGCTTGGGGGAATAAAACAAAAGAAATGTATTTTTTATTGCTGAGCCTCAAGATGATTTCTTTTCTTTTGTTCCCCCCTAGGCTAGTCGTAAGCAAAACTCGTACCGTCTAAATCGGCCTTTACCAGCAACAAACGACTTCCTCTTTAAAATCGGCCTAAAACAAGCAGACTCCTGTTCTTTCTGCGGAGAATTTACTGAAACCCTTGCCCACTTGTTGTGGTATTGTAGTTACACTCAAAAATTCTGCAAAGACATTTATCAATGGATAACTCAAAACACCACCTTAAACAAATCCATTGCCTTCTCTCCTCTTATCTGTCTTGGACTAATTGATAATATCTCTGATTTGTTACTACATCACCTTTTCTTTATCGCCAAACGATATATTTACACATGTAAGTTAAATAACTGCAACCCTGCGCTACAGGTTTATATACAAACCGTTATGAAATGTTAATAGAAAAAAAAAATCGGCCTTTACGAAGATTTATATGCCCGCGGATTATAAGCGGCAGTACACAGTATAAAACGTTCACGTTCTTCAACACAGATGGTGGTCTAAAGTTCTTTAATTCTTGCTCTGATGGCATGGCATAACTAAAAACATTTTGGTTTTCGACTCAATCAAAAAAAGACTAAATTTTTGAAAAAGTTTTATTTATTTACTTTCAGCTATTCCAAACTTCAGACAGTTAATATCTATTTGGAATTTTCGTATAAACAAGTGCGCAAATCTAAAAACAAAAGAAGTATTTCCATGATAAATTTACCGAAGCTCACTTTTTCTGTTCTTTAGCAATTGAGTGACGTTTAACAAAATGATATTTATTTCTTTTTCATCACTGTTTCCAACTTGTCAAGCAAAGACGGTGGTACAATAATCTGGCTGAAAAACGTGCTGGATTCATCATCTGTAGGGTCCTGTCTGTCTTCTAAAGGAGTCTCCATTATTAACTGCGGAAATAATACAAAAAGGAAAAGGAAAGCCAAAGAAGTTTTTTTCATTACGTTTAAGATCTTCAAACTTTACGTATAAGGGAGTATTTGCTGAGTGAGTTGGTGCACGACGATCTTGGAAAGATTGCGCCGGGTAAATATGGTCAAATTTTCTTTGCAGGATTGAGGGGGACTGGTAGATTCATTTGCTTGTGATTGTTGTTTTGTTTACGAAAAAGCGCAACATGATATTCGTTGCAGATCAGAAGTGTGACTAGTGAAATTAAAGGTACTTGACGGGCACTTTTCTCTAGAGTGCCGCATGATCATTCTACAGCAAAGCGTTTGCGGCGTAAATCATTGAACAATACAAGATACCCACCTGTCTTGCATCAGCTCTGGTCACATCACCTCTCATCAACAGCAGTGCTAGAGCATGGTCTGATTTAAAGTCTGGATACTTGTTAGCAATCCCCTAAAGAAAGACCGGAGTTTGTTACGGTTAGTTGTATAAAGGCATTGCATTACCTCCTTCCTCGCGCGCCCATCACGTCGGTGTTCTTGCGCGCGCGCGCTTCAATTTCCCTGCCTGCCTGCCTGGCGGGTTCGGAAAGAGCTCTCTCGCAGGCAAGCTAGAGATCATCTTTAGAATCGCACAAAGACCCGTTACCGTTTGTTACTCACAGAGATTTCCAAGGCCATCATAGACGTATCTCTCAGCTTGATAACCTCTGCAAGGGTTGGAAGTACAGAACACAGTTTTTCAGGTTCCAAATTAGCTTTCGCTAGTTTCTTGAAGAGTTTTTCTATTTTCTTTGACTCCTCTGTGATCTTCTTTGCCGCATCTCTTCGACCCTCGTAATCCTTGAACGCAATCCGTCTAATAAGAAAATAAATTACAGTCAAACCACTTTAATACGGACAACAAAGGGAAAGGGCCAAGTGTCCACCTAACAGATTTGGGTAACCGTATTACAGAGGTAGCGACAATATGAAGTCTGATTTCTTTGAGACCTTCACCAAGTAAATTGTTCATATTTACAGAGAACTCTCCTTAGTATGGAGCTGTACGTAATGAAGAACGATTCTATTTTCGCAGGTTTTGAGCAAGCGAGACAGCGTTTGGTTTAGCCTGCAAACGCAAATTCCGGTTGTGGCTTCCTCTTCTCCCTGAAAGTAATTTACTGAGATCGTGAAAAGATATGTGGTTAACAGTAAGCTTTCAACTCAAAGAGTCTTACATGGAGAAGTATGTATGTTCTGTGAAGCCAACGAGAAAATCACGAGTTCCGAAAGTTTAGTGAGAAATTGATGATAATTTCCATCATAGCTTACTGATAAAGAATATACGCTACTTTTAATCGCGGTACCTGAATATTTATTGCATAGATAAATGTTAGATGGGCTGGTGACAAAGTCTGTGACGTTGAAAATGTCGGAAAAACTGCACGCGACAATCCTTTGGTTTTGGGTTCCCGACAATGATCGCTAAAGGAACAACTCAGGTTGAGCTACAGTCCAGTGTATTGATCATATCCCATATTACCTTTCGGGATTGTCGCGTGCACTTTTTTCCGACAACCTTTCTCGAAATAGCTGTATAACCACAGGGAACACTGTGGGTCGATACCGCCACTTAGCTATAAGGGGTCTACAAAGTCTTCAATTAAACTACAACTTTAAAACTTTGCTACTAACTCACTTGTTTAACATAGCCCTGACGTATTCTAAAATTACTCTTTTCAAAGCTTCTGCCATTAGATAGTCAAAGAACCTAAAATGGAACAAAAGAAAAAAACATCCGGAATATCATAATTATAAATACGGCGGCAAGATTAGCTCAGTCGGTAGAGCGCTTGACTGCAGAGCGAGAGGTCGCGGGTTCGATTCTCGGGGCCGGACCATTACTCATGGTCTTAAAATAACTCAGAAATGAACTGCTAATGGGGATGTGCCGCTGGATGGGGTCGCATTTTCACGACTGGATTGACTATAATGGGGGTGCATTTTCAATAGATTTACTAGAATGGGGTCGCAAATTTTCGGATTTTTGGGGTAAGTAGGGATTCAAAATGGGAAGATTCTCGGTTAAACAATCGGAAAGTTGTTGTTTACTAAATTTAACAATAAGCTCGCATTGACTGCATTACATTCGGCCGCTTGAAACCACATTGATAAGGTAGATGCATAAATAGAAAGTGACCAAGTTAGGATCGCGAAAATTACATTTTCCAAAAAGTGACTAAAATGAGGTCTATAATTTGCCAAAAAATAGGCTATAATGGGGTAGGGGCTCTGAGAGGCCAGAGGCACATACCCAGCAAACATAAACCCAAGTACCCCCCTGGGGTACGTGTACTCCCTTTGCATTGCAAGCGGCTTGACCTTCGCGTGGCTTGGATGACCACGTAAAATAGCGATCCCCTCTCCAGTTGGAGAAAAAAATACATTGCTAAATACAATGACAAATATAGCGCAAATACTGTATTTGAGATAAGGTTTAATGTGATAGAAGTATCTACTATTTTAGAAAGGACCGTTCCTTTCGCTGATTGCAGGTAAAGAAGGAAATATCGTTAAATCGATGATGGTAAATCAGGGTTCCACTGTAGTTCAAACTCACTCACCTGCCTTTCATGTGCAAAAAGTCGTTATAATAGTCTTCTATTGTTACAACGATGGTATCCACAGCCTCGCTGCTTGGAACCCTAAAAAGGGAGAAAGGCCGAGATGTCATTAAATCCTAAGTACCCGGAAAACGTAAAAGAGCAAGCCTATCTTACTTTAGTTAGACCACAGCTTGAGTAAGGATCTTGTACATGGAACTCGCACACTTTTGTTAAAAATGAATATAGCACCACTTCTGGAACTGTCACGAAAATTCTGAATGATTTGAAATGGCCACCACTCGAGAAAAGAAGCTAAGGAAGGTGGTACGACTCACAATGATGTTTAAAGTAGTTTCTGGTCTATCAGCAATACAATTTCCACCATATTTATATTATTTAAAAGAGGACAGGGCACTAGGCAATTCCCACCCTAAGAAAGTCATTCAAGTTGGTGCTAAAACAAACAAATACCAGCACAGTTTTATTGCACGTACAATCAGAGACTGGAATTCTTTACCAAATAGTGTCATTGAAAAGCAGTCAGTAGATGCTTTCAAAAAGGCTGTCATGTGCCATCTTTAAAAACGCTGACGCTTTTTCTTTTTTTTTTTTTAAATTAATACTCGCACCATAAGCACATGCACATCTGCACATCTGCCGTGATGGGATATACCCTTTGCAGATTATACGATTAGAATTAGAATTTTTGGAAACGAGATGTACCCACGATTAGCCCACGACACGATTCGTATCATATCATTCCTACGAGAGTCGGAAACAATTTGTTCGTTTGATTGCCGGACATAATACTGACTGTATAAGCGGCAAATGATGATTCACAGTCTTTGTGCCGACATGAGAAACTATCCGGTATACTACAGTCCTAAACATAGAAATGTTTGTATTGTGAGGGTGTCTGTAAAGAAAGGCTGGAGTGCAATTCTTGAAAAAGGAACTTAAACCTTTCACTCGCCCCATGAAAAAATTCAAAAAATGCTCGAATTTCTAACTCTCTATGTAAAACCTATCAAAAGAGGTTTCATTTGAATAGCAGCACCACAGGATTTCCTCCTTAGATCTAAAAGTTACTATGACGAACTTACCATAACACAATCTACAAAGTCAGGGCTCAAAATCAATTTGGGTTTGTTGCCGGTCGTGTTGACCGGCCAAAGAATTTTTAGCAGAGTCATGTATCTCTTCTGACCGGTCAGAATGTCAACAATAACACGGTCATTGCAATGACTTGAACGTACTAGCATAGCAAGCAAAATCAAAAAGTGAAAAAATGTTTGTCTTCTTGAAACGTAATGGTGAGAAATGTTTTTTTTTCTCAAAATGACCGGCAAACCAAAAGTTTGTCCGGACAAATGGTCAAGCTGGTCGTACATTGTCTGTAGAGCAGCCGTTATTTAGAGCCCTAAAGTATAACAAAAACTAACAGTGGAGTAAACTGCGCAGCAGGCGCTCGGAAGTTATTTGCAAGAAAGAACGGGGTGCGCGACAGAGACACGCGAGGGGTGTCTCCCTCGCGCGCCCTGATCTTTCTTGCGTCCATTACTTCCAAGCACATGGTACTCAGGCTAACAGTGAAGAAATATAATCACCAGGTGGGAGTCATGATTTGACTGAAGAAAGTTTCCAGATCCAGAAACACCTCTTCCAGCAGATATCCAGCACTAATGAGAAAGGAAAAAAAATTCCGTAAGAATAGTTTTAAATTTTAAAATAAATTTAATAACTTTTAAAACATTGAATGGCTCCGGTCCCAGATATCTTGAAGATATTTTAAAATTTTACCATCAAACAAGGACATTACGGTCATCAAGGGATCATTTACGCCTTGAAGAACCAAATTTTAACATGAAAACTTATGGCCAGCGAGCGTTTTCCGTTGCTGCGCCCTGACTATGGAACAAGCTCCCCTTTGAAATTCGAGCTTGTTCTGATGTTAATCTTTTTAAATCTAAGCTGAAAACGTTTCTATTTAAAAAGGTATATGACATTTAGTTTCGTCATATTTGTTTTTGTTTTTGTTTTTGTTTTTTTTTCTTTCCTTTTTAAGATGTGTACAGTAGGGTTATATGTAAGCTTGAGCTTAATGATATTCTTATGTCCTTTTTTACATTGTAAAGCGCTTAGAACAGCGATGTATAAGCGCTATATAAATTCCATTATTATTATTATTATTATTATTAATAGTTAATCCCTTACGCTGTCAAAATAATGAAATACTCAAAGTAAACAAGTCAAGTTTGATATTTGTATTAACTACATGTACAAGGAGAGCTACAACAATTTGATCGTATTTACTACTACAAAAAAACACAGGACAATACAACCAAAAAAATAGTGTTTTTTAATAATTATTTGCTCTCTACCCGTGCCACTCTTGTAATCACATATACAACTCTGGGGACCTTCAATAGCAAAAAGGACCCTCAGTTTCCTGGGACTGGAAGTCCTAAGGAGCCCTAGCTTTCCAAACGGGTGGGAACTCTGTCAAGGTACTGTTTTCTTATTATAAAGCCAAGGAATGTAGAAGTTGCAAACCTCTCTTCCCCTATTCTTTCAAAGCAGTCGACGACACTCTTGAAGGATCGCTGCCTATCTTCACCAAATGCAGCTCGACCGAGTTCCGCAATCAGACGCTCCTGGGAAGACAGGAAAAGTTACCTAATAAGTTGGTCATTGAGTTTTGTATGGATTCACACCATCACCAGCTCTTTGTTTCCTCATAGTTTCCTGGGCTTTTATATCACATTCAAACAGTAATTCTTGAAGAGAAGGGGGGCGGGGGGGCTGAGCTATCTAGCTATCACCCTGTGCGCAGAGATTTCTTTCCGGCATTGCTGTTAGCATTTACGAAGTCGTTCGCGTCGCTTGTCAGTCGCGTAGAAGTTGTTGTTGTTGTTGTTTTTCTTCTGGCTACTACCTACTAAGCTAAATCCGAGTCATTACTAATCACAATGTTATCATCTTACACAGCGAATGAAAGTCTCTGCGTAATTTGAGTAATCACCTCTTTGTACTAGACGGACACTGCCCTGTGCTTAAACAAAAAAAACAAAAAAAATAAAATAAAGCAAGGGATGGGCCACCTTCAGTTGGTCTGTGAAGTCCATGCACGCCTTGCAGTTGTTAACGATTGCCACCTGAAAGAAAAGGGGTGAGGTTAACCCTTTAAGCCCCAGTATCCACAAACAAATTCTCCAAACTGATCTCCATACATTTCCTTAAAGAATTAGTTGAGAGAATTTGATGATAGATCAAGGTATTTTCTCTCGGGTGATCATTTTATTAATTCTCATAACTTATCTCTTAACATTGTATGGATATTGTTAGGAGAAAATTGATCTTGGTCACTATTGGGACTTAAAGGATTAAAAAAAAGACAAGTCGAACAACTACAATCAGGGATCTTGACAGGGTTCTGGCATCGACCCTATAATTTTCTTATGAATGGGGAAGACCAAGCACTCTATGCAAACTTGAGTTTAATAATTTCTCACAGGAAGTTTCATTTTAATGATGATGATGATGATAATTATGATGATGATGACAATGAAAGATGATGATGGTGAAGATGACTCGGGATTCATGATCTACACAATAAAGAGACCGATTAATTCAGGACGCTTTTATAATTTTCCCCTTCTTGGTTACAGTAACAAGGAAGATCAGAATCACTCTTCCTACCGTGTAATCCACAAATCGGAAGGGCTGGCTTCTGTCTTCAAAGTGTTTGCTCTTATATCCTCGGATTAAAGCTGAGTGTATAAAAAATTAACTGTTAATTAACGACATTTTGGATCAACGTAGGTTTCTGGGAAACTGTCCACCTACCCCTTCCCTTAGCCAACATTTTGCTTTAAGTGAGAAGTAAGTATTAATGATGGCTTAGGGTAGGGATAGGTGGATAGTTTCTCTTCCTAATCATCTCCCGGAGCGAAAGAGACACTTAGAAGATGGGACGTGTAGCAAGAGTCCTGGAAACGAGGTTGGATTTTAGTCTTTTGGGCCCAGTTATTCGAAGGACGATTGGCGCTTAACCCGGGTTTCATTTCCTTGTGTTCAAAAAAAATTTTCTCCGTTATTTTTAGAGGTTCCAATCATCAACATGTAGACAAAAAGAATTAAAAATGAACTGCTTTTTAATCTTTCAAATCTGAATGCAAATCTCGTACTAACCCTCGGTTATTTTAACCGAGCTTTGAACAACTTGGCCCTGATTTAAAAAATTCTGGTTAGTTAAACACTCTCTTCTTGTTCTACTTACTTCTGTACTCTCTCTGAAAACCTTGCACGGATTCAAGACAGATATCAAGAATCTATTCAAAGGCAAAAGAAGAAACAAATAAGCGCGAAACTTTTACAACTATAGGTTACGAAAATCGACTTTTAACCGCTGAACTACAATTTTCTGCTGGTACATTTTTGTCAGAAAAAACAATACTTGAAAGTAAAAAGAATTCTAACCATTACATATGCAATCATGGCCATTCACTCAAGATGCAACAATCTAATGATAGCAATTCTTTTTAACAAACAAACTCAAAACATTACAAGCATGCCGGCGAGTGAAAACACATAAAAGCAACTCGAGCTTGCCATTCGTTGACATCTGACCTCTAAAAAAGCCCAAGATGTTTTACAGTCCATCACAAAGCATGGCAGCCGTTTACGTAATGTTAGTTGCATTTAGCTTCGCAAAGAAAACCCAAAAACGCACTTGAAGGTCGCTTACCTGTAGTTTAATTCCTTCGCCTGCCTTGGCTGCCACTTGTAGCTAAGATGGGAAATCAATTATTGGTCGTGTAATGTCACTGTGTATTGCGTATTTTACTGACTGCTACTAACGACTTATCATAGAACGCTGACCTACCATTAAATCGAAGCTAGTGTTCACAAGCATCTTTCAAAAAAGTTACTGAAGAACTCAAATAAAACTAACAAGTTGTAACTAATACGTTGTTACCGAAACGCCAAGGACTACACTCACCCGCAAGATCCCATACTCAACCTCGTTATGACAGTCTAGTAAGTTGCGTTGGAGCAAAACGAAATAGATGTATACAGGATTTTGCTGGTATTTGTCTTGGTTCTTTCCTACAGGTTCTCTAACCTCTACTTGAAGAAAAAGGCAGCTCCTTTCATTCAAGAGAAAAACTGATTATAATGAAGCTCTTACATGTTGATCAATCATTTTAAAGAGGAAAACAGGGAGCGATGTGTTGTAGAATCCTTCCAAGTCTGTCTCCGGTGGAGCATCACTGTTCCAGTCCTGAGAAGAAACACACATTTCTTGTTAAAGAACATGACACTCTACTGATCAAGACTACCGTATTTATTCGATTTACCGCCCTGGGCGCTTATTAAATTTTTGGACCTTGAGAGTGGGCGCTTATTTGAGGTGGGCGCTTATTCGAGGCTGGGCGGTTATTAAATTTTCACCATTTTCAGCAATTAGTGTAGTATTTTTATTTTGCAAAAAAACAGTAAATGCCAGTAACAAAACGAAGTAACAAAGCAAGGTTTTCTCGGTACTTGGAAGAATACTCCGTCTTTGGGGAAGTCTCTTATTAGTACTTAGTCAATTTCAATTTCAATCTCATTATAGGTGGGGTGGGGTGGGCGCTAATTGAGTTTGATTGGGAGGGGAGGGGGTAGGGTGGGCGCTTATTCGAGGCTGGGCGACATTAAAGAGGTTGGGCGCTTATTCGAATAAATACGGTACTTATTTTGGAACTGCCTCCATCTTCCAATTTACAATGAAAAGATGTGTCGACGACATTTTTAAAACTACAGTAAACTTACTGTCTTCTACCCAGATCTACACTGAGTCTGAGTATTCTATTGATAGACCTTCCTAAAAGTACGCACTGTCCTCCTTCCTCCCCCACGGTGCTGTTTTGGGGGATTGGACGAAGCATGATTTTGTTCCAGTTTTCTGTGAATAGAATAGCGGTCCCAGAAAAGTCCCACAGTGCAGTTCGACTCAACACAGACACAGCCAGCCTCGTGCGAAATTCGTCAAAATGACCAATAGAGAGTCAAAAGGAATGAAAAGCGGCAGGTGTCTGTCTTGTAGAACGTTCCGTTAAGACAGAGTTGGCTTAGGGTACCTGCAATACTAAAAGGGTCGGTTATTTGAAAGACGACTAACTTAGGCCGCAGTTTAAGAAATTATAGGACTTCCAGATCTCTCTAAGTGGGATATATTAAGAGGGCCACTAGGGAGGATACTTTTCATAGTAATTGGTGTGACTCTCTTAAAATAAAGGTTATATACTGATTTTAACATATGGCTGAGAATGGGTAAACAGCCAAACGATTTCCGAATGAGACAGGTCACCTTCAAGTCTGTTTCAGCTAGCTTGCTCATCCACTCCGTCATATTTTTTGTGGTGGTCGTTAGGTATCTAGAGATAGGGACAAATAGGCAGTACAATTTAGCGGTTTAAGAAATTATGCTGTGGTTTCAATATGCCAAATCGGTAGTGACAGCTCATTGTTGTTCATTGTATGAGATGGGATTAGGTGTTGACGAATTCGATCAGTTGTCCCCTAATTTGTTAGTCTGCCAGGAGCGTTGCGTCACGACACTAAAAACGGCTGTGTAGCAGACTACTAATTTGTCTGAAGTTAAGAGAAGTTTTTCACGTAGAGCTCCATGTACCTTCAGAAGTTGCACTTAAAAGAGGATTGCTCGACAAAATGGATAATGCCTCTTTAGCCCATCGTTAAACTGGTAGAACTATGAGGAGCATCGAAGATCAAGTTCGTCTCAAACACGATTTATATGGGTCTCTAAGGGGGTGTTTACATGCGAAAACTAGCACTGGGGCGAGTTTCAGACCGGGATGACTTCTTGATTTCGTATCGCGTTCACATGATGACTGAGTCATTTCACTGTATCGCGATTGTATGAAGGTACACTTCATGTTGATAAAATAAGGGGGCGATTCAAAATGGCAAACATTACACATGTGCTACCCGTTCCAGTCTACCGGCAGACCGATTTCACTCCGAAACGATTGGTCGTTTCGCGTTTACATGATACCGTTGCGAGATTTCGTACCGGAGTGAAATTCTCGCCCCGGTACAAGAACCGGAGTGAACTCACGCCGGGGTGACTCGCGCCGGCATGACATTTTGTGATGGTATCATGTAAACAAATACAGAGCCACGAGATGGAATCGGAGTGAACTCGCACCGGCGCGAAAGTCGCCCCAGCGTCATGTAAACACCCCCTAATAATAATAATATAAAAAAGGCCAAAACAGAAAAGGGCATCAGAGAGAACGTATCGATCATTTCCGATTTCCCATTTTTTTGAGTTGTTAAGATGATCCAAACAATCTTAATTACCAAACACAATAGGTCATTTGCATGATGGCGTCATTTTACTACTATGACCAGAATCCTTTTCGTTTTTTCTTTCATATTTAAATTTGGTAGCCCCAGTGAGGTTTAAATAACAAAAGCCCTAATTTGCACCACAAAACAAAATTCTGAAGGATTCTGGACGTGTTAGTAAAATGACGTCATCGTGCAAATGACCTATAAAGGGGCGATCCCGCACCTATTTGAAATATTGTTTTTGATTAGCTGGGAAAACAATAGGGATTGTCACATAACAATGCCACATAACAGAATTTCTGTCAAATACAAATGACTAAGTTGTACAATATAGTGATGCTTTAGATAAACAAAAGGCAATATGATTAGCAAAAATTTGTACTTGTTCGCATTACTGTTTCCCATTTTTTCCTATTAACTGCTTTATCCATCTTGGTCAATGGACCCATCTTAAAATATACATCGCAATCAAACTGCTGACCCCCCTAAACTTCTATATAAAAAAGGTTAGCCCCTCCTTCTAGCCAATCTGAAATAGCCTTGACCCCCCCTTCTTTTCTTCCCTCCCCCCGCCTCTACATAAATAATGACTGGTCCCTAAGAGGTCTACTGTTATAAAGAGGAAGGTCTAAACAGATCATCATGTTAGCAACACTTACGTATCCATGAGTTCTTGCTCGACTTTGGGTGATAGCAAAGGACCCAAGAATCCAACATCAATCTCCAAATCTGGGTGCATCATGAGCTCAGTGCCCCTAATGAGCAAATCGAGACAAAACAGGTGAGTCAGCTGTAAATCTTACGCGTTACAACTTCAACAACTAAACAGCTTACTTGTAATTCATTTTCACATTTGTTTCACCGAGCTTAAAATTTACCATCTTTCATTCTTTCACCACACAGCACGACCTCGACATTGCTGATCCTTGCAGTTTGCAGGACGCGTGTCAAATATGAACCTAGTATATGGCCTAGCTCTCCATGAGTTCTCCGTAGCTCACGTGGATAGAGCGCCCGCCCGGTGTTTGGGTGGTCATAGGTTCGAGTCCTGCCGGGGACTCAGACTTTTTTTTTGTCCTGCGCTCGTGACATGCTAGTTAATTCATTTTCACATTTGAGTCACCGAGCTTAAAATTTACCATATTTCATTCTTTCAGCTTACTTGTACTCTCTGATCCAGGTTAAAAGGCTGATGCATTCATTCGAATCAAGTCTCTCTTCCATAACAAACCTTTCCAACTGTCGAGTAAGAACAAACAAACAAATCCTCAACAAAAAAATAGGTCTAAGATGATAGTTTCACTACCCGCAAAACCCTTAAGCTTGCCGCGATTGTTCCAGCTCGCTTAAATGCCAAATGTAGGTAAATTTCTCAGGACAAAACTCACTTTCTGAGGGAAAGAGAAAAATCCGTCGTGGTGTGTTGATGTTCTCTATAAAACGTCCCGTGAGGGAATTTCACGTTTTAGTCCACGTGCGTTGACGGCAAAGAAATGTATAAATAAAGTGTGCTGCACGTGAAGAGTTGTTGTTTTGCTTATTAAACCCATAATTATTGCTTTTTTTTTGTTTTTAATGCTCCTACTCCTAGACCAACTTATGGCAAAATGAATTTTTACTTTAACTTTTTAACCTGAGGGGGAAATCCCGTGATATTACCATTCAAATGAAACCTTTTAGGTAGAAGTTTGCAAAGTGCAATTTATTTCTAAGGATTTTGCAAAAAAAAAAAAAATTGGAACTTTTTGGTAAATTTTAACTTTGGCCACTCAGTCTAGAACTGAAAGGCTTAATAATGCAACCTGGCTTACCATAGTCGATAAAGCCTGGTGATACATTCTGATGAAACGATCAAATATGTTGTAACTTGGAGGAAAACAGTCTTGGCAGAGATTCTAAAATTGGAGGAAAAACATACAACTGTTTATAGGACCGCCTCATCAAGCGCAATTCATGTTAAAAAAATTAAACATCTCTATGACGCCCACAATTAAATAGTAGTATCAAAAATCAACATTTTTCGGAAGGTCATAACTGCACAAGATTACACTAGAAGTCATGTTAAAACCGAAATTTATTATAGGTTTTATGAAAGCAACTCACAGGGGCACCCAACGTCAATTTTCGGAATATATCTGTTCGGAAGACGATTTGAGATCTAGAATTTTCGGAACATTTGTTGTAAAATTTCTTGCTTGTCTGCCTCTCCTAGGATTTTCGAACATCTAAAAAATGGTATAATTGCCCATTTTTAACGGTTTTTACCCTAAAAAGGTCACCTAGAATTTTCGGAAGCCTTTCGAAAAGGTAAGTTTTGATCCCTATAATTTTCGAATCAATAGACTTTCGGCTAGGAAATCCGAACAGATGAAAAATCTTTAGGGGATAAAAATATGCCTATATCTATTGTTTAAATACTAAAATGCTATGTTCAAGTGGTTTTGAACTATATCCTCGATGGATGCCCCTGAACTCAAATAACGCGCAAGAGTGGCTTAAATGTTTTGGCATGAAAGAATGACTGTACATAGTTTCTCTTTCTTTAAAAAAATACGTATGTCCGGTCAGGTCACTATTGTGGTCGCGCCATAGTTAATAGCGTAGTGGGGATTTGCGGAAAGTCTGATTAATACCATATATATGTTCACTGCCATACATACAGAAGACCGAATGTTACTTGCAGCTCGGACTGATTTGTTGTGGGAAGTTTTGTAGTAAAAGCTCCAACATCTGTGGGGTCGCTAAACTGGCTAAAGCGCAACAAATGCTTAAAGTATCGCTCGAAGGAAAAGCAAAGACGCAACAAAAGTCCGTATTTTTGCGTATTATCGCTCGAGCAGAAGGAAAAGGTCTGGCAGGCTCTCCTTTCAGGTAAGACACGCCAGAATTTCTTTACTGATTTTGAGAAAAAAACCGACTGTTTTGCAGTCTAGGAGACAAGAGTCTCTTCTCTTGATAAGTAGACTGCAAAACAGCGCGTATTTTTGCTTTGGTTAAGAATCAACGCGCGCGCGCACGTCAAAGGGTAGGTCTGGAATGAGGGTAAAAACGGAGAGTGAGATTTCAGAGAGAGGCGAAAAATACAACAACAACAGCAAAAAATTCTTCTCGCGCTTTGTGCGAAAATAACGCATCGCCACTTCGCGCTCTGCAAAACGGATTTTGAGAAAAAGACCCGACTGTTTTGCAGTTTACTTGAAAGGAGACGCTCAAACCTTCCACGACCTCCAAGAGCATCTGACAAGGTTCAGTTGAATATAGCATATAGAGGGACCAGCCACACATTACCTAGCGAAAGGAGCATCACATCTAGGAATTTTGGGGGTTTAAAATAAATTATACTAAAAAAATATCTCAAACCTTTACAATAATTAAGTCGTCCAGCACACGCTGCCTGGTGCGCTCTAGATGCTTAACTAGCCACATTTTATCGTCCACTCTGTCCTGCAATTCCATGTCAAGACTTTCAAATCTAAAACCCCACGAAAATAACCAGGATTACACTTTAAAATAATGTGAAAAGTGAAAATCAGATGTTTAACTGAATGTGTTACCAGTATTTAACATAGTCAATAGCCCATGAAACCGAACGCCAAATGGGCTATTGACTCAGAGGTCATGGGGCGAGAGGAATAATTGTTTTAGTAAAATCCAACTAGTTGGTCCAAAATATCGAGACAAAACAACTTTAGCTAGTAAAACGCGATTCAGCCGCCATTGTTTTGGTTTTCAAAGCTGGCGCTTTCGCTACTAGTGGGCTATAACATATAGCCAAACGATGTTGTTGTCTTCCTTCTGTTTTGATTTATTTTCCATGTATCTCTGGTCTATTTGAACCTCTTTTGGATAATGGCTTTGGAATACTATAACCCTTCAAGTCCCGCGTGACCAACATCCATTTTCTCCTAACGTCATCAATACAACATCATGATAAAAGGTTATGGGAAGTTATAAACCATGATCAGAAATGGGACAATGACATGATCTTTTAACAAATATTCACTCAATTAAATCTTTAAGGAAACGAATGGACAGCATTCTAAAAAGTCTATTGGTTGATATTAGACCTTTAAGGGTTAAAAGTTTTATGATTATGGTAATTTAGTTGTGTTGTAAAGGTCATCTTTTAACATAAAAATTGATGATGCCTATGGCATTTACAAGGTTAGTATTCAGCATAGGTGGTTTAGGGATCATTTCAGGGGTTAATGAAATCATGAAACATTATCTAGAAAGTCCCTAACCTGTTACTAACTGATTCCTCCAGAACTTTAAAAGCTTTATCTCTCCAATTTTTGGGCCGCCCAGGCACTGAAAACCCCATGCTTTCTTCTTTTTCTTTTGCTCTTTTATCAGCCCTATAACAAGAAAATAAATACATTTGTCCTAAAAAAGGAAACAAAACCTCTAGCCATGAGGGGTTTGAGGCTTGCACAATAAAATAAATAGTTTAATAATACTTTGTCATGCCAATATAAGTAAATAAAATCACAGAAAATACAAAACCTAATTAAATTGCATACTAAAATATTGACACTAAAAATTAAGAAGTAAAATTTAAATACAGCCCAAAGATAATGTAATTAAATTGCATACTTGTCACTCACGAGTTACACCTGATTCACACAAATGATCCAATAGATAGGACTTAAAACTGCTTAATGAAGGTGCATGCATAATGTTTGATGGAATACTATTCCAGTGTAAATGCATAACAAGAGAAAGGTCACACGGTCAAATCTTACAGAAAACAGGATAAGTTAATCAAGGAATCATTCTGTCCTCGTAACGAAAGATGAGAAATTACGCTACGATTTACTTTACCTCCATATCTCATCCTTAAAGCAGCGAAAATTTCTCCCAAACTTAAAGAAAAATTCATGTTTTCATCACACAGACCCGAAAAAATCACCGAGAGATAGACACAAGGCAGGCTGGGAAGACAGCAATATCCTCCTTTGGTGGACCTATAACTGACGGGGCTTACATGTATTAGCACCAGTTTACAATATTGGACTTGTAATATCCAAAGGTCATGGAGTGCAGGTCACAATGATTGTAACCTGCGATCAGGTATTTTTTTAATGCTTTTGCTACATTGCATTGTTTTCCGTAAGTTTCATGTGACAGATAGTCAAAACATGCATGATCAGACTACAAGTGATAGAAGATCCAAACATGCATGATCAAATTGTGTTCTGTGCATTCCACTCATTCTTTAGTGGAAGTCCAAACGAATGCTGGCTACATACATATGACGAATGCGTAACAACAACCTGGAGATTAGGATTACAGGTGACAAGAGGAGCCAGCGAAAATGCCTTGTCAAAGAGGATTATTGTAATAACATTGGCCTAGCACTTTTGTGCCTTGAAACAGGTAGTCTTAAGGAAACAAAAGCAAACTTGGACAGCAACTCTCACCTTTGCTCTCTTTCAACTATTCTTAAGGCAGTGACCAGCTGGGCTGGGTCACTGCGTACTGTACTCAGCACTCGGCCCAACACTACCCAGCACTGTTTTCCTAAAGAATCCTGTCAATTATAAATGATGAGTTAGGGAGCAAGTTTTTTAAATGTAAAATACAAAACAGTAAGACCACGTAATATAAGTAAAGATGACTTCCGATAACTCAAACCCTCGCTAACTTGAACCTCGCACTCTAACTCAAAGTAATTTTTGTTTCCCCTCAGATCATTTCTATATAATGTTACCCTCGATAACTTGGATCATGCTTTGAGCCCTTAAAAAGTCAGGAAAAAAACAGTATACTGCTGTACAAAAAATTGAATTTGGACTTTTCCATTGATGTGTTGTAGGCATTAACATTTCTAGCTAATTAAATGGCTAAAATGTTCACTTAGCAGTGACAACTGTTTTTGTCCTTACTCCTGGCTATTTTCTTTGAGCTCCCGATAACTCAAACTTTTTTGATTTCCCTTGAAGGTCGAGTTGTCGGGAGTCGGCTGTAAAAATAAGTGTTACGCATTGATGAGTCACAAGGGGAAAAGAGGCATGGGAGCAAGGGACAATAGCAGGGAGGGGGGCAGGAGGGGTAGGTACAGTAGGCAGGAGAGGAAAGAGGAAGAGGTAGGAGTTCTAAATGGCTGGGAGGGAAGAGAAATAGGGGAAATTATGTAACAATGGTTAATATTTCATAATCAAAAACCGCCAAAAGGGAGGAGAGCCAAGAAAGGGAGGGGAGACGGGAAAGCTAGGTAGGGAAGGTGGGAGGTTTGGGCCTTCCTGTCCCCTCCCCACCCCCACCTCTTCATGGACAAGGCTTGACACAGTTTCAGTAATGTATAAAGCACAGAAATATTTCATTTATTATTTAACCTCTAAATAAGTACAGTAATGTACTAAATTCCTTCAAATTCTCATGTTTGTACTCACAGATAATTTCCTGACAGCATCAAAGTATTGATACAGTGGCTGCCAAAATAACAAAAAATGGATACAAAGTTAATAAACAAAAGATCTATCATTCAATTTTAAGACATGGCCTATAATTTGAGACAAAAATTGCTTTTTGCCATTAAATATACTTTCTTAACTTCTTGCAAAGCACTGTCTGATTATTTGCAGCATTTACCGTGAAGAAAAATCTCTGGCTTCATGTACCAAAATTAGAAGACCTATTTTAATTTCAAATAATATTATTGCAATTTGAGCTTCAAAAATTATTGAAAGAAATGCAAGACTTCATAATTTGCAAAACACACACATCCTTGCAGAATATGCAAAAATAATTCTTGTAAATTCTATAGCTCACCCTCTTATCCTCTGGCTTTGGACCTTCCTCTTGCTGTGACATCTTATGAACTTCAAACAGAAGTTCATCCCTAGTGGTTTCCAAATCAGATAAACATACAAAATAATGAAGAAAAAATTAAGAAAAAATTAAGAAAAATTACCTTTTGACTGTAGATTTTGTTCACATTATGCTTATCTTCCAAACAAAAAGTCACTATTCTGTGCAACTATTGTGAATATTTAATATTTATCTTGTTATCACAATACTCAAATAGTTTCCATTACCATTTATGTGCAAGGAGCAGTTTTCCTTCACTAATTAATGCTTCTGTTTTCTTCACATTCTCAGGAACAGTAAAGATGAGGTTAAGGTGTTCACAAGCTTTAGAAATCTGAAAATTTAAATCAATTGTAGAAGCAATTATGTTATTACCAGTACAGCAATTGTCACAACAACTACAATAATATTATTATTGTAATTGTTATTATCAATATCACTGCTCACCCTGGAAATAAAGGGGAACAACAATTCAGCTATGAAATGAATAATCAAAGGCTAGTAAAAGTAAAAGAGCGAAAAAAAAATTAACCCTTTTGCTCCCAAAAGTAGCCAAAGGCAAAATTCAACAAAATTTCCAAGTTTCATTAATATGTTATGCTGAAAAAATCAAACAGTACCATGTGAGAGTAGTCGCAAAGAGTTTCAGTTTGAATTGCGACACTACAGTATTTTAACCACACATTCAAAAGTTAGAACCACCTTTCAAGACTCCATCTTTCACACTGGGAGGAAAGGGTAAAGGCTGGTTTTCACTAGCAACAGAGTTGCAGTTGTAATCGTAATCAGAAACGTAGAACTTTACGATCTAGTGAAAACAGCGTTCTTATTCTGGTTATGACTCCATCATTTACGATCAAGTGGAAACTAGGTTGTCAGAGTCACAAGCAGAAGCAGAAGAACTAAACCAATCACAAAGCATGGGAACATTTGCATTATGATTGGTTTATCCTTCCGCTTCGGCTTCCGACTCCGACAATCTGGTTTTTACTAGATCATAAGCGACAGAGTCGTGCATGAAGTCAGGAAAAAATGGAAACATCCTGATTCTTCCAACTCTGATTCCATTGCATATTTTATGACTCTGCTTACGACTCAGATTTTTGATTGTCACAGAGTCATAAGCGGTCTTATGACTCCGCTTACTGACTCTGACTTTGAGTCTGACTTCATTGCTAGTGAAAACTAGCCTTAACAAAATAATAAATCAATTAGGGTGTGTGTGAGGACAGGGAAAAAAGGAGGGAGGGGAGATTGACTTGAATGTGCTTGACTGTGGGTTAAAATAGAAATGTGTTACCTGGCTTTGATGCCTTTGGCATTCTCTTACAACTTGCAAGTCATCCGCTAGTGATCGGACATTCTTACACATTGAGTCAACCTCATTCATACTTTAGAAAGGCAACAAAAACAAAATCACATATTAAGGATACAAGCACATTTTTTCAGCCTGTAATAGCTCCTAGCTTTTCGAACACAATAGTGGTGAACTATCATTGATAATCAATCAAAATTTCAAGCAGAGCATGTATGTGTTATTGGTCAAAATTTAATTTAGGTTAAATTTTTTTAACGTAGGTTGATTCTCAATTTTCTTTGTCTGCTAGCCCTAATTCACAAAAATTAATGGTTAGGGCTACATGCATGTAGGAGACAAAGGTAATTGAGAATCAACCTAGGTTAAAAATTTTTTATCTGACCATAATTTTGACCTGTAACATTTACACCAGATAAAAAATAATGTTACTTGACAAGTACTGCATTCATGTGATTGTGTTTTTAATACAAGTTGCCTCTACCTCTGCTTGATCTCCTTGATTTCTTGAAGAGCACTGGAAGGCAAAAAAAAAAACTTTGGAGTCAAGTCAGTGCCAAAAATAAATCTATATTAATATTGAATGAGATGATGAAAGGCTACAGATAAATAGGTGGTGAGAATGGAAAAAGCAGTAATAATAACAAATCAATTATTTAAAAAAGTTAAACTGCGTCACCTTTGCACAAAGTCAGAGACCCAAAAAGCTACTGTCAGAAGGGATTAGGAAAGTTTATAGCACCGATGATGCTTCTAGATCTTCTTCCTCTTCTCCCTTTTTTTAACTTCACACTAATACCCTATGTTGAAAACGATATTGTCTTACCTATGAAGTTGATATAGCCCTGTCCTCACACCATCTAGCTGTGACTGAACAGCTGTTTTCAGCCTGGCTTCTGCTGATGCCTGTTAATGTGATAACAGAGTTTATAACTCCCACCTAATCTGAAAGAGTTGTCTTAACATGTACATTTATCAATTCAGCCTAAGGTAAAAGACAGTTTAACTTGCCTCCTTATCCTCTTGAAAAATTTTCTGCTTTGCCATACTTACTCAGGACTTCAGTATTTTTTTCTTTTAGTATAACACTATTACTACAGTTAAAAACCTGGTTAATATGAACACCAAAGGGACATGCCATACTGTCTGTATTATCTGGGTGTCTGCATTAAGCAGGCACTTAGAAAAAAAGCCTGTCATGGACATGTTTTATCAACCTGTACTGACGCTTTTAGTTTGTGACTCAGCCAGGTAGACTGAACATCAGACAGAACATTTGCAAGAACTATCAATGTTTCTGCTACGTTTTCTCTGGTAAGATATTCAGTCACAGACTATTAATGAAACTTAACACTTGCTACATGTACACAAAGTTGTTCTCAGTAAAACTAGACATATATAGCCACTTACTTTGTTTCTCATGTATCTTCTCCTCCATTGCTCCACTTTGTCCAAACTGTCAGGATGCTGAAACAAGAGTCAATTAATGATAGAAGGGGTTAGTTGCAAAGGAATCCATGGTTTTGCATCATTTGGGAGGGGTGGGGGGTAAAACTTTAATTGTTATGTTTATTTTGCTTTATATGCAGTAATAATTCTTTATACATTGTAATAGTTTGCCTTTTCTCTGTAAATCTCGTACTTATTAATTTTTATCCTCATTGTAACTTAGCAGCACATTGTAACTCTCTGACCTATGCCATATAAGCCTCTGGCTTTGGCATGTTATTATCATTAACTTGTGCTTTGTGTACTTATTTATCAATAAAAAGAAAGAATACTAAATTTTAAAAAACTTGGTATCACCACCTGAGTAGATACATGTATGGTTAATTTAACACCATAAAAGATAAGAAAGCTGTTGTTTGAATGAAGCCATTTGTGACAAGCGGCTGACCAAGGGCTAGTCATAAGTTTTTCGTTAGACATTAACTAAAGCAATATCTGTTAGCTTCCCATCCTGAATAGCCTGGACTATGAGTAGCCCTTATTTTTCCTCAGGGATAGTAGAGCAAGCGAAATGCGAGCGTGTGTGAAAATCATCACAAGCGAGAAGGGCAAGATGTGGCGGGGAGAGAGAAAAAAATGAGGAACTACAGACAAAGCTCAAGCTTTAGACTTTATGCATTGCTCTCACAACACATAACTCTTATTGGCTCTTCCAATGACCGCTCGAACAAGTGAATTTTTTGAATGGAAAGTGTTACTCGTCTCCATGAAAGGATGATCCATGTCATTCCACAGAAAATAGCTCTGGTCGTTCGAAGTGATGCCATATTATGGATGACCAAGACATTTGAAAAGCCTGAGGTCTTCAACGAACGGGTGACCAAGTCGGTCGAATGGTTTGATGTTTCTAGCGGACGGGTGACCAAGCTGTTCAGACGCCTGAAAAACGGCTTGTAAACAGAAAGCTGTTAGTGTACGTTTTCGCGTGGAAGGTCACAAATGGAAAGGCCCTTTGGATTGCTTAAATTTCTTGAGGTGCTGCATGCATCTCATTATATAATAAAATACATTATGCTTAAATTTTAAGCTTTTGAGTCAAAGTTATGTCTCCATCCCACAAGATGTGAAAAAGCTGCCTTAAATTTCACGATTATTGATATAAATAAGGTCAATCTTGTACAATTTCGGTAAGTATCTTCCCGAGTATAAATTTCATACACACAATACCAACCTGGAGCATATTTGCCACAGTCTTTGCAGCATTTTCATGAGCCTCATTCTTCCACTTCTGAATATCTATAGACATATTTGGAGGAAAAAACAGCTTTATATATTTAGCTTTATAATTATTGACAAGGAAACTACAGCTACACGGTCGCCATATTTGTTTTCCTTCCACCCTCTTGCTTGCAATGCATCACGGGACAGCAGATCCCAGGCTCCTAACCGGTCGACATTATATTCTACCCACCAACACCGCGGCAAAACGTCTACGCATGCGCCAGGTTTAGCATTTCCGGTCTCTTTTTCAGTCACACTTTCCAGTCAGATCAAAGTCTCCCGCGCGCTCTCGGCTTCATTTTGTGTGCAGCTTGTGGTTCAGTTGTTCTGCTTTTAGTCAGGTCTCTTAGTGCAAAATATAGGCCGGATCGTTACAGACGTGACAAAAGTGTCAAATTTGGCACAGAGCTTCCTTAGCACCTGCCGATTAATACTGGAGGGGGTGCCCGTTACAAATGGTCCAAATTACAGATAAAAGGGGGGGGGGTTAACTTTCACCTATAATAGCAGGTTGGGTGCCCTGTGGTGAGTTCTCTTCTTGTTTGATTTGGCTAAAAAACATATGTTTCAAATTTTTAAGTTTTTAATTTGGTAATGTTTAGTTGTTGTTACACTATTCAAAATAGTTTTACATGTACATAATACTGACTAGTGCCCAGTCTCCACACGGTAAGTGTGGTCAATCATGTTCACTGTACGGCTAACAGTGTCACTGCTAAGACTTGCCAGTGATAATATAATTACATGTCAATTTAAACAGATCACAAAGCCAGCTTTCAAAGATGTTATACAATAACAAAAAACCCAAATGTATCACATCCTAGACGATAGAACTATTAAATTTTGACATGCCACACGACCGACCTCATGAACCGTAACTGACAACGTGCTCACGTTGTAATTGTGCAGCTAAGATTAGATTATAATTTGCTTCGTTGGTAATCCTGTCCTTGAGATAATGATTAAAACATGTCAGCCTCGTCCTCAGGGGGAAAAGGAGGAGCAAGGGTGGCACAGTTGGTTTGTACTTAGCCTTCAGTGCGCGAGATCCCGAGTTCGATCCCCGGTGTCAACAAATCCATATTTCAACTTCTCTCCTTTCTGTGTAGCTTTGAATAGCTTTAAATACCCTTAAAAAGGAGCATTAATGGAGAGAGGGGGTAAAAGGAGCGCACCGTCGACCTCAAGTTTATCAGTTATTATTACTGTCACTAGTTATTGACGTACAATATGGTCGCTTTACCTTTTTCTACCTTTTTATTAAGCCCTGGGGGCGAGGTTATAAAACATGCCTCTACAGGAATTTTTAACACTCTTTATTTTTTACAAATTTGCATTTAAAAAGAAGTGTATGAGGTCCCTGCATGCCTAGACACCTGTAAGAAGCTCATTTACTTCAGAGCCCTCGCACCAGAGTGTTAATGGTAGGTCTATACGATCTTTCAAAAAAAGGGAAGGTCGTCGCTTGCGTTACAGTTTACAAACAAACTAAATTCAGAAGAGCTGAAAGTTAAAGGAACAAGGCCTCTTTTAGCCAACCAATGATGTATCATTCATGAAAATGAATGTAATTTGTTTGATGCAGTTAGGCGAATACCCCGTGGTCACGAAATCTTACGATCATGAATTCCTCAAGAGCAATTCAGTTACCTACCGGTACTTTTCACAAAATAATGCTGTGTAAAATTACAGAAAATACCAAAAAAAGCAAGGGTCAACAATAATTATGGCTTGGTCCCTTATAATAATGGAGTGGTCATGATAAAGAAGCCCATCAGCCCCAACTTTGACCACTCAAACAGATTTCTGACAGATTACATACCGCAAAACTTTACATTCACTTATGCCTATGTTGCCACACTAGGAGCCTAGAAATCGGCTCCTGGTCACACCTTATTTTTATTGCTGAATATCATTCTAAAGAGCTTTACGAAATGTTTTGTTAGTAGGGCTGTTTTGAATATGATTGAAATTTAGAGATGGTGACAAAAACGAACACAAAAAAGTTACAAAATGAGACGCATGAACCGCAATCTAATATTCGTGTTACACCGATTTAATGGCTCCTTTGGCTGCTATGCTGACGTTTTTGAAGATGGAAGTAGTATCACAGCTAGTCCCGGGTTAGGTATACTGTTTATTACCAGTTTCACAGTTTTTGAGACTTAAAGCCTGTTCACATAAAGGTTGGGGACCCCGGGTAGGTGAGGTAACCTGCTTAGGTGGAGTGAAAAAAATAACCCTCCTTTAAATGCAATCTTACAACCCCGCCATCCTGGGGTGCACTTTCTCAAGATTATTGAATGGTCGCTAAGTACGAAAACAAGAAAAATGCTAGCAAACCACATCTACGCTCACTTGCTGCTCTTGCTGCAATCTTCAGTGTTGTGGCTTTCTATCGTTACCTTTAATAACTATGTGAAGCCACCCGGCGCCAAAGTGAATTTTGCGTGAATTTGATGTATCACGAATCCGACCCCGACTAGCCTGGGTTACCTCACCTTGAAACGTTGACATGACAAAATTTGACCTCAGCTGAGAGGGTTACCCGGTGTGGCAGAGCGGGCTAACCACCTTGAAACGTCACCCCACCTATCATGTAAATGTGATCAAATTAAAATGAGAGATTATATGGACATGCGGGTTAATACCCCACCTAAGTTAGTTACCATATGACTACCTAGGGTCCCCCTCCTCCATGCAAACTTAACTTAACTTAACTTACTTTGTTAATACATATCCTACACTGGAAGAAAAAATACTCAAGAACAGCCAAAGCCGGGGGCTTAAATGGCCTAAGGTCAGCAAAAAAAAAAAGACGTGAGGAATTTACAGGAATAGAAGAAGGCTTTAACTAAAATAATTACAATACAATTAAATCAAGAATGAAAAGGTCAGTCAGAAAAAAACTTACAACTGAAATACAAGGCACTAAAAGTTAGTCCGGCCCCCTTTCTACAGTTTCAGCAGTTAAACCATTTATCATTTGAGTCAATCTTGTACCACTTGAGTCTCACTTTTAAGACTTGATAAGCTGTTAATATTTTTGGACATGAGTGCTTCAGTGCCAAATGTAGAGGCTTCATGATGAACCGTGCTGTTTTGTGAAGCTTGGGCTAACTTGTTTCTTTTTTTCGTTTATGAGACCAGATTTTTTGTTGTTAGTTTTTGCTTTGTAAAGCTTAGACAAACTGCGGGAATTGTAAATGATATGTACTTGTGCCACGATGCTTTCTTCTCTGTCAAAACATGCACGTGCGTCCAGCAGATAAAGAGAGACTGAAAGGCATCCAGGCCTATGTTTAGCTGAAAAATTAATTACCTCCTTAGGAAAGAACTATTCTGGGTTCTGTCATTTCGTTATTTGCTCTTGATGAACAGCTGTCATAAATCCCTGATAATATGTGGTACAACTGTCAACAGACTCTTTGACAATTTCTTTTTTTCCTGAAATTTTGTGTGTGAATCGCTATGCCATACGCTTTCCTTAGCTTTAAGTGATATGTAATGCCAAGTAATACTTGATAAATAAGGCTTAAGCCACACAATAAGGCCTCCTCTAATTGAAATACATTAGAAAAGGAGAAGAGAACCCCAGAAGCTGGGTACTTGCAAGTTATGAAGCAAAGACGAGGCCATCTTAGAAATGACTTATGAAAATGTGGGCGGACTGTGGACTTGTTGTAAGGGCACAATAATATTCAACTTAATTATACAATCAATAAGCTAATAATGAATGGGAATGCCAAATGTTCAAGTGAAATTGTTGTTTACAACATGAGAAGAGTATTCTGAGTGATTTAAGGTATTAAATAAAAATTTTCAATTAAAACACCACAGGGACCCCAGCAGGTGAAATTTACAATAATTAAATCCTGTTTAGCATGCTTCAGTGGCATATTTGCATTGGGCACCCCCTCTAATATTCATGGTACCGCAATAAGCTATCGCTGTGCAAAGTTTGGTGCTTTTGTCAACTCTGTAACGATCCTGACCTTAAGAGACCTGACTATTTATGCTGCTCGTGTTTTTGACTATTTTGTAGTTATTGAAATTGCTTTTATGGATAACCAGGCACAGATCACTGAAACAATTAGCCGATTAGATTCAGAAAAGGTAAGATGATAATAACTCAGTGTGTAATTTTGGCTAGCGCGTTAGGTAAACTGATTTTCATTCACGAAAATAAAGTTTTTGACTGTTATTTTTCACTTAACCTGGCTGAAACTAAGACATAAAATTAAAACGTTATCATTGCAAGCTTGTGTATTGTAGTTCTAATTTTCAGTTCTTCAGTTTCTCAGTCTACATGTGTTAAAGCCGATTCAAACTTTATTTGGAAAACGACAACACACAATCGCTTTGTAGTTTTGTTTACCAGTGGGTTTTACCGTGTTTTAAAACGAAACTCTTCTGGGTTGATTGCCATGAAACATAAGCTTAATTATACTGTTGAGCCGGTTGGCAGCAAGTTGACAACTCTATTTATTTATTTGTTTTTTCATTCTCAGAATCAGAGAGCGAAAGCTGGTTCAGTGGCTTTTAGAAGTCGAACTTTTCATGGCATGTATTTAGCAGCTAGAAGTTTCGTGTCTGCATGAGATGCAGCCGAGCCGCACTGTCTGAAATTATTGAAGTCTTCAACAAAAGAACAACCATGTAAAAGAATTAAATAGGCATTTTCTTGAATGAAAGTCATTTATAGGCATGTTTAGTTTCCCGGTGACTGCAGTCATCAAAGTCAAAGTTGTTATTAAATCCCGCCCATCTTTTGTTTTGAGTTCTTGTTTTCTCTGATAATAAAACAAATTATTGAACGGACTAAAATTTTATTTCCTGGTTTTAGTGTTTTTATGATAATGATGACGTCTTTATTTTGGTTTCTTTCATTAGTATTGTTATTCTTTTCTTAGTTGTCGCCTTCTCCCAAATTAACTTATGCCAAACCAGTAGCATGCAAGAAAGCCAGTAAAAACAAATTCGTCTTGTCGAGCGCTCGCGACCTACAAACTTCAAACATCATTTTCACCGTTGGTGCAAACAGATAACCATGTGGTGCAAAAGTTTGAGAATAGAAAAATATATAAGCTTTCGAATGAAGTGATTTTTTTGGCCCCCTTTTTTGTCTGTTTCGCCCTTTTTGCTTTTAAACTTGGCGCGACGGCAAAGTTATGCTTACGCTATTGGTTTATATACTAGACCGGAAATAAAAAGCTGACCGGATATTAAATTTTGTGCTCATGCGCATTGCGGTTTGCCGCGGTGTTCTACCCACCAAAACCACATCGATCGAGAGGGACTGAGATTGAATTTTGAATAACTTAAAAGTCGTAACCGAAGAATCTCGGAAAATGTACGGATGATATGCACGAACAACCGAACATCCGAATACTAGATCGGAGGTTCTAACCACTGAACCACCATGTCTCTAGCGTTAGTGAAGTCGGAATTCTACTATACCAGCAGAGTGTACTACACTTCTGTACTGGGAGCTGAAAGAAAGAGAAAGGCTCGAGAAAGGCTGCGTCCATTTCACAGTTGTGGGGGTGCAGAAAATGTATCAGGGGGGTGGGGTTTCATGCATTATGACTGAGATGTTAGTAAGATGTTGGAAATGAGCAAAGCGGCGAGAACGAATCGCCAAGCTCGCTGGTAAGTGCTCGTTCTTTCTCACGCCGAGAAAAATCAAGAACAACCTCTGGAACCAGGGTAGCTAGGTGTAAATTACAGCGAGCTTTATATTCCCTGCCCCCCTACCCTGCAAGAAGAGGATTCTTTCCGGCATGGATTTTATCGTGACTATATAGACTTCCAAAATTATTTATGATTGACTTCCAAAATTCTAAATTTGTAAGACTTATGAATGTACATTCACAATTGCGTTTTTCGCTGCCGTCAATCATAATCACAATCACAAGCAACGAACCTTGAAACACAGAAACACACAAAACGGATCGAAATCCACCAATCACAAATCACAAACCTTGACCTTTTGAACCCGTTAAAGTAAAGTTTTGCTTCCTAAGAGGTCCGTTAAGATAATTGACGGCAACGAAAAACGCAATCGTCAGTTGGCTTTTGAACTTCAGAATTCGCATGTTTGTGAAAAGCGCAGTAATAGATGAACCTTAGATACACACCAATGTTCCCAAAATCTTTGTCCACTTTGAAGCAGGAAAACTTGATCGTCGATCTCGTTTCAACCTCTGCGATGAGTTTATAAGCCTCTTGGACGGAAGAAACATATCCAAAATTCTCAACAATTTTCCTATCGAATGCGGGTTCGTAACTTAAAATTCCCGCCATGATCTTCCTGTTTGTTTCCCGGGAATGATGGGATTTGGAAGGTCGCGAGTTCGATTCTCGCCCGGGGCACGAAAGTTTTCGTTGGCCCCGGCGAGCATGGTTTCTCCTAAGTTCTTCCAAGTGAAAATGTTCACTGGAAGTGTAAGTGTGCTGCTCACAAGTGCACATTAAAAATAATAATAATGATAATAATAATATCTATAATAATAATAAAAGTAAAAAAATAAAAATATTTCGTATGTGTAAACAGTAACAACATATATAAAAACCATGATTAAAATTTTCATTGTGTCAATAATTATTATGCTTTATGGTCTTAAAAAGTCCGTCTGTTTTTTGCAGAAGCGTAACTATGCGCCTAAAACAATTAAAACCCTTGCCTCTTTGGAGATTTAATAATGGTTATAGCCCGGGGGGGGCACTTGGGTATTGTTTGGGTGGGTATGTGCCGCCCGGGACTCCAAATTGGCACCCCGTTTTAGAAAAAATTTCCCCTAAAATTGATACCCCGTTCTAGAAATAGGCCAATTTTTTATACCCCGTTCTAGAATTCGCCCTAAAACTAACACCCCGTTCTAGAAATGGGCCAATTTTTTATACTCCGTTCTAGGGTGCAACAAGAGTACAACGGTTTGCTTCTTAACGCACTGAACCGTACTTTAAAAGCAATCTGTCCTTGAATGCTTTCAAATGGCTACTTACAAGAGTGGAGAGCTTTCGTGCGTTCGAAATATTATACCCCGTTCTAGAAACCGCGTCTGAAATGGATACCCCGTTCTAAACCAGGAGCTTCAAAATCACGACCCCTTTGGGCGGCACATACCCGTATAGGTAATGTATGGGAGGACCCCCCCCCGGGGGTTATAGGTAAGGGCTCATATGTGCGGTCTGGACAGGTCGAGTGGTTTTGGTGGATGTAGACAGTCAACATCCACCAAAACCACCAACATTGTTCGGGGCTAGATGTGTATCACGTAGCCCCATGAAATATCTGAAACATGTTTTAAAACTTCATGTACAATATTTGCCAAAATACGGTTATACTCGTTATATTCATCCTTTGTTGGCGAGAACGCGATCTCCCAAATATAATAAAGCTCAAAGCAAAAGAAAAGCGAATCCCCGAGAGGCGAATACATCAAAACATCGTAGGCATCTTTCGTTGGTATAACATGTCACAAGGTGTCCAAAGTTCAATCTCAGTCCCTCTCGATCGATGTGGTTTTGGTGGGTAGAATATAATGCCGACCCTCCTAACCAGGGGGCCAGCTGAGAGCCAACATGGCGGCCTGTGTGAATGTGATGATTTCTCAACAGAATACTTAAAAATTACTTTTAGAATTTGCTTATGGCAACGAAAGGAAGAACAGGGAGAAGACGAAAACGTAAGAAAAATGGCAATTATTACAACGAACATGGACGTGCAATCTATGAACCTGAATACATAGCCCTTTTCAAATGGGCAAAAGAGAATGGAATTTCTTTTGGAAAGCTACGTCCCGCTTGCTTTACACAAACAGGAAGGGGCTTAATGACTTGTAAAAAACTAAGAAGTGATGATCTAGTGATCTCTGTTCCATCGCACATGCTCATTACATCAAAAACAGCTGAACAAAGTCACATCGGAAAAAAGTTGGCCAAACTGAAGCCTGCTCTGTCCGCCAAAAACCTCTTGTACGTCTTTATTTTGCATGAAAAATATCGAGAGAAAAGATCATTCTGGTATCCGTATATCACTACGTTGCCAAGATATTTCAATACCCCCGCATATTTCAGTGAAAAGGAAATATATGCTCTTCCTGTAAGTTTGCAACAGGAGTTTATGTGTCATATCTTAACTGTTCAAGAAACTTATAAGGAGCTTAAAGAATTCTTTGCGAGGCACATTTCTGCTCTGGATAAAAATTTTGTGGAGTTTTTTACATTTGAGGAGTTCAAATGGGTGTGGTGTGTGGTAAACACCAGGTCTGTTTATAAACCGGACATTACAAATACAGATAAAGCTGGAATGGCAGCAACTTGGACTGATGACAACTATGCACTTGCTCCCATTCTGGATTTACTGAATCACACAGACGTGGCAGAGGTCAGTAATGTTGAAGTCAATGATACAAATGTTGCTGCTGGTTATCAGCTGTCTCTTAGACTTTGTCCTATTACAAATGTGACGGCAGGATATTATGTCACCTAATATATGATCATCTTTTAACAGATTTCCCATGAACATGTGAGGATGATGCTGTCCTTCCATTAATCATAACTTTTGACCACAATAACATTTTCCCTCTCTCAGCCCTTAAGCCTTTTTTTCTTTTCACCATTTGAAAATGGCATGTTTTTATAAGACAAATCAAATAAGGTTTATTAGGGTTGTGACAAATCAGATGAAATCCACCAATCACCGCAGACATACACTGACCTCAGTTTGACCGTCGTGTTTTCTAAGAGTGAGTATCCTGAACTTACTGCCGGCATTATCTTGAGAGGGTAGCGAATAACGCGATTATGGAATCGAGGCTAAATATGAAACTGAGATATGATCTTATTGGGTGGACCTGACCTGGTTTGACTGTAAGCCTTTTTTTTCTTTTCACTATTTGAAAATGGCATGTTTTTATTGAGTTTCTAGGGTTTATAACTTATTAGTTTATGTAAATAATAATATTATTATTATATTATATTATTATAATTATAATATTATTATTATTATTATAATCATAGCTATAACAAAATTGTCAAATCTGATTGGCTCTCAACTGCCCTGATTTCAGCCTTAATTGGACAGTTTAATAGGACAGTACGCCATGCCTAAGTAATTGGACAGTACGCGCCATCACGCGCGCGCTTAAATGGCTTTTTTTTTTCACTGCTAGCAAAACAAAATTTCGAATTTCTTGTGTTTGGTTTAAAAAATAGCCTATTGTATCACAAATTTTGTTAAAGTAATGATTAATTGGTAACAGAACTTCGTGTCATCCAATTCAGTCTGTAATTATACTCGTGATTAAACAAGTCGGACTCCCACTACGCGGTCGTCCGATTTTGTTAATCACTTGTATGATTACAGACCGAATTGGACTCCACTCAGTCCTGTTACCATTACTTATTATTATTATTATTATTATTTGTCAAAAAGAGTGGGTAATGATAACAAAATGACCTAGAGGTAATGTTTTGTGATATACCTTCCAGGTTCAAGCTGGCTTCAACCAAGAAAATGACTGTTATGAAATTCGCACTTTATCAGGATACAACAAGAGTACCCAGGTATTCATAAACTATGGCCCCCATGACAACAGAAAGTTGCTTATGGAATATGGCTTCATTCTACCCAAAAACATGCACAATACAGTGCCAGTCTCAAAAGATTTAGTATTCTCGCTTGTAATGCCTGAAATGCGTGGAATTTCACAAAGGAAGAGAGAATTAATGTCATGTAACCAACTGGATAAGGACCTCTGCTGTTCTGAGGAAAATGGCTTGTCTTGGAGTTCCCTAGTTTTGTTAAGAATTCTTGCAATGGATGAAGATAACTTCAAAAAAGACTGGGATAGAGTTCTGACTGGAGAGAGTCTTGGCAAAGAAGTAGAGTTAAGAGTATCACATTGGATTAAATGCTTAATTGAAAGAGTGTTACAGTCTTATCAGGAAGCTGACAAAGGCATTGCTGCCCATTTAATGAGTCATAATAATTTGTCAGTCAATATGCGACTTGCATTGCAGTTGCAGTACCAAGAAAAACAGATTTTGGAAAATGCATTACAGATGGTGAAACTTTCTTGATGATGGGAAAAGGAGAAAGCTATGAGACATAATCTCCATAGAGACATACTTTCCATAGATCCAACTGCCATCTGTATATTGATGTCCGAGGATGGGGATCATATTCAGTGGTAGGTTTCTGGAAAACTGCCCACCTACCCCTCCCCTTAGCCAACATTTTGCTCCAAGTGAGGAGTAAGTGTTAGTGTCGACTTAGGGGAGGGGCAGGTGGACAGTTTCCATGAAACCTGAATTGATTTTCCTTTTTATTTAATGTTCAACAGAGACAAAACCCTCATGTTCAATTTCTTTTATTACTTTTCCATTGACAGTAAAGCATCTCTTGTTGACCTAATACAACGTTTTTGTTTTCTACTTTTACTTTAATAAGAGACAAACATACCATATCCTCAGTTAACTGACTGTCTCTGGCCTTTTGAAAGTTTCCTTCAGTATGTTCAAGTGAAAATCCAAGATGGTGAAGGGAAAAATCTTAGGAGATTATAGGTCTCTTTTTTCAAAGCTGCTGTGCGTCCTGTGACGTTCATCTTCAGCAGGCAGTAAAGGGTTATCCTTATTTTGATCAGCCCTCGGCAAAGTTATGTCCCCACTGGTTCAGTTTTTGTCAGACAAAGCCTCCCCCTCAGTCCAAGTCGATAACACGTCCCTGTTACGGCAAGGTGTGTTTCCTTTTTTACCGTTCGACAAAGCTGTGTCTCCTTGGACATCAGAGAAGTTTTCTTTAACGCTATTTTATGTCGAGCTGGCGGCAGCAGAGAGGACTACTATGGTCGAGGCTCTGTCATAATGATATTTTTTTGCTACTCGAGCTTAACCGATAACTAAACGAAAATCCGCTTCATTACAACTATGATTCATCAGACCAGATCAACTTTTTGGTCTGTAAAGATTTTTAGAAACGTAAGTACAATTCATCTCGGATATTACAATATACTTGCTCACGGCAAAACCTTGGAACTTTTTTTAAGTAAGAAAAGTAAATTGCGTGACACTTAAACTTGATAAAGAAAGTCTAAAAAACACTGAAGGGAACTAGGTTTTCCTGGACCAAGAAAGGTTTGAATAATCCTTCCTGGTTTGGCGTCTTATTGATAGTGACCTTCGCGTTCCTGATATTTTTTTCTGCCGTCGGGTTTCTTCTTGTGTTATCGCTGACAAGTGCTGTTGAATATCATGATCAACAAAGTACTTAGAAAGAAGCAAGAGTTTTACAACAACTACCGCTACTGCTGCTGCTGCTCCCAACTCTCAGCGAATCGACTTCATTATGCAGCGAAACGACCGGTAAAGGCTTTGTTTTGCCTGTGTTAGCATGCGTGGGTGTGTCTGTTAAATCACTGAGCCAGGCAGGACAGGAGGTGACAATGTAACAAAGTTTTTCTCAATGCTGGCGATAAGCTCCTTCTCGTCATCATCGTAGAACTCGTCGTAGTTTGCTGAGTTTTTAGCCTCTGCAACACTGCGCATATCAAAACAAAAAAGGTCAATTAGCTCTTGCATTGCTGCTAATCAGGATAATCATGGCGAAATTACTGCAGGTGAAGAGAGAGATCGAGCGCAATTTTGTATCCTTTACCGCTGTAAAGGCGTCCCAATTCAGGATACACCAGGGTCTCCGTAACAAGCCTACGGGGCAGGCTTTGAGAGGGATGGGGGTGAGGCATATAACCTGCTGCAGGCAAAGATTACAGAAAGATCGAAAGCCTCCCAGTTTAGGATACAGCAGGGTCTCCGAGGACCTACCTACGGGGCAGGCTTCAAAAGGGATGGGAGTGAATGGGACTTGAAGTGGGAGGGTATGACCCCTTTTTTCCCTTACCGTTTTCCTCCGTCCTCTTTCTCTTTTTTGCTCATGTCATTCCACGCAGTCCATCGATTACTATCATTCACAAATTGTCGGTTGAAGAGTAATGGTAAAGCTCGCACTATTTGATAGTTTTAAATAAGTACTTAGTCCTAGTCTGGATATATCTACTTATTACGTTCATTTTCTTAACAACATTACCCCTTCAAAATAAGAAAGACGGCCTGATCGCTTAATTTTAGAGCATTTACTGATGTTTTGATCTTGGGAATGTATTGGAGCCATATTGAATTGAAAATCCAACCGTTTGTTTGTAACCCTTCGACCCTTAAAGACCAGTTCAGTACGGTGATTCCGGCATCGCTGTCGCGGTGATTCGTTCGCGGATTGGACAGCAAATTCATTAAGGCGTAAGGCTGGTTTTCACTAGCGACGAAGTCGCAGTCGGAGTCATCAGAAACGTAGAACTTAACGATCTATTGAAAACAATGTTCTGATTCCGCTTACGATTCCGTCGTTTACTATCAAGTGAAAACTAGGTTGCCGGAGTCGCAGGCAGACTCGGAAGAACTAAACCAATCACAAAAAGTGGGAATGTGCATTGTGACTGGTTTATCCTTCCACTTCGATTTCCGATTCCGACAATCTGGTTTCACTAGCTAGATTCTAAGCGGAACGTAAGCGACAGAGTTGGAAGAAATGGAAACTTTCTGATTCTTCTGATTCCGATTCCGTCGCGCTTATGACTCCGCTAACGACTCCGATTGTTGATTTTTACAAGGTCATAAGCGCCCTTACAACTGCGCTTACGACTCCGACTCCGTCGCCATTGAAAATCTGCTTAGGTTAGATATGAAGCAATTACGCACAGAATACCCATCCACCTTCTGCGAAACCGCTTGTGCGGCCCGGTGGCAGCTTTTTGAGGTTATATTTAAGTGGACGGTAATTCTCTAACCTAGCCAATTGAAAGTTATATTGCTGACTATTAGACTTCGGATCACCGTGGGATTTGCATCAGAAAGACAATTATAGGCAAATATTCTTACTTCTTATCCGTTACTGAGACGTCATTTTCGTTTGTACCTTCTGCAATCCAAGAAAGATGATTGCCGTGAATTAGTTTTAGAATCGCATAAAGTATCAGTAAAATATTCAACTTTATATTCAAGCCGGTGAGTTTTTGTGCCCCAGGCTCCCTGGAGCAAACACTGCACTGTGAGTTCTAGACTGCGAGCAGTCTCTTATTTTTCTTTGCAAAGTTACTGCACGCGAAACCTAAGGACGTGAGCGGTAAAGCCGCGAGCCGCGAGAAACGAGAGCGTAAGCCCGAGAAGAAAAAATAAGAGTCCGTCTTTTCTCGTCTGGTCTCAATCCCTTATTGTAATAATAACAACGTCGTTTGCAATCGCGCTGGATGAGATAAGAACTAGACGGATTTTAAGAGAAAACGCGGACTGCAAGCAGTCTATCTGAGTTCTGGTCAGTGTGTTTCTTACATACCTGAATCATGCACTGAAGTATTTATCTGAAAAGCAAGTGAACTTGGTTGGTCTTTTAATCAAATCGAGTATTCTTACATTGTAGTATTAAACTTTGAAAGAAAATATGAAACTGCCCTAATGCAATCAGTACGCAGCTTGACAGACCGGAGTCGATAAAAGCTGTTTTCAGCTGTTGGCCTGTTGAGTATGCAAATAGCGAGAGCGGTTCTCTTTAATTTGTCGAGCACAAGAAAAAATAGGAGCTACTCATTGTTACTTATTGCTATTTATTGTCTATAAAACCATAATAACTTTCCGCCTGGGCACTCTTCTTGCCTTGCAGATTTACTGTTTTAAGGCACGCAATTTTAGTTTTGTAATCGGAGTTGATAAAACCAAAAAAACTTCATAGCAACAGTTCGAGTAACGAGTAACGACCGTTTCTAGCAACAGTTCGAGTAGCGACCATTCGTTCGCAGTAAGGGCCGCGTTTACTTTCTATCTAGACCATATGTATTGATCTCTCGTGGTAAACCTATGGTCTTTGACTGGACTTCCGTAAAAACCGAAAACCTGGTCTTGCATCAAAAGTTATTGCTGTCCATGGCTTAAGAGCTGTTCAAGGGTACTTTTAACGCAGATATTCCCATATAACTTTCTAAAACATTATACTAGATAGCACCCTTGTTAACTTTTTCCACGCTTTGCTGCCTGTTGCGAACGTCTAGGTTGTCTAGGTTTTGCGTCATCTCTGACGCGACTCGAAGGTGATCAAGGGCGACTTTTCGTTGAGCCTATGTTGCAATTGAAACCGTTCCGAAAACATAAATAACTTTATTCCTAACTTACCTGTTTTGTTGGAGCGTTTGCGGCTTTAAATTTTTCAATATCTATTAAAGTAGAAGGATCGAAAGTCTCGTCGGATTCCACCTGTCAAAAACAATAATTATGGATGCTGTTTTTGCCGATGGATTTTTAAACTTGCTTTAACAAATAACATAATTTGCATTACTTCGCTAAGGGAAATGAAAAGATAAGCGCATTTTTTTTTTCAAATAAAATTGAGCCGTTGTTCTGTGCGTGTTTAAGTACAAATTATGGAAAAAGATGATTTTCTTAATAAGTCATGATCCTAAATTCTTAAAACTTAGCCTGCATACAGACATCGTCAAACCTATTTAATTTCCTTGCTTCAGACGGAAAAAGGAAACAGAAGACGGAACCAGCCAGGGGGATTGGGTATTACGATCATCTCACGACCTTCTTTTTTACCTAGGTATTGTATTTTGTCGCCAAAATGTCAGGTATACTGCCATTAGTGGATGTAAATTTCGGCAGTAAGTCATATCAACGATTTTGCAATTTGGTATCACGGGTATTTTAAGATTGAAGCAATCGAGATACTGTAGATCAAGATTTAAGTGAACTGGTTTTCCTGTTTCCCTTCTTCCCTCCCTAGCCAAGCCTGAAAAAAATTAGCACGCAGGCCATCAGTGCTTATAGCGTGTTCACGTATAGCAGGGTAGTTAATTAAGCAGGATCGTAGAAATTGTTTACCTAGCAACTGAGTTATATCCCGACAAGTTATTACCTTGACAAAGTCGTTATTTACTTATACCTGTTTTTTTTAGGACAAGTTGTTATCTGACTGGCGTCGTATTTACCTTTTGCAAAGCCGATATCCTATTTGGCCCTTCACTGTAGTTGGTAAGATTTGTCCCATCAGGAGACGATCTTGGACCCAGCGCGTTGCTCATTAATTTCTCTGTTTCGTGGTCATTTGTCACATGTGTGGAGGTCAAATCAACTCCATCTCGACCGTATTCGCTCTCAAACTCCGAATCATCCCCGCTGTCTCCTTGCGGCTTCAAAGCAATGTTTTGGGCATTTTTCTTCGTTTTCTTCTCACCCCAAGCATTAAGTTCAATTCCCCTCCCATTTTCTGACTTTCTTGCGCGCGGGAGTTTGCGACTTGTCACAGTTGGCTTACCGGTGGTGGCCTGTTTAAATGTAGGCAATTTACTTTCTCTACTGTTTTTTGAACCTTGCATGTCTGTAGCTTCGAGTACTGCCTCGATTTTAGCTTGCTCCGTTTCACTCTCAACCACGTCGACTTCTCTAGTGACCGGCACATTGTCGTTGGAATCGACATCACTATGTTGTAGTCTTGATTTTCCACAGCCCATTCCCACAAGTAACAAATCTAACTACATTTCCGTGTCGTAGCCTCCTCGAGGCACACAGCTGGGCTTTGTCGCTAAGAGAATTGTTTATGGCATGAAAACACGATTAAAAGCGAATTGTCAAAACCGGCGACATTCCGTTGTAATGCAAAGTAGTTCTTTCAAGAGCAGTTATACGTCACCAAAGCCTTAATTATAAACGTCACTGCCTTGTAATTATCATCGGTGTAATAATTTAATACACAAAACAAAAAGAAATTACAGTTCGTCAGGCGTAGAGAGAAAACTATTCACATTGTTGTTGTTTTTTAATCATTATTTGTTTACCTAATTCAAACACCTCTGTGAGGTTCACTGTTTTCTTTGTTATTTAGTGTTCATCTTTCTAATACAATATGATATTTTCATAGCCGGTGTCGATCGTAAGGATTAACCTAAGAGCAGATCAGGCCGAAGTCTGTTGTTTTGAATTCATTCGCTAAGCCGAGTTAGAATGTTTATCCTCTCTTGATCATGAATGAATTGATCTTTTTCCATCCTAGATGAATATTCGTGATTTCTTAGTGACAAGAGGTCGACTATATTCTGCGGTTTCTCTGTTTTGGCGCGCGCAGACTGAACAGGAAAATATGAAACTCAAGCGACGGAAGTTGCAGTCTTGTTGTTGTTTTTGTTTGTTATGTTTCCACTTTTTTTGTTCTTTTCTTTTTGTTTGGTTTTGTTTTTGTTTTTACGAACGGCTAATTTTCGTGAATGGAAACATTCTAACCAATTCTAGGGTAAAAAAAGTCACTCTGGTCTGGTTCGCATTCTACAAATTTATACCTCGCCATTCTTGCATTCTTGATTCAGACCCAGCGGTTACAACTTGGTGTTACGGTGCACGAATTTATGCTAATTAGTATATGCCAATGAACCCATGTAACCCCGAAACACATGAAACTATGAAACCATTGACACCACGAAACCTATAACCCTTGACTCCATGATACTCCCATTATATTACATCAGAACGGTTTCTGATTACATAGACATAGGCATATACTAATGAACATAAATTCGTGCACCGTAACACCAAGTAATAACCGAGCACACCCAGGCCTGCATCACACCATAACAAAGAAGTACCACCCTTGCAATCAGACCATCCCGTAAACTGTCCCGCTAGAGTTTACGGGCATTATCGGGACGCCGCGTTTCCAAGATGAACAGGAGAAGGCCTGGGACGAGGTTGTTTTCTGGGTCTCTTTCAAAATACAAAATGGCCGACAAGTGAGTGTAAACTGGACCTGAAAGAACAAGTTACGTTGGCATCAAGAGCGAAATGGCAAGAGAAATTGAATTTCAAGACCTTCCAGAATCTATTGTTTGGAGAATTTTCAGTTTTACGTCGGAAAGGCGTATTTTTAACTTGTTTAGATTAAGAAGAGTTTGCAAGAGATGGCTTCGTTTGTCAGAAGATCCAAGTTTGTGGAGGAAAATAGCTTTTCCAAACTGTGATAATCTTTGTTATGAGGTGCTGAAGCGAGTTTTTTCTTGGTGTGGAAATGTTAGGAATGTTGACCTTTCAAACTGTGGTCGGGTGGATGATAAATGTTTTGAACTTATTGCGGATCAATGTCCCAATTTAGAAGTCCTCGATTTGTCTGGTTGTCGACTACTGAGTGATGTCGGGTTGGCGATGTTATTCAAGTATTGCCACCGTCTCCGTTGTTTAAGGATCACAGTGTACAAATCAAATGTATCACCAAACGTCATAGAGGATTTGATCAACGCCTGTGCGTCACTTCAAGAACTGAGAGTTACTTGTGAAAGAGACGAAGACTCTAACGAGGCAGAATTTTTTTTCTGCTTAAACGAGAAAGTGTTGAGCGCCGTACAAATGAACCACAAGTTGAAAAAGGTTATTTCCTTAATTCAGGAATCGATGAAGAAGTGATTGATTTAACAGACCGTAAGTTTGATTTGCTGGAATTTGGGCTTACAGGCTGTATGAGACTGAGTAACGATGTTTTATCTGTTATCAGTTACTCTTGTCCTGCTCTCCAACTCCTGGATGTTTCCTACTGTCCAGGTATTGACGATGAAGGTATTTCCATTGTTGCTCAGTCTTGCCAAAGTCTATTGCATCTTATTGCCAAAGGATGTCCTTGTGTCACTGATGTGTCAATAGAAAATGTAGCAAAACACTGCAGACTGCTTCAGACTTTGGAAGTTTCAGGTTGTGAATTGCCAAGACCTGCAGGCAATATCACTGATGTTGCAGTGCAAAGAATTGCTGAGAAATGTTTGGATTTATGCCAGTTAAATGTTAAATGGTGCCAAGGTGTTACTGACAAGGGTATTCTTTCAATTGCATCAAATTGCAGAAAGTTGTCTCATCTTAACATCTGAGGCTGTCTTGGGATTTCTGATGCATCTATTAAAATGATTTCAGTGTCCTGCCAAAACCTAAGGAGTTTGGAGATCTCAGAATGTTTGCGCATCACACAGAGTAGCATAAATGACATCTTGCAAAGCTGTGTCAAACTTACATATCTTGACATGCAAGTTTGCTCGTATGTTAATGACCTTGAGTTTAAATCAGACAAAGCCCAGCACCTCTCCCTTGGCCATGTGGATCTGTCTTACTGCACCAAGATAACAGACAGAACTTTGAAACAAATTGGAAACTCCTGCCCAAATCTTACTTCCTTAAGCATTGCTGGATGTCATAAAATTACAGATACTGGGGTTATCAGTCTTGCAAAAAGTTGCAATAAGCTGCAGTATTTTGATATGTCATTCAGGGGAATGCAGACATCTGCTCACATCACCAGTGAATCCATGAGTGCTCTTGCATCAAATTGTTTAAGTTTGACTTATTTAGATGTCATAGGATGCCTAAATATCAGTGAGCCTTCCATTTACTCCATTATAGGATCATGCAGGTACCTAAAACAATTCAATGTCACTCAATGTGTTGATAAAAAGGATTCACAGCTACAGCTGCGTATAAGTAAATTTATCTTGCAGCATCGATCTTCTTACAGTTGTGAGGAAATGATCTCATATTCACGAGGAAGAAAATCAGCACAAAATTTCCTTTTCAAGATTGCAGCTCCTAATTTGTAGCCTGTTGATATGGCATCACATTAAATTATTCAATATTATATGTCATTGCACATTATATAACTTAATTTACATAACAATCCTGGCCAATGCTAGTTCGTCTTTGGCTGGCCAACATCTGTTTTCTTAGAAATTTCAGAACAGCAGTGCCATAAACGATCAAAAATAAGGTATTATTCCTTTATTTACCACATAAAGTCTAAAATTCAAAGATGAATATAAAGGACTGTTTAAAAAAGCGAAACCCAAAAATGTAATAATTAATAATAATAAACAGATACCCAAAATGTGAACTAATAAATCTATGAATAGCTTCATTAAAATTCCCAAGCAGCCAATGCTAGTTGTCTTGGTAGTCTGATTCATTCCTGTTTGGATCTTGGAAAAAATGAAAACTTAAAAAAATTAAACTTATAACTTATAAGTATGCCTAGATGATCTTGTAGAAGAATATGCAACTGGGTGGAGTTCCGCATTATCTCTGTTGACAAAGATATTTCTGAACTCGTAAAGCACAGACAGCCTGAAGCAATTGTTCTGCAAGATTGCAATGTCTTCCAGTCCAATGCAACTAAGCATATCAGACAAACTGTTCTAACGATTGTAACGTGACAGCACCTAACGAGCTGCCCTCCTCAGAACCATTTCAACCTGCACAATGTTCTTGCCTGTATAACAGTCCCATACTGACGAGGAGTATTCAACTGTAGGCCGTGCAAGAGCTTTGCATGCCTTCTCCTTCGTGTATGAAGAGCACTGTTTCAGATTTCGCTTTAGAAATCCCAACGTCTTATTTTCTTTGTTTGTGATATTTCTCATATAATCGTTTCCCCTTAAGATCTTTTAAAAGATATACTCCAAGATACTTGGTAGTATCTATTGCCTGAAGGCAGCAACCGTGAAGTGTGTAATTGAAAATAAAGGGCTCAAGTCGCCTCTAATTCTTACGATATTGTATTTGGCAATATTGAATTCCATTTCCAGTTTTTTTCCCATTTTTCCATATTCGGTTAAGCTTTCTGCAGTTGAACAGTCATCCAAGGATTTTACGACAAGATCGTCAGCAAAATGAGGCTCTTGAAAAGTCCATGACGATCACGTATGTCTGCCCACCATTCTGCACATCCTTAGCAAAATCATTTATGAAACCTATCAGCTGAGTCGTCTTGTTTGGAAGTAATACTGTTAAAGAAAAATGACGGATTTTTACCTTTTTCTCAAAGTAGTAATTTCAATACAATTACTATTTTGGGAAATGGCGTTTTTTCACCTATTCTTGGGTTGGACGTGACGTCACCAAAAATCAAACCAAGAAACTATCGATTCTTCTGAGTTTCTACTTTCACGAGCTATTACAGTACCTAAACATCTTTACATAAACAAATTTTTGGTTCGAAAGGGTTCTTCGTTTTGCAGAGAACACGCTTGAATTTCCAGGCTATTGCGTGACGCGGCATTTAGCTGGCGGCCGGGAAAGCTCTTATGTGGGTTAAAAACATTACCGATTTTGTGAGATTTTGCAATCTAAACATTCCTTGTCTCAGAATAAATATTACTGTAACCTTCATGAGCTCCTCAAGCGAAGAATTCACACAATAGTAGAAAAACTCGAAAACAGATTTTTCTGTTGGTATCCGGCGGCCATATTGGTGTTCCTGAAAGGGACACCAACATGGCGTTTCCATACAAAGCTTTATAAATTTAGGTAAACCGTTTTTCCCAATATCTCGTATTTGAAATATTTCAGAGACCTGATTCTTGGCAAGGGTTTTTGTATATTCATCTTTTTTCATTTCCCAGATTCTAGTCCTTCTGTATTGAATGGTTTGCATTTTTATTTTTCATTGCGTGACAGTGCAAGCCGAGAATATTTAGCAAATATGTCCTTTTCGTGTGAAACAAATTGTGTCCACCA